CAATAAGAACTCAAAGTAAAAACAACCAAACAGCTAAAAGCGCGGGAAAATGCAAGTGACCAAGGCGTGACTAATTTCGGTTTTGAATTTAATTTTTTGCGTAGTACAAGTTTCTTTGCCAATCAGAAAGCACAGGGAAACAAAACCAACCATATCCAGGATTTCCTTCTTCAGCAGTTGTAGTCATCCATGAATTCCGTTTACCCAGTTCCGCGGTTGGTTTTTTATTGAATGACAAATAAACTCCAAAACAACGGAAAACAATATCAATTACCAAAGGAACGTGAGTAAAATTTGTTTCTGATAACATTTGTTTCCTTTTTGAACATTGTAAACCTACAATTTACGATCGACAGGAATAATTCCCCACAATTTTATGGGCCATGAGTCCGTTAACCCTTTAACTCCCAGAAGTGACCAACATATAACTTCTCCCTATAATTTCCACACTATTTTTAGCAAACAATTAATGAGGATACTCAAACTTATCAGGTAGAAGTTGTTATCTTGACCTTTCACCAAATTCTTGCAGCTAATTTACAAGGAATCGTCTTGCAGCAAGTGGGGAGAATTAACAATCAGATCTTAGGAGTTAAAGGGTTAAATTCATTGTGAGTGGGTTCTCTCTATTAGGATCGTGAGCCGCCTATGCATCATGCTACTTTCCACATCAGGAAACTTTCATTAACAGGTGTTAAGACACTTAAGGAATCCTTAAAATTAACTTATTTCGCTCTGGTTTTTGTTAGATGCGAACATAAGGAAGCTTAAAACCTCAGCACTAAGAGGTGAAAATCCCTAACATCCGTTGTGTGTTCGATGATTTGTGTTTTCATTTTTTTTTTTTTTTGGAAACAGGAAGCACTGATTTTAGCATTGAAACCTCAGAATTCACCGCCGAAGAAACCACATGACATAATATTCAAATTGACAAAAGAATGAACAAGTAAAATTTTGGGTTGAGTTACAAGTTCTCTCTCTCCATAGTAACCATTGATTGATTGTCACGAAATGTTTGGCATGCGTGACGGCCAAAACGGTTTCATAAAAAAACCTTTAGAAACGACAACAACGCACTATTCACATCATTTTGGGTACTCAGTTGTAATCATTACAATAATTCAATATCCACTAGCTTCTTCTCAGCCTCAAAGTTTTTGAGAAGGGCGCTAATATAGTTGATAAAATGAGCAATGAATCAGGGTTAAAACGCCATGGAAAATAATGTAGAGGCTAATTTTCAACTCGAATCTGTGTATACATAAAACTTTCCAGTGTATAAAAACAGAAAACTCAATCTAGACATCCTTTCGATGCAGGTTATTTTGAGAACAAAAAAATAATTAATGACATAACTGCGTTAAGAAAAAAGTATGTTCGTGCAAAACCGCAGACCAAAACCGACTTAATAAGAGATATCAATTAAAAAAGGGTCTACCGCGCCTTGGAAATATTAGAAACATTCAACAGTGAATTGTCATCTCAACACACGAAGCTGTAAATTAACAAGAATCAGAAAAAGCTCAAAATGTGACATATTAGCCGACGGGTGTGGTCGGCTATTAAACTGCTTAATACTGGCAGGCATGCAACTAATGAAGAAAACAGCTGAACAATGAGACCTCACTGGATCTAACAAAACTGTCTGTAACAAAATAACAGCATCAAATAGCCTCAATCGACAAATATCGTCTGAGGGAGAAATAATATCCTACCAAGAATATTAGGTAAGTGGGTGTGTATTCACTTGAATCAGTGGCATGCAATGACGGTTAATAATTCCATTGTATGACAGGAAATAGACCATTATATAACTTTTTAAGAAGAAAGAGAACACCACCATCTCATAATGATAATGATAAGGAATATATATAGCGCTAAAACTATAAACAATATTCAGAAGCGCTTTACATACGTTAAAGTTCTATACTAATTGAGATTAAAATATTCAAAGGCAATAAACATTAGAACTATTGAAACAAACTGAAAGCTTTCCTAAATAGAAACGTTTTAAGTGGCTTTTTAAAAATGGTGAGGCTACTACTTGTTCTTATAGTTAATGGCAGCGAGTTCCATAAAACAGTTGCAGCATGAGCAAAGGCCCGATCCCCAAGTGAAGAGCAGTTGGCTTTTGGAACGAACAGAGGAGATTGAGCAGACGAGCGAAAAGCATAATTAGTAGCTGGTTTCAGGGACAAAAGATCTTTAATGTAGGGAGGACTTTGGTTGTGTAAGGACTTGTAAACAAAGAGGAACTATTTAAACTGAACTCTGAACGTTACTAGGAGCCAGTGTAGGTCGATAAGTGCAGGTGTGATATGGTCAAATTTTGGAATCTGAAAAATCACCTTAGCCGCAGCATTCTGAACTTTCTGTAAGCGATCGATTTGATATTAAGGTAGACCGCAGAGAAGTGCGTTACAGTAATCAAGGTGTGAGGATATAAAAGCGTGGACTACAATTTGAGACCTCCACAATACTTTCCTGTTCAGCGAGCGACTTCAACACAGAGGTTTATGTTATTTCTTGGAAAGAAATGTTGAAACTTCTGAGCTACATTTACTTCCCAATCTCATAATCACGCACGCGCAAACCCCGCACGCAATCAGGACTATCGTTGCCCTTTCTTCACTAACTGCACTTGCAAAATTAAACAATCTTAAGACAAACTAAACACGAAGTAACTTTTTTTTTAAACATAACAAAAAAATAAACTGATATATTAATAAAAAAAACAACAACAACAACAATGACTGAATAGCATCAATACCATGATGATGAAAAAAATATGATTGCAATTGAGCTTTTCGTTAATTCAAGTCTTTTTTTAAACATGGCCCAATTTAATTACGTGAATAAATAGCTAATTCAACCCATAACTTCTGGATACCAGATTTTTAGCAGGACCATTAACAGTCTATTATGGGGCAAAGATGTATCGTTATGTCTTGATTTTTTATGGTTTTAAGATAGCTATAGTAAAACAACCGTTTTCTGAAGCTGCCAGACTCGTATTTCCCTAGTCAGTGTTCGCTGATCTACCACACTACGTTACAAATTCTCGAATTAACACATTACTTTGAAATAATCATCTATTAATTTTACATATGTCGTCTAATGGCAAACCATTGACATTTATGGCAACTTCACACTAAAATTATTCTGTCAAGCAAACCATACTAGGAGGAGGATTGGAATAATTATAAAAATCACACTATCGAAAAAATTGTCTTGAAGGGTAGAAACAGGCGAGAGTAGAACACATAATAAGGGAGTTACTGAATTTTTATTTTACTTTTGAATTATTAATGCGGAACAAAACAAGGCGCTACAGCTTTGAATTGAATGATGGCGAGGATTCATGCTAATTTCTTGTTCGTCAAAGACCTTTCTTTTTAAAGCAGTCCGTGAATAAAATAATGAGAGTTTTTTCGGCGCTCAGTACACGCAATAAACACTCCTTCCATAACGAGGCAAGAAATATTCCAGCTGGATACCTTAGAAACCGATTTAATCCAGTTATAGAGAGACACAATTTGCCACATCATAATGAATTTTACAAACCGCAAATCTTGTTCGTCAAAATACTTCAACAAACTGTAAATCTTTTTGTTGAAGTTTCCGACATTCTAAAAAAAACCTCAACAGACAAAACCGCCGTTTAACCAGCGTGTGTGTTTCACGAAAGAACTCTACCTTCCATTTCAATGAAGATATATTGTTTCAAAGAGGTCAAATAGGAGATTTCTTCAGTATCAAGACTGCCTTCGTACCTACCTGTATGGCTAATTGTAGGCCGAATTTTGTTCACCAGATCCTTAAACGATAGTTTCCTTTCTTCCACTACCAATATCTTACGAATGTAAAAAATAAAAAAAGTGATTGTATTTCTGAGAAAAGCAATGCCGCTAAGCTTCAAAAGAGTAACACAAAAAAATTAAAAGCTTATTAGAGAGCCGGCCGCAAACACGGAACGATGTGGATCCCACAACTCAGTGAATTCTTTAATATTTCCGGATAGTTTGGTAACACAAATAACATTTGGTAACAAATGTTGATCAACACAAATAGGGCAAAGGTATATTGCCTAAATAGGATTGATGGGAAAAAAAGGAAACTTCACTTCTTTTACACAGGAAAATCGACAATATCTAAATAATCCGGTAGGCATTATTGAGAAAAAATGTTTATTGCGTCACATAGGAAGACTTGGCCGGCACTCCTGTAGAGGAAACGGTATCATTCAAAACGCGCATTCCTTGCTCCTTTGACACGTTAATAGAAGACGTCATTTAGAGTTTGTGAATGGTTTATGTATGTCATTGCCGGGATTTTCAACATCCCACCACGAATTAAGAAAAACACTCGAGTCCTGCTGGTTCAAGCATGAAAATCTCTTCAAATGGTGAGAATAATCCCACGAGTTCTGTTATCCTTCCTACCAGTAAACGATATACCTCATTATCACTAAGGACTTGAAACAACACGCTACATTGTGTGGAACGAACGTGATCAAAACGGACCGTACACACAAACCCGACATCTTTTGTGTCGTAAATTGTTTGCTTTGCAGACGACCGAGGCAAGTCAAACAATTCTGCTTTTGATTGGTTAATAAAACGCAGCCCAAGGTAGGTCTGCTGTAGGCCGTGTGACGCTAGAAAGTTATGAGCCGAAACTTGAAACGTGAATGAAAGTGATTTCATGCGAAATTCCTCGATATAAAAAAAAGAAAGATCTGTTTCATTTTAGAATTGAAGAGTCTACTGTCAGACATGAGACATCATTAAGACCACACAACAAAGACATTACTCACTAAACGACTACTAACAACTGTCTTAAAAAACAATTTGACACCATGCCACATAAGTGAGCTATCCGCGTGCGGATTGGTCTATAGAGGTGTTACGTTACGCAAAATAGAAAGTCCTTTGAAAGGTCAATTTCCTAACTCGGGAAACGAAACACGACACGAGCCTGAGCTGCTCACCGCCTTCGATGTACACCGAACGTTCTGGGGTAGCACAGAGCAAAAGGTTATCGGTGAGCTATTGTAAATGAAAAGCAATTAAGCTGATCGGTAAATTGAAGGCAGGCTGAAAACACGTTTGACAAAAGACAGGAAAATTGATCAGACGGACCGTGCGCGCGTGTGGTGTATAAAAGCTGCTGGTGTTAGTAACAGAGTACAGTTACTTTGCAGGACGAATCATGAACATGGATTATAAGCATTTTGAAGGAACAGCTCTCGAACCATATGCACATTCACCTGAAGGCTCTGCCTGCAGCTCGAGCGGGTCAGAAACAAGTTTAAGCCCGACACCATCGCCACAAGCTGCAATGTTTTACCCGCCAGGACACAGACTTACACTCTCGTACCACAATCACTGTCAGTCGTACATGAAACGACTCTACACAAACAGCAGAGAGCGGTGGAGGCAACAACACGTTAATCTGGCGTTTGGTGAGCTAAGAAAACTACTTCCAACTTATCCACCAGAGAGGAAACTCTCTAAGAACGAAATCCTTAGACTTGCTATGAAGTACATCCGATTTCTGGACGATCTTCTCAAAGACATGGGCGACAACAGCAAGCAGAATCAAGATTCACGCGAAGATGTCTCTGACACAAAGCTCAAAGAAGAAAGACGAGAAAAAGGACAATTACACTGCAAAAGACAAACCAACTGTTCTCTTTCATTAATGGAAGGAATGGAAACAAATGTTATCGACTCAAACGCGCCATCGATATTTGACGCGCATTAACTTTCTCTGAAGATGTCTACATTTTACAACACACACAGATATTTCACATTTTCCGTATTAACTGCGGTCTAATGTGATGATATCAGTCTAATATCTGACAAATAAGGGCCTCAGTGGAACATTGTCCACGAATTGTTACAGACTGGAATTGTAAATAGTGTAATTATTTCTAAGGCTGTTCTTTGTAATCGTGTTTACTGTTATCCTTTAACTTGTGTAAATAGTTTCTTTCCCCGCTGTTGTGTCTAGTTTGTTTGTTTAAGAGTTAAATCGTCTCTTTATTTGTAATGCGTTAGGATGTTGAACCCTCTAAAACTATTATGTTTATCTGTCCAGAGATTTGCCATCTAAAGAAACTGAGCGCTCTAATTAATAAACACTTTCTCTGATCAAGATCTTGTCATATTGTGCTATCATCAGTATATATTTCCGCTTCTGTTTTAGTAATTTTGGGGTTTTTAAGTAAATAAATAGCGCAAAAATTAATCGAACTAGGGTGTTAATCAAATTTTCACGCGTTGCGCGAAAACGCACTTTAGTGGCTCACGGATTTAAGTGAGGAGACTTGTGCACTTAAGAAATAATTCGCTGACTAATTTCACAAACAAAGAAAGCTATGTTATCTGCTTTCGTGCCAATGAAAGATCGGCTACCATTGAAAACATCAACGTACTTCATTCAAGTGTAATGTTTCTGTCTAATTCGGAGATTGTTGAGCTGATAAACTGAGTAACATTAAATTAATGAGAGATCAAGGACGGACAAATCTCTGAGAGCAAAGATCATTTTTGACAGCAAGGTCACTTGCGTCATGAAAATACTCAATAGTAACAGCTCTAAGGATTGTCAATGCACAATCTACAGCAATCTGATGAGCCGATAGCTGCGGTTTGTTTTCAAGACGCTTTAGGGGAAATAGTTTCTCTTATTTTAGGAACGATTGTTTTTCATCTATCATTTCAGTGTCCACACCTAATTTTTTGTCACACCCGTCCCCTACTGAGAGTTTGAAAATATAAGTTAACTTTTCACGTCGCAAAATTAGATCATTTACCTTTCCATCTATCTAAAATGTCTCTGTATATAACTTCTCGTCCGGGTAAACATCACGATATACTTGCACTAGGAGGCTACACGTTTATTGTGATTTGGAGTCAAAAAAAAAATTCGTACCTCATATTCAGTCGTTAATACACCATTAACATTACGTTAAATAAACTACACTTCTATTTAAAAAGAAATATGCACTAAAAGTAATCAGTTTATTTAGACTTGTCGAGGTTAACACTTGAATGTTCACAAAAGGAAAACAGAAATCAGTTTGCACGTAAAATAACAAACTAACAACATGAGATCAGACTCTATAACAAAAATAAAAGTTAACGCAGCGAACAAAACTAACCGCAAATCACCGTGAAGGATACGGAAATAGCTGCGATTAACCTCCACCCTGGTGTTAAATTCCCCATAACAACTTTTCAATAACAAACAGGAGGAATTCTAAAACCTTACTGAATGTCTAATACAAACAAACAAGAGAGAATTATTAACACATGTGTAATTTGTGGGCCGGGCGGAAGAGCGCCCCAGGCGACCGAGAACGTGCACGTCTTCATTGAGTGGGATGGCCGATGAAACGGGAGGTGCTGACAACTGGTAAAACGGTGAAAAATGAGCTAACGCGCTTGCTTTTACAAACAGCTGGAACACATTTGAAAACTGACAGTAACCCTGCGTTTTGGGTAACTAACATGAGAGAGCTTAACCCCATTATCTATTTCACTCTCTGTATTGGTCTCATAATGGTAGCCATCAGTGCCATTACAAGCTGTGTTAAATACAAAATTTTGCCAGCGACGAACATTTGTTTTATACGATATTTTCACTCTGAGGTTTGAGGAAAATACCAAAACGATCACTACTGATGATTTTTTTTATCTTCTGGAATACCGAGGAAGTGAAATAATGTATGCGAAATAAAGAGATAGGATTTACTCCAGTGATAAGTTTTTTCGTTCCGACTTAGAACGCGTCCGTAAAAAAAGATAAACATACTTTTTTCCAAAATATCTTAAGAACACGACAAGTAAACTGCGAGCTGTACTGTCTCATTACAACCGTATATCCTATCCAGCCTTTACCTAAAACCTCAAGCAAATATCAAACTCTTGAACTACTTCCAACTCGAACGACTTTTTGATGTCTTGCAATTTCTACAAAGAGAGAGCATACAGTATTATCGTTTTTTTTTTCCACCCATTGTGTTTCCCCCTTTATCTTAAGCACGACAGTTAAAAAGAACTTTCACACCACTATGGTAATCCTTTTACCTGTTGAATTTCCAAGATTTCCGAGCAATTTTAGGCGTAATAAGAGGTACAACAGGCGGTATATTTCACTGGTTACCGCATGAAAAAAGAAAACACTACACCTACCCATCAAAATAACGAGGTATTATAAACAATCTCTAGTATATTTACATACAGCTGTTTGAAGGAAATACTGAAGGATTTAAAGTAAATAAAAAGCTTAGACATCATTAACGCATATCAAGGGTTTATAGTTATTATTGCTGCGTTCTTATTTTCTCGATGTCCTATCGCAAACGAAATATAATATTTCTTCGCCTAAATTGTAAAATCTTCGAAGGCGGAGTTTGTCTCCCAAGAAAATTCAACAAAATCTTATTCAACACTGCATCGGAGTATCAATGTATCTGTGCTTGAGTAAGAATTCACTGACTATCCTCCGACAAAAGAGCAGTAGATGTAAAAATATAAGATAAGCAACGGAAATTACTGCTATTATAAAGGATTAAAAGAAGCGAAATGTTTCTCCGAGCGGCTGGAAAAAGAAAACAACAGCTGTTTTGTATTTTTGAGACGGTTAAAAATAACTTGCGCGAGAAAAAAAAAATCTTTTACCAGGTCATCACCCCTTTCATGCGCACATTGTTTGTCTGGTATATTCAGAGGAAATACAGAAACAGCAACTATACTTAGTCAATAAAACACAAAATGTGGCTGGTGCGTCTTTGTTTCATCACCCGACACTTTTGTTTAAGCACGCGACTCTATTTGTGTTCCTGTGTGTATTAGCTTCTGTTCAATTGAGTTGCATTGATAATTTTGGCCATGGTTACTAAACTCCTAGAAAGCTATTCACTATCATTTCCTTTGTTTCATTGGCATTGTTCCTTTAATAATTACTTTGAGCCTAAAAGGAAATTTATCAACACAAATGTGTCGTTGGTTTTTTGTTTCGCGGCCAAAGTGGGCGGAAAGTTGAATAAAATTACTCCTATCTAAGAATTTCAAATTCACACACCTACACACTGAGCAACGAGAAAAATACTCAAAAAGGGAGATTATCTCTCTTGGGTAAACTTAAATGTCACGTGGAAGTGTCTTAAGGAAAATCTCATAACACTTAGAATTATAGTTTACTTCCTTGCTTAGGAAAGTTTGGATCGAGTTAAGAGTGGTGAATTGTGAAGCAAAATGAAAAAAAACATATTTGGGTCTCAGAAGTCTCTATCAAAAAGATATTCATGGCCCAATTCACAGCTCTAGGTATGAACAACAACTATTTCCAGCATGTCAACTAAAACTTTATCCAAACGATAGCCTTCATTTGAGAAGACTTTTGGCAGGGATATTGCGGGCACTTTCCGCTTAACTAATTAACTCGCCCACACATGCACATCTTGAGCAGAAGGATGTAAAATCAATTATTATGAACTTAACCTATGAGGAAATTGCCGATTATAGCGCTAATGAGACTAACGGCTAGCAGAGATAAACACTAATGGAGTTTGCGGGACACATTTGCCGTGAAAAACTGCTCTACACGAAAGCATTTTTTATTTATTTATTTTAGAAATGTATCAAAAAAAAAAAACCAAATCTTATATTCCATCTAATATTTTCGCTTGCACGCTATTGGTCTGAACAAGTCACGAGTTCCCTTGGTCTCAACAAGTCACTTGCAGACCAAGGACTGGAAAATAATCACGTCCTTCGCAGTCAAAGGTTTTGACGAACTCTGTTCTTAATCTGCTTCGTATTAAATCTTATTGTTTGAGGGTAAGCCGTTCGTTATTGGCTGTTTATTACTTTAACCTTAACGCAAAGTAAAAATACACGAGATGGTTGTTAAACTTCGTTTTAGCTTAGCTTCAACCATATTTCACAATATTTGAAAGAGGAAAGAAGCTCTTACGTCCTAAGAATGATCAGAATCAAATTTCTCCTAAAATATTAGCACAGGATCACTAGTTAAGGTCATGAAAATTAATGAAATGATTAGTAAGACTTTTAATACATTTCAATAGTTGTCGCAAGACAATGTATAGGTTATATACGAGGTTATATCATATGTAAACTGTGGAATTCAGTGATATAATAGACGACCGTTTATGAGTTCTCCACAGTGGATATTTCTTCATCGATTGTTCTCCAATCAAAACTGTCATGAAAACTATTTATCTCTCAGCATAAATTAATCAATTTTCAGCCGATCTTGACCACCGCTGTCATAAATCAGAGCAGTTATTCTTAAAAGCTGCAACTCGCCACTCTCGTGTGATTTGAACATCACCAACAAAAAGAAACATTCTTCATCTACTGAAGAACAAAGGCCTTCTTTGGTCGTAACCTTGAGCCAATGATATTGTCCGAAACTGGCGTTATGTCTGAGAAAGCTTGGCAGTTTTTGATTGGTACAAGGATCACCAAAAACTGGCGCTTGTCCTGTGGAATGTTTTACTTACAAGTAGTCCAAGGAGGTTTTCTAAAGGTGCTATCTTCGTTTCTCTTTCATTGCTTTTTTACTCGCTTCTCTTCGTCTTTTGTTGATGGGATTTCGTGGATCAAATATTTCATATGTATCTTCATTTTCAATGTAAGCATCCCGAGCTCGTTTGCTCTCAGCTTCGCACTTCAACGAGTGAAACATCCTAGAAAAATACACCAAAGGCACCAATCAAACTCATGTTAAAGATGATGGATCAATGTCAATATCCAATCAACTGCACACCCGCCCTCCCCTCCCCTCCCCTAACCCAACAATAGTCAACTGATAACAAGTTAGGGTTAATGTTTGGTAAGGGGTGGAGTAGGTGTGCATTTGTTCAAATACTGACATGGGAGAGATCCTGACACGGGATGAGAGTTTCTAAAGCTAACGTTTAGAGCGTTATAGAGCCCTTAGTCAGAACGTTAGCCTTTCGCTATAACGTAGGGCTAACGCTCGAAACGTCAGCTTCAGAAACTCTCTTTGGTGGCCAATTTATATCATTAACTCAATTGATCAAATCAAAATATTATATTGTTGACTTCTTTGGTTTTGTTTTGTGTTTTTGTTCTCTTACCACCCAGTGTCATCATCTTGGTTTTCTTCGTCTTTTTCAATGTCTTTTCCTTCGTTTTCCTCTCTCTCTTGTTCTCCTTCAACATTATTAAGTTTGGATGCAAATGACGCCAAAAGAGAGAGGGTCTGCAAATAAAGAATAATAGTTACACTCGTCTTATCACATTTGGAAATATGTCGGTAACAGTTAAGCCTAACCCCAAAGAGTGACCGGCTTCTAAATTCTCCTTACAAAATCACCCTTGAATCCAGTGTCAAGGTCACGAGAATAAAGGAGATGATCAGAAATTTAAGACACCCTTGACTGATAAACAAACCAGTTCTCCTCGATAGTATCATAAGAATTGTTGAGAGAACAGTGCGGAGAAAATGAATGCTGATGTTAGAGTATGAAGGGTAAATAGAGAGAACCTCAATTAAAGGAGCTATGTAAAACTACCTTCAGCTCGAACAAAACCACAAAATATTAGTTCGCAGAGACAGAAGGACACAATTGAAGAAGTAAAGTACCATGAAGAAACAATAATTGTTACGGAAGGAAGAGATGAATACGGATGACAACATTGAAACATTTAGGCTACATTTTTCAAGATGGACCAAATAGAACACAGCTCCTATACAACAAGGATTTGCTTAAGCCAGTTTCAGCCTTTATGGGAGTAAACAACAAAATTATCGGTGTCATCGGACACGTCTAAAAAAGCCAATAATTAAGACCACCAACAGCCGCTTTTATTCCTCTTAAACCAAACACTAACGAAAGACGAAAGCGAGTGACAAATGATGATAGTGCGAAACTTGCAGGAGGTTAAAATAACTTTTTCCATAGGCGGATGCCGTCGGTTTAATAGGAGGCTGTGCTCGGAAAAAGGGCTGTAAGGCGAAACCCAAAACACGAGAGCCTGCTCGCAGGCTCAACAGACGGCGATAAGAGTCTTGTAGGGGTACTACTACCCCTGTAGGCGGCGGTTGGACACCAGCCTCTATTGAAACCTCTGAACCTAGTGGTGACTGTGCTCAGTTAGCCAAAATAAACTATTGATTTATTATCAGTGCTGTTGGCTTCGTTGTGTATTCATTTCGTGATATAATACCTGTTCATCTCTCCCTTCTCCTTTTCTTTTCTGGCTCGTTTTCTTTTTTTCAAGATACGTTTTTTGCTCAGCATGGAAAGCGGCCAGGACATCGGATTCTTTGGTCTCTATCAAAAATCAAAATTAAAATGACAAAGTTCCCCCTCTAACAACATAGGAGTAATTTATTCTGATTCTTTGTCCCGTTTTGACATTTTCTTAGGATGGATGTTTTCACTGGCATGCCTTCTCCATCTGTAAACGAGCTCTGTAAAGAAACTCATTAAAATAGCAAAGCTACAAAAAAAATAATAAATTTAAAAAAAAACAAAATTTACAGCGCTGCACTGGCCGGGAATCGAACCCGGGCCTCCCGCGTGGCAGGCGAGAATTCTACCACTGAACCACCAGTGCTTGGCTATTTATTGATGGAGAATTGACCCGAGAGAAGCTTTATTCGAGGGTAATAAAGAATCTTTATATTTCAGACTTCTCCTTACGCCTTCTTAAATTTCATCGCATGAATTCACTGTCTTGTGCTCTATAACAGAGTTAAATCAAGAAGCCGATTGTACACCGTACTATGATTATTAACATTTCGGAGACTGGCACATGTTTAAATTTTAGTTGCCTTGAGCAGAAGAAGTGAGTCTATTGATGCTAAGTGGCAGCTTGTAAAATGTGTAACGCAAAGTTTTTCTTTAATTTTTTTTGGTGTGTCTGTATCTTCGTATCTTTCCGAAATAGGGGCCGTAAGAAGAGCCGCTACTTAAGAGGGAAGCCGATAAGAGAACAACCACGACAGACTTTATTCTCTAAACGCAGAAATCTAGTAGAAATCCCGAGGTTTATTTTCGCGAAAAAACAATTAGGTAAAAAGAAAAAAAATCTTCGAATGGTCTTAATTTGACGTGTAAAATCTGCTCTCATTCCCTAAAGTATATCGTTTTTTTTTTTATCTTTAATTATGAATTTTTTTGCCCGCCTAGACTGGCACTGGCTACGTGCGAGCCAGGAGAAAATCGTCACTCGTCTTAGGAAAATTTGCAAATGCTGATACAAGTGTTCATACCTGAGGAACTTTCTTCTTTCTCAGTTTTCTCAGTTTTTGACTCCATCAGTTCTCGCTTCAGTCTTTTATATTCAGCACGGGAGGAAGAAATCTTGGATTGCGGTTCCTCTTCTTCTTTGCTAGCAAGAGAGTTAAAAGAACGCAAAAAGTATAGCTATTGTTTTGTGTTCGTTCCTGCCCTTGAGCATAACACTCGTTTCGCGCTCGCATCTTGTATGCAAAAGAAGAAAACGTGTGACGCTAGTTGAAGGCAGGGATAATGGACATTTTTCAGCCACCGAACTATTCAACATGATTAATAACTATGGGCATCACCTACAGGGAGGCCCTCATTACAAGAGCAGCCTTTAAACTCTTTACGATGGTCAATTTACGTTTTCAACTCAGTTGTCAACACTAAATGGCCTCATTATAAGGGCTCGGGCACAAAGGTTCCTTCACTTGCGGGAAATTATGAAGCCTTGAGCTACGCGAACCCATGAGAGGTCTGCAAGGGGTCTAGCTCTGAGAATTTTGTAGATGATCATTTCCCATATTCTCACTAACTTAATGATTTAATCAGGGGTGATCTTGTAAGGAGAAATAAGATGCCAGTCACTCTTAGGGGTTAGAGTGTCAATAACTCTGGGCAGCTGTTTCATGTCAGACTCAGTATTTTTTCATTTGCCTATAAAAGAGCCCAGAGTCAAGTAGTGACGACCCTTTTTGTTTACTAACCTGGTTTCTAATCGTTCTTTTGTTTTCATTCTATCACTATCATCCTCATCTTCCTCTGCTTTCCTTTTCTTCAGTTTATTTCGCACCTTGTCTCGCATATCTGCGTCAAAATCCCGTCCATCGGTATTCTATAGGCATAAACAATCATATTAAAAATGATTCAATCATCCCCCTCAATCTTTCACTGCTGGAATGAAGTGCTGTTGAATAAGTCAACAGCCAAAATAAGTCAAAATATGTACACTGAAGAAAAAAATGAGGACGTCAGTCCTTGGGGTCTTGAATTGAAAATGAATACCAACAATTAATTAGGCAACAGTAATAACAACATGGTTAACAGAGTGTACCGTATATCAGAACGACAAGAAGATTTGGGATCAATGTCAGTACATTAACAAATGTGCACCTACCCCTCCCCAACCCAACATTACCCCTCAGTTGACTCTTGTTGGGTTAGGGGAGGGGTAGGTGCACAGTTACTTAGATACTGACATTGTTCAGAGATTTGATTAGGAGGATAAATTGTCCAGTGACAATCTATTCTACAAAGTGTTTAAAATGAGTTATACAGAACAAACAAACCTAAAATACATACCTCCTCATCACTGTCATCATCTAGGCCTTTATTCTTGGATTTTTCCTTTTTCTAAAAAAGTCGGGATGCTTGTTCATTAATTAAGAATTTCTGTAATTAATTAGTGGGGAAAGGTTCTTTATTTCTTAAATAATCACCTTTGCATCTTTTGAAAAATCACTCTACTTTCCTTCAGAAAAATCAGGGTCACTCAATAGTTCAAGAAGACCACAAAACAACAATGAGTTCTATAACAAGTAATAGGAAAGTAGAATCCCCCAGAGGGTGAGTAGCATGTGGTGGGTGGAGAATTTTGGACATGAATAAAGGGGGTAAGCTTTTAGAGAAACTGTGGTGCTGTGGTGGTGGGGGGTAATATGAGATAATTTGGTTTTATCAACTGATTTGATGATGTAATTTGGCCACCATACAGAGTTTCTATAGCTGATGTTTCGAATATCAGCCCCTTGTCAGAGTAAGAGCTTTACAGCATTTTGGACATGGGTTGATTCAAGGTGACTGCTAACATGCAAACAACAAAATTGCCAGACATGGTGTGAAGAGCAGAATAAATACATGTAACACTTTCAAGTGTTAATTATTAATTCTCCTCTAAAATTGCAGGACAATTGCCGACATATATCAATGATACCTTCACTTCAACAGCAGGTTGTTTACTCAGTTTTGGATCATTCAACAAATCATGACTGCTTTTCATCTTTAATGTCTGAAATAATAAAAAAAAGAAAGTGAATTCAAATCAGTTGTAATAATAATCAACTTTGGAGGAAGCAAACCAATGGATAAGATGGACTCCCTCCTCAAAGTTGCGAGTTTTTATAGAAACCAGTGCTACGTCAATTGGCAAGTGAAACCCCCTACTACAATTGATAATCTTGCAGTAAACATATACCATGGGGAATTTTGATAATCCCATTTCTGCCCCTTAGCTGGGAGTTTCAATAAAAGCAAGTTACCAGTGGTTACCACCACTTGTAGGACCTCTCACCACTGTCTGTATAGCCTGCAAGTAGGTTCATGTTTGGGTATTGCCTTAAGGCCCTTTTTCTGGGGCACAGCCACCTAGTACATTATTAGCAGTCACTTATGGAAACAGTTATTGAAATCCCTGTATTAGCACTTCATATGCCTTTTGAGTTTCTTTGCTCTGAAGAGCTACCTCAGAAATTTCAGCTTTTTGAAATTTGCTTTAAAAGGTTATCTTCCTTATAAGATAGAGCTTTTTCAATTGAGTGTCCGAAGAAATCTAGGATTTCTTTGGGTTTCACTCAACTTTGCTTCTGTGATTGGTCCAGAAAACTTGTACCATCCTCTCAAAGTAAAAACAATCATGATTTAGTCATTCACATGCTTCAAGCAGTTTGCTTGTTTTCACTGAGTTTTCATTGGCTAATTTTCTGCTTGGTCACTAGGATTACCTTGGTTTTGGCTTTTGGATGCTCAATTGAAAACTGCTCTACTAGCTGGGAATTAACCTTTTAACTCTCAGATCAAATTTGTAATTCTTGTTACTGTCAGTCATACAATTCTTTTAAAGTTAGTTCAGAGAATTTAGTAAATTGGCAGTATCAACTAATTATCCCCAAATTTATACTTTTCTTTTTTCTCATCACTTATCTGATTGATATTGTATCAATATTGTTAGGAGAAATTCGGTCTTGGTCACTCATGAGAGTTAAAGGGTTAACTACTAATAAGTGAGTGTTTCACTTTACTAGCCTGAAGTGGTCAAAATCTAGAGTCTCCTTAAAATGACAATATTCTCACAGAAAATAAAATGAGGTGAAACAATGGAAAACAGAAAACAAAATTTGTCAACTGAAAGTAGTAATAGAGTGTGATGTAATTATTACAAATTTCTCTTTATCCTCTGGCCCCTAATTGTGATTAGCATCTGGTTTCTCCTTACAATATCACCCCTAAATCACACTTAAAGGTCACAAGAATAAAGGAAATGATTACCAACTAAAGTAGCTCTTGATTGTTAAGCAAATTTTCCTTGTAAGCACCTGAGGAAATGTATAGAGAACAGTATGGAGAATATGCATTCTGTTGTTAGGGTGTAAAGTACTAACCCATGCTAACAAGAGGAATTCTGGTAACCATTTAATAAAAAACTATTATAATCTGACCTTTGAAACTGAAGCTACTGTTGATTCATCTTCTTCTGCCTCTTCCCCGAATGACAATAAGCTAAAGTTTCTACAAGAAATCATATTTGAAGTAAACAAAACCTGTGGTGACAAAATATCATATTTTGATTTTACCACAACATTACCTAAAAGCAATCTCTTTTTAATTAGTTCTAAATCTCTCTTACTGATTATCAAAGGCAATTATATGTAAGATGTAATACTAACTGATTCAAAAACTTGGGTTCAGTCTATTAGTTTGGTCTATGTTGAGGCATTTAAAAAATACTACATGTGAATATATATTAACACATAAAAAGAACAACAAGAGAAAAGCTGCAGTGGCACCTACTTTGTTCCTTTGACTTTTTTCTTTTTTTCTTCTTCAGGTTTTGTTTTCACCTCCTCTTTTCTCTGCCTTGGAACTATGTCATCAAAAGGATTATATAAAACCTGAAAATGAGGAATTTTTGTTTCACTATTGATAAGTAGTAATTACTGAATCTAAACCATTATTTCCTTCACTGATCCATTATTTGACCTTTTTTTCCCTTATATGATATTAGAATACCTCACTGACCCATGATAAATAATTTTAAGTAAGACTTCAAGGTCTATAGTACAGAAGATGAGTTAACTTCATGAGAGGAAAAAATGATTACAGACTGTAACTATTACACCAATATTTAATTAACCTTTCACTTCGCAATACAATTCTTATAATAATAGTTCTGAGAATTTGGTATTGGATCAACTAGTAATCCCCTAATTAATAACTTTCTTTATTGTATCGAAATTGTAAGGAGACATTCTGTCTTAGTCACTCTTAGGAATTAAAGGGTTTAAGGAAGTATAAATCAATCATTTCATCAAACCTCTGTTTTCTTTATCTTAGGAGGGAAAAGAGGTCTGTCATTATTGTCAACTTCACAATCTTCCATCTTAATCATGTTGTAAATGGTGTCTCCTGCAACCTACAAACAGAGGTGACAAACTTTATCCAGATTTGTTACAATAAAACATGAAAATTAAACATGGTTTTCCTTTCTGTTACACTGGCCTTTCATTGGTTTCATGCATTTTGATATTGCACTATGTGCTGATTCATCCTTGAGATTATTTTGGTTTGGTTTTGAGGGTGCTCAATCAAAAGAGCATTGCACGATAAACACATCCATCAGCAAGGATAGAGCTAGACTGCACTAGATACTATTTATCCAAGTTATATGCATAATTAGATACAAATTGAAAAATGGTGTAACCCTTGAAATCCAGAGGTCCTGGCTTTGAATGCTTCTCTAACTAATTGCAGTATTCTTTTGGGTAGTTCCACCTGGAATTTTCTGAGCAATTCTCCGTTTAGCATCCACTTTAGTCCTGAATTGCATTTTTTTTGTTTCACTTTGCTCAGTGTATTTGGCACAGGAGTGTTTTGCATTGTGTGTTTTTTCTATAGTCATCACCAGTAATTGCATCACCCCAACAAAAGACAATTTTTTAAAATTTATACCTTGCCAAATATGGTGTGTTTGCCATTCAATTCATGTGTTGCTCCAAGAGTGAAAAAAAACTGACTTTGATTATCATTGGGTCCAGCATTGGCCATTGCAACCAGCCCTCTGCGCACAAAGCGAAGCCTTTGATGAAATTCATCCTATGAGAGCAAAGAGTAACTTAAACAAGTCACTGACAAATTTTAAATACAAGTTTAAACATTTTTAAAGTCCTTATTCTGAAGCTCATTCTATTTACAAAAATGGATCACATCAACCAAAATCAAGTTCAACAAATACCTTGAAAGGTCTTCCATAAATTGATTCTCCCCCTGAGACAAGAACAAAAAAAAATAAAAAAGAAGAAGAGAAATGCAACCTTTTCACAGGTATCTGAGAAAACATGAAACACCACATTGAATAGAAAATTTATTTTAAAGAATCAACCAAGTACAAGACCATATTTATCAACTGGCCACAGCATATAACTTACCCATCCCTGTTCCTGTTGGGTCTCCTCCCTGCACACAGAAACCTACAGGAAAAACGTGAATGAGTTTGCTAACAGCTTGGATAAGTTTGCTGACAACTGAAATCAGTCCCCAACAACTTGGGTGAGTTCAGCAAGAACTTGGATAAGTTCATTGACAACTTTAGCAAGTTTGCTGACAACTGCTGCAAGATCCCCAACAACTATGACAATGTCACTGACAACTTAGATGGGTTCACTCAACAATTGTCAGACAAACAGGTAATAACATGAAGCAAACTCCTTAATCTTTAATCTTAATCTTTAATCACAGTTCGTAACCATACATCGAACAAAGGTACAAAAATGGTTGACAGGATGGTAGTAGGGGGAAACTAAATTCCCATGCTAAGACATACCCTCCAAAAAAAAAACAAAAAAACAAAACAAAACTATAACAAAAAAAAAATTGGTATTTGGGGTAATTATGAGCGGAGGTACTTAATTAGTGAAACTTTAAAAGACTGAAGGCTAGGGGATGACATTACTTCAGAAGGCAAACAGTTCCAATCGTTAATATATCTATTAAAAAAAGAATATTTAAAATAATTTGTACAAGCAACTTTAGGCCTTATTTTATACTCATGCTTACTTCTAGTTCGAGTTATTCCAACAATATCAAAGTAATGATGGCAATTGATATCACAGTAACCAAATATAATCTTATACATTTGAACTAGGCTAAGGTATTGCCTTCTCAGTTCTAAAGAGTCCCATTTTAACTCTAGAAGTCTTTCAGGATATTCTTTGTCTGAGCCACATATTAGTAGGGACGCTCTTCTCTGAATTGCTTTGATTGCCTTGGTGTGTTTCACCAGATAAGGATTCCAGACTGGGCAGGCATACTCGAGGATAGGTATCACTAGTGCCTTAATGACCAATTCTGAAACAGGCTGGACCAGGTGTATTAGAATTTTGCATCCTAATACTAATATATAAATTTAGTTCCTGGCTTCTAAATTATGAGAACCTTAGGTAGACATGGACCCTTCTATCAACCACGGACACAATCATGAATGATCTGGACACAATCATACACTATCATCTCCTTCTATGAGTTCACTGGGGAAATTAAAACTATATTTTTTTGGTGTAACACATCATATTTTGTGGATGTCACTTAATCAATGTTTACCTTTGACAATTCTGTGGAAAATAGTGCCATCATAATATCCCTCCAGACAGAGCTGAACAAAATTCCTGCAGGTTTTGGGAGCTTCTTTTGACCACAACTCAATCTCTATTTCTCCAGATGAAGTAATGAGAAGAACCTGTTGTGATTAAGTGAAAATAGCTGTAAATGGTATTTGTGAAAAGCTGTAATGGTTGCAAAAGAATTTTTTATAACTTTTATTTTAAAACCCTCTTAAACAACTTAAAAGAAAATTATTTCAAATGGTATAACAAACAAGAATTTGGAATAATTATTAAATAAAAATTATTTACATCATAAGATGGTAATCTCAATTACTTTTCACCACTTCACCAAAATTTGAACAACTGGAGATTGCAAGCAGGATATATCCTATTAATTTATCACAATTATTTATAAGCTTGAATGAATGGCAGCCAGTCGAGAGAACTGAAATTTTGATCAAGAGTGAGAGCGATGTAAACAACTGGCCCTGTTTCAGTATTTTTTCCCAAGTGTTGATTTCTTTCCGCTAAGTCACGCAAACAATGACACAGCATGTCGATACACATTTCGTTACTCAAGCCAGCTGTTGCGAGACGACGATAACTCTAAAAGATCTACTACTTGGACAACTTGTTGTCTTGAAATGTTCAAATCTGCGCGCCATACTTTTACAACAACTGCCTCATTTCCGACAATTTTCTTATAATTCTGCCGGAAATTTTTCCCAGCCAAGTATGACTATTTCTCACCTTTCCATTTGTTGGAGGCTCTTGGATATATATGTTGCTCATTTTTGTAAAATTTGAAATTTAGTTGCAGACAACTTCTTCCTTAAAACCTGTTTATGAAATCCTCTTCCAGAAACGAAACAAATCAGCGGATATGCCTCTGCAAGCAGGCGCATGTCTTACTCCACGTGTTTATATTTCATGATGGCGTCCAAATTGTCTGTGTTACGAAACTTGGCCCTAAGGAGAAATCTTCGTATTTTTTGCCATCAGGTGAGTGCATCATTTATGTTAATTGAATTTCTATTATCATTCCTTCTACAATAAATTTTTCTAAATCCAGAACCGACCAATTGTCAAAGGAAAACGCCCTATCTGTTCATGTGTGACGATTGGAAATTCAAATTTTAGCAAGGTTAGTTCAGTGATCTTCAACAAATTTCTGCAGATGATCTTACTTTTCTTGCCTCAATTTAAGGGATTACTCACATTATGATTTTTTAATTTACAGGAGTTTGGAAAACAACCGCGTGGTTTACGATTTCTACGAACAACGTCAGGTACGTGATGGGTACATCAAATTAGATGTTAGTTATTCTATTTGTTGAATTTTTCAGAGATCTTGTGAAAGATTAGGACGATTCACCCTGATTTACTGCCTCTCTGAAGTAATTGATGATCGTTATGAAGCGAACCTTCAATTGGAAAAGTACACTGAATAATTTACGAAAACTTCCGATGATGGGCGTTATGGGGGTGTGTCAGGGGTGTGACAGATGTGATGGTATTGATTTTAAAAGTATTCTTTAAATTAGCTACTAGTTTTTTTTATGCCATTAAAACAATACAGTCTACCATTCAAATTGTTCTTTAGTAAAAAAAAAAAAAAAAATTTAATCAGGTGTGAATGGAGAAGTCCTTCCTTTTAAATTATCCGACATTGGGGAAGGAATTGCAGAGGTTACAATCAAAGAGTGGTAAGTTTTATATGATACCTATATCATTATCCCTTTCACTCCTAGTAGGGACCAAGACATACTTTCTCCTTACAATTAAATAAATATAACATCACACACACAAGTAATGAGAATGTAGAAGGATATCAATCAGTCAATTATCATTTAATAATGATATATATTAACTTAAATAATGCAGATATCAATATTATTTCACCTAATACTGAATTATCAGAACTAAAATTACAAGCAATGTATAGCAGCCAGTGAGAAGAATCACCAATAAAAGAGATCTTGGAGATGAAAGAGTTAAAAGAAATTAATTTTGTCATTTTTCTATTAGGTATGTGAAGCCAGGAGATCATGTGAATCAGTTTGACAGTATTTGTGAAGTACAGAGTGACAAGGTTAGACTACATAACATTTATAATCATCTATGGTGATTTTCCCTTAAATTATCAAAAATAAAATCTAATCCTCTTCATCATTTGCAGGCATCAGTAACAATAACAAGCCGATTTGATGGTACAATCAGGAAACTGTATTATGATGTAGATGATATTGCAAGAGTTGGACAACCCTTAGTGGACATAGAAGCAGAAGCTAATATTGATTCCAGTGAGTTTTTATCGCAAATCATATGCATTTTATCCTAAAATCTTATGATAATCTATGGTCAACTAAATGAAAAATGAATATTTTTTCAGTCAATTTTGAGAGTATTGATATTTGGGTAGGGAGAAGAAATAATCATGCAGAGAACAATAATATAATGGACAATATATTTCCATACTAGTTAATAGGTGCATTCTTGTTGGCAAATTGGTGAGTCCAGATGAAAGTAAGTAACTGCTTGAGACTCTTTTTTTTTTTTCAACTATTAATAACCATGGATTAGTAAAGTGCTTTCCATAAAGCTTTAGATTAAATCCTTATCTTAACTGTGATATTTGGTATTTTAAGATGTTGATGCTGGTCCTAGCCCTGCTGAAGATGTCATGGCTGCCCAACAGAAGCCTAAACCAACGCATGCTATAGAACAACCACTTCCACCTCCACCCCTCTCCCCTCAGTCTTCACCACCTCAGTCGAAAGCTTCACCAGTCCCTCCCCCTCAGATTACCACAAAACAGACTAACAGTGATGGGAAGGTGTTAACAACACCAGCTGTACGCAAAATGGCAATGGACTATAATGTAAGAAGAAGTAAATAGATTTCAAGTAGTCCTTAAAAAGTTTTGTCAACTTCTTTTTAACATACTTTTCCTCAGCTAGTTTTAAGAATTAACTGGGTAGTAAGTGAGGTGAGCATGTGCTTTTCAAGACCTGAATTGAAATTTTCGCAAAAAATGTTGTTTTCCAGATTGAACTGGGTGACATCCCAGGAACTGGTAGGGATGGCAGAATCGTTAAAGAAGATGTGTTGAATTACATTGAGAGAATGAAGGCTAAACCCACTGAAGGTGAGTTTTTGGATAGAAGATTTATTTTTTTGGAACAAATTGTTTGTCTGAGCACTCTTTGCAATGTCTTCACAGCCCCTGCCCCCACAGTAGAGATTGTTGCCCCAACCACCCCACCCTCAACTCAAATTGCAAGACCAGAGGTGGTGCTTGAAGACAGAACAGAAGCTATCAAAGGAATCAGGAGAGCAATGGCTAAGGCTATGACAGCATCACTTACAATTCCACATTTTGGATACAAGGATGAAGTAATTCTAAATGAGCTTGTGAGGTAACAAATGATTTTACTTGTCCAAGGTCTGTGTATATCTTCTTTCCTTTTCTGTTAAATTTCCAACTACCTGTCCCTTTACACTGTCAAATACATATGGAGGTAACTGAGAAATATATTCGGCTATTGGTTCTCTTATTATATTTTTGTCCAGGGTAAGAAATCACAGTAAAGAATCATTTCAGGCCAGAGGGATGAAGTTATCCTTTATGCCAATGTTTATGAAGGCAACTTCTATGGCTCTGCTCCACTTCCCAATACTAAACAGCTCAGTGGATCCTGCATGTGAGAATATCACTCTTAAGGTATTTAATAATTCCTCCGAAGAGTAAGAAATGATCTATGGTTGCTTGATAATTAAAATATCATAATTGGAAGTGTACATCATAAACAGTACCTCCAAGAACCTCAAACCATTTAATGTAACAATCCTAATTAAGCAGACTACTCAGGGCAGATCACATGCACTATTTTAACCCTCTAAATTCCCAGAAGTGATTGACATGTAACTTCTCACTATAATATCCATAATTTATCTAGAAAACAGGAAATGAGAATACTTAAACTTATCAGGTAGAAGTTGCTATCTTGATCCAATACAAAATTCTCATAACTAATTTATGAGGAAATGTGTAGCAGCTAAAGGAGAGAATTAACAATCAGAGCTTGGGAGTCGAGGATTAACTGAAATCAAAGGGTGTAAACCATGCAATGATCAATCTTATGATTAACATCTATTCAAAATACAATAATTCCATAATAATTTTATTCCTCAACAATTTTTTCTCCAACCTGTTAATGAATACTACATTTTGATCCCATTTGTCAGGGTTCACACAACATTGGGGTTGCCATGGATACACAACAAGGCTTAGTGGTACCAAATGTGAAAAATGTACAGAACAAGTCAATATTTGATATCACTGTAGAGCTTAACAGACTTCATCAGCTTGGACTGGCTGGTAAACTTACACCAGAAGACTTGGTTGGAGGAACATTTACCCTCTCAAACATTGGATCAGTAAGCTTCATCTTTGAATAGTTACAAGTTCAATTAAATTTTAAATAATTTAGTTATTTTCACATTGACGATAATTTTTGAAGTGGCAAGCATTGAGGGCTTCTAAACGCCAAAATTCGGCCAAGGTTTAGACCTGTTGGACAACACATCACAGGTGAGGTCATGATTGCAAAAATTTGCTTCAAGTGACATGGACAATTTTGCACAAATTCAAACTGATTTAATTTGTGCAATAGTCACCCAAACCCAACACAGCAAATAGTTTGTTGTGAAGATCTGAGTCAGTGGCTCATCACTTAGTGGATCCAAGCCTTTGTAAGAAATTTAAATATGAACCTTTGCATCTTTGGTTATATGATCCAATTGCTATGATGTCTTTGCCAGATTGGAGGAACATATACAAAACCAGTGATTATGCCTCCTGAGGTTGCCATTGGTGCTATTGGAAGAATACAGGTTAGCATACTCATTTAACTCTTTAAATTTTCAGGAGATAACAAGTCTGGGTTCAATATCATGGACATAATGTTACAAAGAGGTAGCTTGTCTGAAGGCTGTTTAGGCAACATCTGACCTCTCCCTTGCTAATCATGATAATCAAAACAACTTATGTGCTCCAAAACAATGCTTTCATTAGGAAATGTATTGGAGAATAGTGTAAAGTAAAAGTGGAATATTCTCCACATCTGAAAAAGAGCTAGCTCAGGGAATGGAAATTTAGTAAGAGAATTCTGCATACTAGCTAAAGAGTTCTTTTATCCCTTAATGGTCAATGAACACCCTGCAAATTGTCAGTGAAACACTAGTTAAGGACTCCTCTGTTTTCCCCTACTGTTTACTCACATGGTTATTTGTAACAATTTTTATAGGAAGTCCCCAAGTTTGATAAGGATGACAATATTTACAAAGCGTATATACTCAATGTAAGCTGGTCAGCTGATCACAGAGTCATAGAAGGTGCTACAATGGCTAGGTTTTCAAATCTATGGAAATCTTATCTAGAAAACCCTGCTTCTATGATGATGGACTTAAGATAATAATTCTCTTGTGCCCCAATTAGCCTTATTAATTTGCCTGTAAGGATTGTAAAATTGTTGTAAGGGTTCAATACTACATTTCATGCAAAAACAGTTTTACAGGTACATGCCTGTACAGTTATTACATGGAGAAAAATTAGATCAAGAAATTCCACAAGCAAAGCATTTCAAGACTAATATGGAATAAATAGATCAATATCAGTATCTGAGCAGCTGTACACCTATCCCTCCCCTAACCCAACAACAGTCAATTGATAACAGGTTAAGGTTAGTGTTGCTTAGGAGATGCATAGGTGTGCAGTTGTTCAGATACTGACATTGATCCAACGAATAATATCTTCACCTTTTGTGGCTTGTATATACTAGACAGAGCTATTTTACCAATGGGTAATGTTTTACCCTTGATACAAAATAGGGTTCAATAAGTGAATAAATACTAGTGTTATTTATTTTTAATTCTTGAAAAAAATACATTGACTTTACATTTAGTTGGGGTTTACAACACTGTAACTTGAAGTAACTAGGGAAAATAATAATATGTAAGGCTATATTTTCATACAAGTTTCATATTTAACCTTTAAAAAGATTTGTTCAGTCTAGGTCTGGTTTTCATCTTTCAAATGATGTTCAGAAAATGAGCTTTGTGAGGATTATTTATCAAGATCATGGACTATTTTTGACAGTATCTTAATATTAAAACTTACTGTAAACCCAAATTCAATATGGTGTTGTGAAAGTTACTTTCATATAAAACCATGGGTAAAGGTATTCAAGTATTTTGTTATGTGTTTCATAATCTAATTATAAATCTCATGCTATTAACACTAAGCTATAAACTAAATTAAAACAGCTGCCCAAGTATATAGTGTGTACAAAGTGCAGAATAAAATAGCAAGAACAAGCTCTTGGAGTTCTTACAATTTCTTTCTAAAAAGTTTTCATTACAGGGTTAAATTAAAAATACAGTCATGTAAGAATTTGTTTCCTTCCAATCAACCCCTACATTGTGAGAACATCTTCCCCCTAACTACACCAAACATCAGTGGTATAGTTCTTGTACTACTAAGCTGAACCTTTGTACAGACAGAGAAGAGAGTTGAATTACATAAAAACAAATTGTTCATGTTTTAAAAAAAAAAAGTGTTACCTTGTCCTTGCAAAACCATGCATATGACTATGGTTTTGGTTTTACACTTTGACAGTTGAACAAGTGAAAAAGAACTTTTAACTCAAATTATAGCAATATTGTTAATATTTGAATACCAGTAAAGAACTGAAGCACTTTCAAAACTTGTGATAATAGTTGATACAGAAGGCTTAAACATCCACCCCTGCTCATGGATCTTTCCCGCATTTCAGTTTCAAGCATCATAATCTATTCACAAGAACATTAGGGTTGAATAGTCTTGAAGAGCATCACTCAGACTCTGAGGTTGCCTTGTGTCTTTTTCTGCTCTTTTTCCTTCTGCTTTTTTTCTTTTCTTTGTGTTTGTGGCTCTTTCTGTGTTTACTCCTTGGCTGTTCTTTCCTGAAAATAATACTTGCAGCTGTATAATTACATGTAAGTAAATCAACTCTTGAGCAGCATTTTTCAGTAGTGATGTAGTGATCAGGCATTCCTTATTGTTTGTGGCAACAACAGGGATCAACAGCTGAGAGACAGAAAACCTGAATGCTTCCCCTTTTTTCCTTTAGTCTACAAAGAATAGCATCAGTCTGCTTTCTCATTTAAAATATTATTATTAGTGCAAATATACCTGCCCTCAAATAAAGTTCTTTTTTTAATCCCATGAAATTCTGTGACTTATCAAAAGATGGTTGCATAAAAGCATAAAATATACATGAAGGAACACAAGTGCTCTTGCCATGCAGACTAAGTAGAACAGACAGAAGCACCTGAAGTTATTAGTCATTCATTCTGACAAAGGGCTAACACTTCAAACCTCAGCAATAGAGGCCCTTTACAATGGCCAATCTACATTTATTTATTGACTAAGTTAATAAAATCAAATTATCTTGCAAATACTCCCCCACTGATGCAGCACCACAGATTCTTTAGAAACTTACCCTCTTTATACCTTGAATTTAGTTTGGTAAACCAGCAAGATTCATTCAAAATAAAATAATGATCCATTTAGCCTCATTTTGCATTATGAGCCTGATAATTTTGTGTCCTACTCACTTCTGATGTTTGCTAATCTTTTTTCTTTTTCTTTTTCTTTTATGACTATCAGAATCATCATCACCTACGACATGTAAGGATAAGCATGAAAATATATATTTTTTATTAGTAACAATACAAATTATTCCCATTAAAAACAAAAACTACCAATGAATATCTTAACCCTCTGACACCTGAGAGAGCCTGGTATCTAATTTCCTCAAACAATATCATTCCTACAAGTTCACAAGAATAGAAGGGAATGATTATCAATTAAAAAAGATATTGATTGTTGAACAAATCCTCCTTGCCATAACCTTAACCTTTAACTCCCAAGATCTGATTGATAATAATTCTCCCTTCTGGCTTCTACACATTTCTTTGTAACTTAGTTGTGAGAATTTGGTGTCAGATCAAGATCATAACTTCTACCTGATAAGTTTAAGTATTCTCATAACCTGTTTATTAGATAATGTATGGATATTATTGGGAGAAAGTACATGTTAATCACTCTTAGGAGTTAAAGGGTTAAGAGATGAACAGAAAACAGTATACATGGGTGTAAAGGATTAAAGGAGTAATTTTCATATCATATATAAATTGTACTTTAGAAAATAATATCAAATAAATAATAAACAATTTAAAAGTTTGAAGATTGTAGTCACAAAATAATAAGAGACTTCAAATTTGACTGAGTTTCCTTACTTTTGTCAGTTTCATCAGTTGTTACTGAATGACTCCTCTTGGCTCTGCATTGAGAAATAATTCATAAAAAAGGTTTTGGTCAGTCATCACAGTTAATAACACTTTCAAAAGAGAAATGTAACTGTTTGTCTCATGATGTGGTCACTTTGGAGGTGCATCAGGACATTCCCACTGTATACTGCTAATCTTCTGCAAATATCATTAAAATCTTGCAATTAAAACAAGGATACTTAAATTACAAGACCATGCTAGTTTAACACACAGCTACTCATACCTCTTTAAAGCAGGTGGTGAGTATGAGGCAGCCCTCTGACGTGGAACATCTCTCTGTTTCAAGGCCCTCTCTAGAGACTGGGATCTTAAAATAACAGGAAATAGATTTTTTGTGTGGAAAACACATCATCATTAAAAAAGTTTGCAGCATCTAACCTTTCTTTCACTGTTTTTCTCCTCTGAGACTTTTTTCTTTTTGAATCTGAATCAGATGAAGTAGGAGTTGTTGTAGAGCTGACGCTGATTTCTTTATCGCTATCCTCTTCTTCACTGGATGTACTACTGACATCAACCACTACATCCTTCTTTGGATCAACGCGTACAAAGTTACGACACTGAAAAGTTAGGTGACCACCTGTTAAAACATAACCAACAATTAATCCTTTACACCCTAAAATCAGTATAAAAAATTCTCAATACTATTTTCTACACATTTCCTAAGGTGCTGACAAGGAGCATTTTTTTAACAATCAAGAGCTTTTTTAGTTGGTAACCGTATTTGATTTAAAGGTGAAACTTGAATAGTAAATGATCCAAAGTCATTAAATGTGCTCTAAATGTGCCACGGTGAATGATCATTGTACGTAACGCGAAAGTCCTCTGGTTCAACTACGCATGTTTTGTACTAAAACTTAACTAACTTTTAATTTTTTTGAATCAGATATTTATTTGTGTACAGTTACGTCACATTGAAGCTCTGAGATTTCAAACTTACTGTAGCCACATTTCTTGCATCCTGTTCTTTGACTTTCATTGTTTTGGTTTGTCAGTCGTCCAATTAAATCTGGAGATGGAAGTAAAGAATACCTGTTGATTTTAGTGTACTTTATATAGTCACAGAAGCAAAGAACAGCAAGGTGTAAAACTTGCAATACATGCTTTCCGTATTTTTAGGTTCACCAACCTTTTATGTCTGAGGAACTCATTTTAAATCCAATTAAGACTATTTGTGGTAGCTAGATGTGCATTTTACCTTTGAAAACCTGGTTAATCTTATTCGCTCACGAACGAAGTTCAAATGTTTCAAAACGCCGCCATGTTGATTGAACGGCATACACTGGGGCTCAGTTGGACCAAGGTTCCTCTCGACCAACTCGGATAAACATGGCGGTTTAGAGATCCTATTGTCTTTTTATGTTTACGCTGTATTTTGCCCCATCAAGTTGATTGGAAAACCTTTGATCCGATGTCTCATCGAAAGGCAACTAAACGTAGAAAAGAATTAGCTGGAGATGATGACTTCTCCCCGTCTTTCTTCCCGCAAAAGAAGCGATCGAAATCGCAAGAACAAAATGCTCAAACGAACGAAAGGCTACAGGATAATCTGTCGATGGAAGAAACTGAAACTGGTGTTAGAAGGTCATCAAGGACTCCTAAACCAAAAATATTTGACGATGAAGAGACTGCAGTTATCAGTCGAAGTCCTGACGTAACTTTAAGTCCAAAACCAAGTGACTTTGAAATAACTCAAGCAGTAGCCAGTCAGCCTTCCAATAAATCCAAATTAACTTCGCCCACAGACGACGCTCCGATTGCCAAGAAACCTAAAAAAATAAGTTCTTCAGCCACTTTTGACGAGGGCCATAAAAGAGAAACGAGACGAAGTTATCAAAGTTATCTGAAAGAAATCGAAACAGATACGGAAGTTTTCAAAGATGCTATTATTAAGGCGGTTGAGGATCGAACACCAAAGCTCACTGAAAATATTCAGAAGGATAAAAAAGAAACAGGATCTTCAAAGACACGGATTAAGAAAGAAACACAAGCAGATTTTTCTCCAAAAGTCAGGACATCTTCTAGAACCCCAGTTCCTAAAAGGATCTTCTCTCTGCTCGAAGAGGGAGAGAAGGAGGAGAAGAAACCAGAGGTATCTGTAATCCCCGAGGATACAATTGAGCCAGTACATATACCATCAACGTCTCCTAAAATGAGGGTCTCCTCAAGGGCTCATCTACCAAAAAAGAGCTTTCATTTATTGGAGAAGGGTGATGTTAGGGAAACAAAACAAGATGTGATAGAGAATAGCAGAACAAGAACTCCAAAAGTTCAAGGTAGCAAGAAAAGTAAATCCAAAGAGGGAAGAAATGATCAGGAACTTTTAAGGAACACACCAGAAAATTCCGATGAACCATCTCCAAAAATCAGAATTTCTTCACGAGGTCACATGCCAAAAAGAACTTTCTCACTTCTTGAAGGTGACGAGGATGACAAGAATATGGAAGAAAATAGAAATCAGTCGCCAAATACACTCAGGGATGACAATGGTATGTCACAGACTCTTACTGAGTTCCAAATTACAACTGTAGACCTAAAGGAACCAAAGAGGCGAAGGAGTTCCAGCAATCAACAATTAAATAAACCAAAATCATCTCCTAAGGAAGAGGTAAACTTGTTTCCAAACCGTGAAAGTGAAGTGTCACTTAGCACAGCAGACAAATTAGATGTGTCTAAAGGCATCAGTGTGAGTATTCAAGAATCTGGTGAAGTGTATGTGGGAAGAAAGAAGTCAGAATATTCTAAAGATGATCAGGATAGAGGAAAAATGAATAAACGAAAGGGTAAACCTGTGAAAAAGAAGATTATGCAATCAGAAGAAGTTCAGATGGCAACATCAACAGCATTCAAAGTGAGAGCTGAATCTGACCATTGTACTGGTGAAGAAACATCATCAACTTCAAAGCCAGCCAAACCTAAAAGCACACCTAAAGTTAAACAAGCTGATAAATCGTCAACAAAGAAAGGCAGTAGTGTTGGAAAAGGAGTCATGAAGGAGGATGGTGTAGAAAACAAACTAGGATTTTCACAGACTGATATTGTTACCAGTGATGATAATTCAGCAAGTGATTTAAACGCTGGTGCATCAAATGTGAAAAGAAAGGGAAAGATCATGAAAAGTAGTAAACAGAAGGCTGGCAAACACAAGGATACGGTGTCTGAGGAGCTAGAGAAAGTTAAAAGTAATCATGACAGTGAAGATAAAGGACATGAACATATCATCCTAAAATTACAGCTTCCTCAATCAGAGGATGGAACAAAGCATAAGAAACATCATCATCATCATCACCATCATCATAAGCACAAACAAGCATCTAGAAATCACAAAGATGGATCACCAAAAACATCACATCACAAGAAACCTGCTGCTAAATTACATCCTGATGGCAGTCAAACAGTCCCAGCCTCAGAGAAAAACAAGAAAAAGATTTCAATCAAATTCAAAGGCCTTTCCAATAGTAATGTAGAAATGGTGAGCAATGCCTCAGAACAAAGCAGCAATACAGTGAATTTACCTGAGCAATCAAAGGAAGGCAATAAAAAGAAAAAGAAACAAAAATTACCAAGTTCCCAGAATGAAAAGCATCCAGCATCACCATCACAAACTGAAAGTGAACATGTTAAGTTAGTCATAAAGAAAGAGAAGATTCCCACCAGCAGTAAGTCTGATGAAGTGAAGAAAAAGAAGAACACTAAACCAACAACACTGGCAGTAGACCATCAGAAAAAGAAAGGCTCTTCTAAAACAGAGAGTAAGAAAGAAACAGCTTCAACTTCAGCCAAAAGAATCAAGTCACCACAGGTAGGTTCATCTCATTAAGCTTATCATGTATGCTACACATGTATGTGCATTTTATAATGTATAATATGTGTATCAATCAATATCTTCGTGGAGTGGTTTGAACCTAAGGAGGAGGGGTTACATTTGAGTATGTTGTCTGATCTTTTGGGTAGTCTTGAGACGAACTGTTGTCGGTAGTGATGACTGATGTTTGACAACCTGAGTGGAAGTCATCATCTGACTCTGATGATGACTTTAGTCACTAACAACAACAGTCCTTCTCAGGACCATCCTCAATCAGATAATCAGACTACATGGTCAAATCAGTATCATGATTAGAAGTCTTAAGTTTTATTGTAGAACTGGCTCTGCAAGCAAGCAAGATGGGCACATGCTGCTTGCTCAGGGTAACCTCCTTTTGTTATCTCTGAAAAAAGGATATTGACTTTGTTCTAGTATATATAAATGCAAAACTGTTCTATATCCAGCTCTTTTGATTTACAGTAACACTTTATGTTACTTTATGTTTTATGACTCATAATGTTATATGTACTGTTATTTAATCATAAATTATCTTTATTTCTCTTTAGAAGCCCAAGGTAGTGACATCCTATCTGCTCTTCTGCAAGCAACAGCGGAAGAGAATTGCAGAGGAAAATCCTGGATTAGGTACGGTCATACTCTTTACAGCACCATATAGCTTTCTCAGAAGAATAGGGGTGTATAGTGATATCAAATTCCAGTGTAAAATGTGTGTTTGCACATGTTTTGCACATGTTTTGCACTTGAAGCCACTTCATATAAAATAAGTTTTATGGTTTTTGCACACTACTGAGAAGGACTTTCCACTTCCTGTTACTCAGAGTTCACAGAAATCAGCAAGAAAGTTGGCATTGCATGGAACAACCTCAAGGATGATGAGAAGGAGGTAAAAAATTCAAGTTGTAGGTAATGTTGATTCTGTATTTCACATGACTGTGTGTATCATTATCCTCAGGAGATTAAATTAATAGATGCAAAGTGAAGTTCTCTTTTACACAATTCCAGAGAAAGTGAAAGGTGGCTTTGAAGTCAACATGGGTTGTGTCCTTGTGTACCGGTACACAAAGGAACGAAACATTAACGAACTGCGTCACAACTCCATGTATGGACATGAAAACAATAGGAATTACCCCGTGTACTGGTACACCAGAACAGCCCCTCAACATGTACTGGTACAGTGCATCAGCCCAGGATCTTATATTACGTGTAATTTCAGTCTTATATACTTTTTTTTTCAATGCCCATCTGCAATTCCTTGTAGTGTTGGCGGAGAAAGGCAGAAGAAGTCAAGAAATCTCTCGGACTCAACAGCCCAAACCCTGTGTCTGTGCCCAAAGAAGGACAAGCTGAACCCATTGATTTGGCAGCCCATTTGCAGCTCTTGGGGGAGTCCTTGTGTACAGTTGGAGCCTGTCTACGAGTACAGGTAACTAGAAATTGTTGTCCTGTCTTCTTACACCAGCAGGTAGTTGTGGACTTCTGTGAAAAAGTTGGGAAAAATAAAGATGAAACTATATAAATGAAACTTATAAAGATTGTATGCTTGTGATAACAATTAGGTATTATCTGTTTGTTAATTCCTTTTTTTCTTCCAAAGGACCCAGGTGAAGTTCATGGCAGCTTGTCTGTGCTATTAGACTCAGCCCTCTGTGCCATATCCCCTTTATTGTTCCTAACATCACAAATACCTGAAATGGATGGCTGCTCCAAAAAAACCCAGGTATTGTTAAAAGGATTATCAGGAGTTTTGAAATATTTCTCCCCACACATCTGTACACTAATTTTCATGGGGCTTTTTATGACCAGCTAAAAATAAACTGTGAGGTTGTTGGTTGAGAACATAAACTTTTTTAATCATAGGAATGAAATGGTTAACCTCAGCTTTTTTTTTCATTCACACAACACTTGCAACATTGTCAATCCTTTGACTCTTGAGAGTGACAAGCATCTACATATAATTTCACCTTATATTATTACCTTGAATCACACTTTAATATCACAAGAATAAAGGAAATGACCACTAATTAAGAAGACCTTGATTATTAAACCAATTCTCCTTGTCAGCACCTTAAGAAATGTATGGAGAACAGTACGGAGAATATTCATACTGATTTCACGTTGTAAAGGGTCAATCTCAATAGTATGCAGGACCCTTGTCACATATAAAGTAAGATCCAGCTTACTGTTAAGTTCTCTGTAGTGCAATGGTAGATTAATGGGGCTGGAAATCTGAAGGTCTGGGGCTTAATTCCTCTTAGGAACTCAAATTTGCTTGTTTGTCCCCTGCTAGTGACAAAACAAAAAACTTTTTTGCATATTGCTCTGATCTTATCATGAAAAAAACTGGTAACCCTGCAAAATTTAATGTTATTTGGAAATCAAAACTTAAATATTTTACTTTTATTTTAACAGACTGAGGTGCTGGACAATCTTGCCTATGTAATGCCTGGCCTGGGATGAAACAAAATCATCAAATATGCAGCATCATGTTAAGAACCATTGTAACAGTAGTAGATCGCACTGGAAGTGTGGGAGTATGGATTGAAATTGACACAGCTTAAATGCAAAGATGTGACCAGCAGCATTTTGCTTTCATTTTATATAAAAGTTATTTGTCAGCCATGGTTGGTTCACAGTGGGAGAAACTGGGCCAAAGGTCCTGATTTCAATACAAAGGACTCAGTTTTTTCCAGTTATCTTTTTTAGTTTTGTTCTGCCCCTAGGACCATTATGATTGCACAATTCTGTGAATTCATCTCACACAAAAAAAAAAAAAAAATATATATATATATGTGATTAAGAGATCTTTAAATTTAAAGTTGAATATGACTGTTAGTGCAAGATCTTATGAGTAAATTTTCAGCTTGTTAGAAAACTTTCCTTGATAGCCAAGTATTGCAGACAGTATATGACAATCTTTTGTAAATATAATTTTTATGGGTGCATTTGTTCAAAAAGCAACAACTCCCTATAAGATCAAAAGCTGCATGGAGATAGCACCTAATGAACATATTTTAAAACATATTTTAGTTGATATTTTTCACTTCTTTACGGTCAATATGGAGTAAAATTTCCAGTTAGCTACTGACTTTGTTGAGTGAAGCAAAAAGTGTAGATGGGAGGACAAATTTAGGTTTCCCCTTTCCCATCACTTACTTGTAGGATTCTAAGTTACTAAAGAAGTTTTTTTCTTCAACCCACTGACACACTGTCATGCAGTAATACTATACATTATTAACTCATTACATATTTATCACACACAGTTGTACTTTGTTATTATATTTCTCTGCCAGGGAAGCAACCTTTTCTTGTTCCACTACCTACTTGGTTGTTAGTCCCACACAATTCTTGATATTGAATCACTATCCAATAGGAAAAATGTGCATTTCATTCAGATTTTCTTGATTCTGGCTTCAAATGTCCAGTGTGAAATTTACTTTAATGAGTATCTGTGCCCAGAAACACAAGTAGAGGGCAAACTTTTCTGGGTTTTGAAGAAATGAATTCCTTTAAAGAAGTTAATAGCTCTCTTTTGACTGATACTATAACAGATTCTAAGAATTGACACAAAGAGAAATGCTTGACTTGACTCAAATTTTTTCTTTCAATTTCAGTTTCTTGAGAATGCTTTCTCACTAAAATTCACCAGTGTGCACCTTGAAAGGGATGCTTGTGGGTGAAATTGGGTTTGCAGAGGTAAATGTGCATAAGGCCTTCTTGCTGGGATTTTTGGCTATTTTTTCAACCATGACCAACTGGTTCCAATCACTCTATTCTTTTTTGAAAGAGAGTAGAGCACTTTCACCTCCCTGAAGGAATCACTGAAAATTATATTCCTTTATCAGAACCCCATTTCCTGCTTCAATGCAGTGACTGAGTGAAATTTACGCAGTGGTATTTATTTTAAAAAGTTTAGACCAAAAAAAAACACCACTCAATGGAAATTACATTTTGGCACATTAAAGGGGAAGGGGAAATATTGTGATGAAAATATTGATCTACAATCTACTTTTATGCTTGGCAAGACTCACAAATCTCACACGATGCTTTCAAAGAAAAAAAATTGATTCCGAGCACAAGCCACTGAAAAAAGAGGATTACTACTGTGGTCTACACTTATTAGTAATATCATTTAGAAAGTCTTGTGAACGGTTGAATGTTTTGGCGCCAAAAGAAGTGAAGTGAGCCTTCTTTGTTCACGTCGTTTTAATTTGTTATGTTAATTTGAAATATATCTTTCATCCATCTGCTATCGTCTGATTGCGGTTAACTTAAATCACTCTTTAGCTATGCTTGAGATATTTTAAGCACATGGCATTAAACTTGTATCAAACGGATGAGTCTACACGGGTTTGTTTTTCTTTTTTTCGGCGGCGTGCTGAAACAAGCTCCTCTCAGCTTCGAGCCTGTTCTTTCGGCACGCTTCTTCGTTGTTCCGGCGTCCTTATTTCTTTTTCAACGTCAAATTTCCCTTTGTTATATGAGAGAGAAAAACAAGCCACGTGTAGTAATTTGAACTTAAAAGGATCAGGCAATGTTATGTAAATGTAGCTAAAAAAATTTATTGTTCCAAGAACCCAATGTTATGTAAATTAATATTGTCGTGACGTCACTAACAAGAAAAAACTTGCAAGAAGCTATAAGATAGAGAGAATTCTCAATATTTTTTTACCAAAAGGCAGTTTCACAATTTGATAGTCTTGTAGGAAAACTTTATGGTTTTCAAATTTTAAAATATTATCGGACAGTAGCAAACGCAATTTTGGCGGGCATTTTACAATTTATTCAGTCGTAATTGTCTTGATAAATACATTACCGAAGGCGGGAAATTCATTTGATCAGTTTAAACCTCCGTAGTCACCCGAGCAGAGCAGTGCTGGTTTAAAAATGGCCGACTTCCTGACGATTTCCCTTCAGAAAAGTGGAATATACTTCCCTCAACCAGGATCAAAGCTATTTTCAGTGAGTAAACAGATGATCAGGCCTGTTCCAAAGCTCGAAGATGTTTCTGAACAATTAAACTTGCCGCACAAGCAAAGAACTTCAGTCATTGTCTGGTCACCTCCAACAACACCGACGAACGAAGTCACGCCGCCTTCTCCTCCACAAACTCCAACAACTCCAACTGGAACCATTCTAAGCTACTCTCCGACTTCACCGAATGTTATTCCACCAAGAGGCAGACCCAGAGCGGATGTAGTAAACATTCTGATGAAGGAAGGCCAGAATTCGTATTCTTCGATCCGATGCGATGTGTGCCATCGAGTTTTCCCGCGCGAAAAGTCTCTGCAAGCTCACAGGAGAACACACAGCGGTGAAAGGCCTTACGTTTGTGATTTCCCGAACTGTGGAAAAGCTTTTGTCCAAAGTGGCCAATTGAAGACTCATCAAAGGCTACATACAGGCGAAAAACCGTTCGCTTGTTCCGCTCAAGGTTGTACCACTCGATTTACACATGCTAACCGCCATTGCAGCATTCACCCGTATGCAAGCCTGAAGCGTATCTTTACCGATATTCCACTGAAAGAAATCTTGAAAAACGAGAATTCCGAGCCTAACGAATACAAAGCGGCTGTTTTACAATGGCTGGCTCACTACGAGCTTGATAAAGAGGAGCGAAATCCTGCAAAGGTTCAAGAGAAAGTCATGAAGCGGAAGGTAGAAAAAGAAATCGCTAGGCAGCAAGTTGTTGAAAGAAAGAAATCAAGAATTGAAGCAAGAAAGCGAATGGCTGAGGCAAAAGAACGATGGTATGGAGCTATGGCTCTCGTAGAACTTGCTGATACTCAATTTAACTTTAATTAACCAGAAACAAATCCAATTTTCGAACTTTGGTGTCATTTCACTTGATGAAATAAACAACATTTTGGCGCGCAAAGTTTAAATGGCTTTTATGTTATTGTACAGTGTTGCAATGTATTACTGTCTGATCAATTTTTCTTTACTTTGTGAGTGAAACGTGTTCTATTTAACTTAAAACGGATAGGTTTTACTTCAGAAGCATTGTAGCTATTTTTTACAACTGACAACTCGTGGAAAAATACTTTCAGTATGTAAATGAGTGGTAGTTATTCAATGGTAGTAACTGAAAGTTCATCATGATTTCAAGTGTTTACCGCGTGACTTGCGAAAAGAATTAGCTGTACATAAGAAAAAGCATCGCACTTTTAGATGAGATTTACGTAAATATATTCGCTCTACATAGTTTGTAAAATTTCCTAAAATTATCCACATCATTCACGTTAGTCATTCATAGACACAAAATTTGAAAAATGAAAAACTGAGTTCCTTCATGCATTGATAAATAATTTCGGTTTTCTCAGTTGAATATGTTTTATGTAACTTTACAAGGATACAGTTTTATAAAAACAGTGGAATAAGTCTAAAGTTAACAATCTGGGTCTTTTTTAAGTGACTTAACTTTATTCACAATAAAAAAGTTATAATAGACATACTATGTTGTCTCTGTACAAGTAAATGATACAGCCATTTCATTTTTTTTTTTCTTCCTGTAACTTGCTGATCATACTATATTTGGACATTTTCGTGACCACAATAATGTATTTCCTGTGTGAATTGTAATACAAACACTAACTGGCTTGATAGCTGTGACAGCCTGAACATAATTGCTCTGTCACCCCAGGTTTTTGAGTCCCCTCTTCTGAAATTTAAGTGTCCAACTTTACAAATCTGTTTGAAAAGATGGACTTCAACACCTAATATAAATTCATCTTAAATTTGAAAGCAGCCTCAAAAAAATTCATACAGTAGATATGAAAAGGTGACATTTCATTTTAATGCAAAATTATAGCCTCTAGCAGCCTTGAGTTCATTATTTTAAATCTAATAGTGAGAAGAAAATTGCTAGTTAAAAAACTCATTAAAACAAATATTTCCCCATGGTGATCTCCATCAACAAACTTGATACTCCAGACATATTGTCAAGGCCCAAGGTATGGCCAATTTGCTCCATTGAATAATGCTGATATTCCACCCAGATAGCTTCAGCAATAAATACCTAAGATTATAACAAGTACTCCATTGGACTGCACTCTAATTAAATCATACCAACCCTCTCCCCCACCCCCCACCCCCTACCCCAAGATATCACTGACAGTAACAAGATGGCTGGATGATAATAATAACTGTAAATTGCCAACAGAATTTTCTGGACAAAAAAGGTGACAGTAAAATTACTTGAAAATTTCATTTCCGAGCCTCATGCTGCTTTTTTTATGGCTAAGCCACTTAATGCTCCAAAGCACACTTGACATCACTAGATAAGAACAAAAACCTATCACATTTCCAAGAACACCACCATGTGAGATAAGTTTCATAAAAATTATAAAAGGAAAGAACAAGGTGAACATCCAGACACCTTTGCACACAATCTTGGTCAGATAAGGATTTACTGGGAGGCAAAATGATTACACCAAAAACAAAAATGGCCATGTTTTCATTGCTTGAACCGTCAAAATGTACGGTGGCTGTGTTATGTGCCTCTCATGAGTGTAAAAAATGCTAGAAAACTTATTTAAGTAAAAGTAGCTGCTGCCAGTAACAAAACAAATGAGCCATACCGGTAATCAAGCAATTTTTTTTTTGCAGTTGCAAACCTAGCCATCCTGATGAGCATGCCATGCCTGCTCACAATAAGTCATACTCAACTGATTTAAGGTGTATCAGCTCCTTACATGTGTCCAAAAGGTATTTTTACAGCACCCTATGACAACTAGATATAGTGCACTCTTGATCAAGTCTTCTTCAAAACATTTTCAAGTTAAAAAAAGTTGCACGTCTTCAAAGGAAGCAAAAAATATAACTTGCAAATGTGCTTGTTTAAATTTCATCATGTTTAGCACCAAAGATAGAGGCTCTGGTCCAAACTGTTGCTTTTGAGTTTGCACCCAAAACTTCTCCACTATACTTTCACTGTATTTTAAAACTTGTCAATCAGATTGAAAAAATACAACAAAAACAATAACTTGGTTTCCTCATATAAGATTAATCTACAAGATAGGTTCACAACTCATTCATTAAAGCAGTAAGTAAGCCTTTAACTTCCAGAAGTGATTCACAAGTAACTTCTCCCTGTAATATCCATACATTATCCAGCAAACAGGAAATGAGAATACTCAAACTTATCAGCTAAAAGTTATCTTGATCAGACACCAAATTCTTGTACTAGTTTGCAAGGAAATGTGTGGCAACTACAGGAAAGAATTGACTATCAGATCTTGGAAGTTAAAAGGGTTAATTCAATATTTCTAAGTGAAAACAAATATGTACTCGCATTCTGATACTACATGATACTTAACATTAATAGAGATAGGAGATTGATAGTAGAGGAAAGCGAGTTGGATGAAAAATTGAGCAGAAAAAAAATTATTGCAAGCCATGATAGTAAAGAAATAGTTAACAATTACCCACCAAAATGGATGTGAAACTTTACCAAGCCACAAAACAAAGTAATTATCCACAACTTTTGCCAACACTGAGGTGAATAATGATTTTAGTATGTACCACACAAAAACCCAAGAATTAATTTATTTCTACCAATGTATAAAATGGTCAGACTTTAACTCTTGATGGATGATTTTGCCTCTTCAGCTGCTGAGAGGTGAATAGTACTTGCTAATCACTTTCTAACTAGCCAATCAGCCCATGTAAAAAGCACTGTTCGCTTGTGAGGTATATACTAAGAAAAGATATTGCTGCAATATTCTCTCAACATCATGAATAAACAAATTACTTTTTGTACCCTGAAAACTAAGTACAAATTTTTTTTTTCAAAATGTATAATATAAGAACTGTGAAGTTTAATAGAAACCTACAGCACCAATCACTTGCTGATTCCACCCCCTAATTATATCTCATTTTATAGATTTCTCTTTCCCTTTCATTCATTTACATTTGCACAATATTTGTTTAAATTTGTGTTTGATTAAATCATTAAAATATCGGTTGATTTGGCACAGAGCCAGCTTCCACTAGCTCTCTGCTATGTATTTACCTGAAACAAGAAAATATAAAAGTTGTCAGCAAATTTGCTATCAATTAAGAAAGCAAGTTGTATCGAATGACAAACAATGAAATTGGTGAACAATTAAAATAACTATTCAAAAACAAACCTCAAAACAAATCTACAACCTACCAGTTGTAAACCTCTTTTTAACAAGAGATAGTTTGTATTCTTGACATCTCAACTCAAAATTCAACTTAGAAATTGTAGCACCATTGCACGTAAACTGAACAGCAATTCGTGAAGGTGTACTTGGACCTTGTGTTAAATCAAACCTTGCTCTCAGTGTACCTAACAATAATAATAATAATAATAATAATAATAATAATAAAAGTCAAAATTAAAGTACCATATTTGCTCAACAAATTACTGCTGGCTTTATTAAGTTTGTTTTGCAACTCTGGTGTGGCACTTATTGACTTAGAACTGAAAAAATTGCAATTTACCTTTGAGAAGTTGAAATCAATATTGTGTAAAATATTAGAGTTAAACACAAGAAAAAACAATCAAATCAAAATATAAGGCTGAATTGAGCCACTGGCTTGTACCAGCCCATTATTTTTTGGAAGAAATATAATTAATTAAAATAGGATTTTTCATGATTGATCACCTTGAGTTTCTGATGTGTTAGAAACTTCTTGCAGTTTCCAAAATGCTCTTTGGTGTTCAGCAGACCTAAAATAAATTCATTACTCAATCATCAAGGGCATTCACTTACACTAACTATCTTCTAGTAAGTACAACAGACAATAACAAAATCTACCACATGAAACACTAAAATATAGACAAAAACTTTTGTTCAGACCCCAACACAATCTTCCTATATCATTGTCTCAGTGGACATAAAATCCTAACAAAGGACTCCTATCCTGATCCTAAGGGAGTCCTCAACTAGGTGTTCCCTTTCCTCTTATCCCCTCTCTCCCTGATCATTAAGACTGCCTTTATGGAAAAAAGAATTGTTTGCTTATCACTTACCAAGTAGCCGATGGCTTGGATTGCATGATGGTAACTCCACCATTCATAGGTACCACCACAGATAAGTTGCTAATTGAACAAGGAGCTGACATACAGGATGGATTATAGCGATAATCAACCCTTAGATCTGTTGCTTCCTCCTCACATTTCCAGTAACTACACAGCTGAAGGGGAGTTGTTGAAAAGCCATTTGTTCTGACCTAAAAATTACACAAACACTTAGTAACAAGTTGAATCAAACAATAACCAACAGAGACTTGTTTACTTTACAAATGCAGAGCATTATCAGTGAAAGGATTTGCCAAAATATCAGCTTCTTATCACATGCAATGAACTATTAATCAGAGATTCAGGGAATACTTCAACAAATTAATAACTTCAATGTTCTGTCCAAAAATAAAGAATCAATGCATTAAACCTCCAAATTTGGGATATAGAAGTCACACATCACTACTTATAAAACTAACTAATAGCGTCACAGTTTTGAAATTTAGCTATTTTCCATTTGGTCCATAGGAAAGACTAGCATCCAATTTCTCCTCAAAATATCACCCATGAGAATAAAGAAAACAATCAATAACTAAAGAAGCTCTTGATTGTAAAACACTTTCTCCTCAGCAGCACCTCAGAAAATTTCTAGAGAACAGCATGGAGAATATGCAAACTGATGTTAGGGTGTAAAGTGTTAATAGCTAAAAAAGTTCATCCCTACCTCATATTTGATAATTTCAATATTGTAATGGGTACTTGCTCCTTGTTCAGATTGTTTTTTGAGATGATCAGCCAGAGAAGCCATATTAAAATCATAAGTGACACCATCACCACCACTTAGCTGTCCTTTGCTGAATACAAAACACAAATAATAATAAATTTTAGACAGTTCTTTCCTTTCAATTGGCTTTTTCAACACATATCTCAAGTCTATCAGATAATATAATTTATACTTGGGGTTAATATATTTTTTTTTCCAACAAATGTATCCTTACCTTGCAAAGTTAGTTTCAGACATACCTATTAATCAAAGCCTTGTTTGGTAAGATCTGCTCAAGACATGATGTTCCACGTATGAGGAAACTAAGCATTGGAGCATTTTCTACATCATAAATGAGCGGAAGTACACTGGCTGGAAATGATACAGTAATATCACCTGTGACCTTCACCATACACCTGACAATACAAGAATTAAGAATTTTATAACAAAGCTTACAAAATTCATCCCTGGATATGATTTTTAACCATCATAATTGTTACACAAAAAAACACAAGTCAGCTTAGTTTGAAATCATTCTAGCCTGAATTTCATTTTAATCTAGGACCACTGCCCAATCATTGAGGCCCATGGTGACAGTGAATGTGTCAAAAAAATCTGATGTCAAATCCAAAAGTATTGAAATGAGTGAGCGTGCATGCTCAAAACAGACCAGTTAAGAGGGTGTAACCAACATTGGACAAACAAAATTAAACCAAAGACAAACTCCTTTGAAAATTTCCATCAGTTTCATTTGAATTGACAATCAAAAAGTTTCAGCCCATTTTTTTCACTATATTAACATTTCCTTGAAAGTGGAGCCTATAATTGGAAAATCAGGTTGTTCATTTGGTGCCAGAGAAGTCAGAGAATTCCTGAGCTACAACAGAATTCTACGGCTACATTTCGATGACCTGAACCCTTTTTTAGTCAGAAATTAAGAATTTACATATAGTATCCTTTCTGTTAAGTTAATTTGTCCCCTTGCTACTACATTGCTTATCAAAACCCATGAAACTGCATTTGACATAACATATAAACAATAAGAAAAGAAAATAAACAAATAAAGTTCTCACTTGCTCTGATCACTTCCTCTAAAGAATGCATTCACAGACTCAATAAATGCCACTGCAATAGGAAGACTATCATCCTTTTTACCTAGGACAGTACTAGCTGCCCCTTTGGCAAACACCACGCTCGACATGGTGGGGAGTCCTCCTACTGTTTTGGACCTCACTAGGGCAGGTACATTTTCTTGTGAGCTTCCAAGAGAAGATGATGTTGTAGCTCTGTTGAGTGCCTGTTGGCCAGTACTTGATGTTGAACCCATGTAACTTACAACAGGTTGTTTTGAAGGGCTATTAGGATTGCCATGTTCACCAGGGAGGGAACTGTTTTGTGAATCAGAAGGTTCTGTGCTGCTAGTAGTTACTGGTGTAAAGTCAGCCAAGCAGCTAAACAGCTCAGCTGAATATGATGTTGTAGATGATGATGATGTTGATGAAGGTGGCTTGTTTGTCTGACCAGGAGGAAACAACAATGAACCAGAAGGCCGTGGCTAGAAAAAAAAGAAAAAGAAAAAAAAATTGCAACAAAAAAGTTAAAAAAGGCCACTCTTAATCATATTTCTACCACCAAACCCACAAAAACCTTTTTTTTCATCAAATACCTACCTGTGGTCTTGGTCTTGGTACTGCACTACCAACAGATGCAGAACGAGGGAGTTCTGTTCCTGGAGGTGGCTTGAGGAGAAGCAAAGAATTACTGCTGTCACTTGCTGGAGTAGATCCTGTTGGAAACATGATTCCTGTATCACTTGGACTTGTCTCTGACACTGTTGAGAAACATTTGATTTTAACTTGCTTTGTATATACATGCTCAAATTGAATGAATGACCACAATAAGTCCTTTCCTAGACTTTTTAAATCAAACTTCATACCTCCAGCAACTGACGAGTCATTTTCTGCTACTTTGTTAACTGTACCTGCCCCCTTCTTGGCTGGTAAGGGAGGAGGAGGTTCGGAAGATTCTTCCTGAACTATGCTTCCCTTTTTGGCAGGCAGCAGGGGAGGAATATCACAATATTCTGCTTCTGTATTTTCACTGGAATCTACATTGGAAATGATCATTCAGTGAATTAGACAGGACAATATCCATCTCTGTTATGATAGTGGCATGCAGTTTAACTCCACTCACAGTTTGAGTTAGTCATAGTAAAATATTATCAAAATAATATATTTAGTAGTAATTAAGTAGCAGTTGATTCAAAGGTGATACTGTATGGGTGAGGCATTAGAAGCCAGTCACTCTAAGGAATTATGGTCAAGTCACTGACAGTTCAACTCGCTAATGCCAACTCACTGACATATAAAATCGAATAGAGACATTAGCGAGTTGGTCTTTAATCCGGTACAACTTATTAGAAGTTAAACATATAGAAAACTAAAAGATCTTAAGTAAAAAAATTTTTTTTTTCTTCCAACAACATTTATAAGGATCTCAATGCAAATAAAGCAAGGTAAGCATTGCCAATGACTATAAAAGCTTCAAACGTGAACGAGTTATTGGGTAACAACATCACTGTAAAAACTCATCATGTCAATCTATCAGATTTTTTTTTCGTAAAAAATAATTCTTTTAATTTCCAACAAAGTTTATAAGGATCTCAAAGCAAATAAGCAGTTAGATTTAAAAAAAAAACACTTGGCTTTCTAGACAAGATCTTTAGTAAAAAAAATTATTTTTTATATCCAACAAAGTTTATAAGGATCTCTAGACGAATAAAGCAAGGTAAACATCGCCAATGACCAAAAAAGCTTTAAACATGAACAAGTTATTGTGTGACAACAACACTGTAAAGTGTTGGTTGCCAATGATCCAAGCTTTTTTTGAGATCCACATAAACTTTGTTAGAAATAAAAAGAATTGTTTTCTTACAAAAGATCTTTTCTAGAAAGCCAAAATTACTTTGAAAAATCTGACCAATTGACATGATGAGTCTTTAGAGTGTTGTTGTCACACAATAATTTGTTCATGTCTAAAGCTTTTATAGTCATTGGTGATGTTTACCTTGCTTTATTCGCCATGAGATCCTTTTAAACTTTGTTGGAAATAAAGAGAGTTGTTTTTTCACTAAAGACCTTTTCTAGAAAGCCAAGTTTTCTTAAAAAAATCTGACCGATTGACCTGATGAGTCTTTACAGGGATGTTGTCACACAATAACTTGTTTGCGCCTGAAGCTTTTATAGTCATTGGCAATGTTTACCTTGCTTTATTCACCGTGAGATCCTTATAAACTTTGTTGGAAGAAAAACAATTTGTTCAAAGCCACCTTTTAAGTATACAACACAACATGTAAAACTTGTGAACAGTGATACCTAAGCTTGTAGATGACGGCAAAGCCCCAGCTAATGATCTTAAGTCTCCAGAACTTTGTGTGTTGGGTTCTGGGTCAATTATACTTGAAGTGCCATTTTGGGAGAGTTGAAGTGAATTTCTTTGTGATCCAGATGTCATAGAATCACTACTAGCAAAACTTGTTTGACTAAAATCTATGTCAAGCAAATCATCACTTGAACGTGACCTGTTGGAAAAGCAAGACAATGGATAAGTGTGCAAAATTTGATATGGTATATAATACGGCATAATGATACAATGAACAACAAATTAATGCGGCTTGGGAAAACCAATTAACAATAAAACATGGTGCCAAAAGTTAAGTTTGGTCATGTACATGGAAATTTCAATAACCCTAACTGTGGGGGAAGCTGTAGTAATTGCATACAAGGAAAGACATAATCTTCTCACGATTTAATATTTGAAGTATGGCTTGAAGACCTGGATCTGTTCTTCATGCCTTCACCTAGAGACAAAAAACATGTTTGTAAGAAACCATGTCTCCAATGTTCAAAGCAAAAAATTTAACAAGATATCATCAACTTACCTGATGAAGAACTTAAACTTTTACGCTGAAAGGAGAAACAAAAAGAAAAATAAATGATCATGTAGGTGTAAACTAATATAAATGTGCTTCATGGGAAATACTTACAAAGCAAAATTTTGATGGGCTATTGGGCAAGAATCTCATTTTATCAGGAAACGCATTTTTGGTTTTCGACTTGAACAATAGATTTCCCATCAGAGGATTATGAAAAAAAGAAAACTAACCATTGTTGAAGGTGAAGAAAGACTAAGTGTTCCAGTAATTTTCTTTATTTCATCAACTGAAGCTGTCTGTGGAACCTTATCAGCCTCCACTGGGTTTATAACAACTTGCAGTTTTCGAGGCTCATCTTGATGAAATAGAAAAATTATTTTAATAAGTTCAACATAGGTTAGGGCAACCATCATGAAACAAATAAAAAAATTAGCAGTCATTGCTGAATATTACATCAAAAAGTAATTCTGATGGCTGAATATTCTCAGCTCAAGCCATGTTCTAACACACTTAACCCTTCACACCCTTACATTGGTAATCATATTCTCCATTCCTATCTCTACACATTTCCTAAGGTGCTAGCAAGGAGAATTTGCTTGACAATCAAGAGCTTCTTTAGTCGGGTGATTATTTCTTTTATTCTTGTGACCTTAATAAATGATTCTGGGATGATAATGTAAGGAGAAATTAGATGCTGGTCACTCTCAGGGACAAAAGGTAGACTGGGAGAGTTCATGGTTACCTTGTTTTCTGATCAAAACATCAACAATTTCATATCTCTATGTACAGTAATAATAACAATAATCCACAAAGTTCTGAATCTGGTCTTGCAAGACTCAATGTGTATTGATTGGATGAAAAATATTTTCCTTGCTAGATAATCAGCTAAGGATTTTTCATTTCAGACAAGGATTTCAAAAGGCAGACTAAGGCACACTTGTGTTACTCCATTTAAGTAAAAGACTTACCATCGTCTGAATCTGAATCAGAAGATGAACTATTCCCCCCTGATTTGGTACCTAGGTCATTATCAAGGAGAGATCAAATACAAATATGGGAAAAAAATCATATATTTGAATAGAGTGAAATAGAAATTCACTAACAGCACACAGTAGTAATAGATGCTAACAAGTGTGGCTCTTGGTTTTTTATTGTTTTGATAGATATCAACTGCTCTTCATTCCATTATTTGTTGTTCCTTGGTATGAATTAAGAAGAAAAGAGGTCACAAAAAAAGTACATTTTATACACTGGCATGAAATACTTCAGATTCAAAATTTATATAAGTATACAAATATCATGCAATGATCATATCTTCCCATGAAAGTCTTTACTTTCTTGAAGTCAATAATACAAGGATACTTTCTGAATCAGGAGGTCTTATTCTGTATCCCTCTTCATCTACTTCAAATGATGATGACTGTAAAAGGAAATCAAAAAGAGATTATACATACAATTCACAATAATCCATTACTCTAACAATGAACTGTCCCACAGAAAGTTGTATCACTTGAAACTTGCAGAATTTTAAGTACCTCAGTTTTCAACAATTCAACATATGTAATGACTTTGCTGATCTTTCTTCACAAACATTGGTGGAGTGTGATCAAATCAAGGAAAAAAATGATTACATATCATGAAGTGAGGCGAAAACTTACCACATCCCCTCCTTCACTTGAAGGTGAGTCACTTTTAAAAAAATAATAACAATTAGTGAAGAAGACTGAAAAAACATTCAACAAAGAAGTGTGCTTTAACTAGAAAATTTTCCAAGTCTTGTAATGGTACACTAACTTACACTGAACCATTTTGAGATTTCTCTTTCTTTGCCTTCTTTTTCTTTTTCTTCTTTTCCATTCTCTTCAGTGTTATTGGAAATCCTACAACACAAAAAAGTATCTATGTCACCCTCTCTCATTTTCCATTCTTTCTTGGCAGGATTTACAGTTTCTCATAGAAGTAACACACACTTTTTTTTTAAGTAATACCTGATGGATGATGGTGTTTGGGTGCATTTAAGCTGGGTGAGTGATTGTTTGTTATAGCACCTTCTGCTTGTCCAGTGTACTCCTCAAATGTTATAACACCTGCAAAAGAGGGCAACATCAAATTTTACAGATTACATGACTTGAAAAATAAGTCTTACTTAAAAATTACTTTTGTGTCCCATTCTTCCCGAATGGGACACAAAAGTAATTTTTGGTTACTAGGGTGTCTGTTTTTCAGAGTGAAATATAAGAGGGAAGTGTCAAAGAGACATTTCAATTTATTGTAAATTGAATTGCAATAAATCTATTATTCTGTTGATGACTTTTTTTTCTGCTCACCACTTTTCAGCCTGACAAGGTACTGATATTGTAAGAAGAAATTCCAACTTTCTTTAGATTGAAAGGGTTAACAACCTAAGAATATGTAATCTACATGACGTAAGAGCAATAATGCATGTTAGAAGATTAAAGCCAGCTTATCATAATTTACACGAGTAAGATATTAAGGTAAGAAAGTACTGATATAAGAATTGAAATTTCAACTTCAAAGGCATCTACCTGGAATAGCTTTTCCAGTACCCTTGCTCCTCACAAACTGATCCAACAAATGATGTACTGTTAATGCCTTCACTTGCCCCAAGAACTCCTTGTAGACCTAAGGTATCAAGAAAATGCAGTACATGTTTACTTGGTAGAAAAGTGCAATTTTACTCATGCAAGGGATGAAAGAAAGACACCTTTGTCTGTAAGGAGCAAAAATGATAAAAACATACCTCTTCTATGAAAACTTGCCCTGACTTCTGTGAGTCAATGTACTGTTCAAGGTAGGCAATTATTACCTTCAAATGTTCCTCATCAAGCTTCTGGAATTTCTACAAAGTAAAACAGACCTAAACTTCTTCAAAATTCACTTTGAAGACATCACTATCTAATAAAGATGGCAGTACTATTGAATCAGAAATAAGCAACCACAAAACCGCCTTGTAAACTTGTTGATTCAAGAAAGCTAACATATTGGTGCATTGATACCAATGCATCTACAAGGGAGTTTCTCTTTTTCTCCATTTTCCATGCCATCACTTACATGATGCATTTTTTTCCCACTCTAGACCAATAGAAGCCTAGAAAACATAAGTGTTGCCTGTGGTTATGGGGGCTCATGGAATATTCTCAAAAGACTGCCTGAATTTGCAGAGAGAGTGAGTACTCAGCACTCCCTACTTTAATGAAAGTGCCCCAGATTCAGGTGACAATTCATATTAATAGAAAGGTGTTGAACCTCTACATGCTGGTAGGAGCTGAGATGTAAAATGAAACACCCAGCTGGCAGATGAAAGAGCTGAAGAGAATCACATGCTGATCATGATGATGATGATTGTAATAATAATAATGATAATAATAATAATGACAATGATCATCAATACAGTAATCATGTGAATTCATACCTTGGAAGCATCCACCATCTTGTCATGAAAGTCATTTCTAATTATTTCCCTCTTTTCAACAAGAAGTTTATACTCTTCAGCTAAACAAACATGCAGTGAACAACAGATATAAGAAAGTTCCTACAAGTGTGGGGAAAAGGTTATAACACTTATCCACAAACCATATGAAATGACATTTATTAAAAATGACTGGTACCTACACTCACAAAGTCATTAAAAAAATGCAATTTACTATCTACAGTTTAAAAAAAGGGGTTCATTCAAATCCCTTTTGAGGCTCTCACAAGCAAGTGTGAATCCAACTTTTTTTATGTGTAGGCTTCACACACCAGCCATAAAGCATGTGAAAACACCTTCTAAAAATTTTCACTTTCTTTTCAATTGCATATGACATTTTCAAGATAAATAGGTGTGAAAAACATGCAAAGACTGTGTCTGGACTTTACTATCATGAGTACCTGGGTACACAAAGATATGTAATATTTAGTTCTATTTAGTCATGTTCTATTTAGTCATAGAGGATGTTCCCCTGTTGTTTTACATCACATTTCATCAGAAAAGCCTGAATCTGGCAAAAAAATGAGAGGAATAAATCAAGAGCTTTGCAGTACCTGCTTTCTTCATTTTTGCTTCAGCCTGCAATTTTTGGAAACAAAATACAGATAATAATAGCAAAAGTTAGACTAAACTCTTTCAAAGTTTACTCTCCCAATTAGTGATTATACATTTCCCTCTTGGCTGACTGTAAGAATTTTAAGTCATATCAAACAAAGTCCCCTGTGAAATATTTTCTTTTTCCTTATAACCTGTCTACTTCACAATGTACTAACATTGTCAAGACATTCAACATTCGACATTCATTGATCACTCCTACAAGAAAAAGGGTTAAAGAAAAGACAAATTCAGGGTACAACTCCAAAAACTGAGAGGGCTACAATATGCTGTACTTAAAGTTTACACAAAGTATAGGACAACACTAATATTCCCCAAATTGATATTTAGTTATAATTATTCTCATTAATTGTCTGCTTGATGTTAAATTACTACTGTAAGGAAAATTCTGTCCTAGTCACTCGTGGGAGTTTAAGGGTTAACAAACCTTTTCAACATCCTTTGTACCAGATCCATCTTTTCTCGATTTTTCAACTTCTTGACACCTGGCATAGTAAGCCTCCTTGGCCTGTGCACACAGAGGAAAAAAAATATATGACTGAGTTAATATAAGTGTTATAAATAACATCAAACAGTAGAACGATAAGCAGAGAAATTTGAAGGACACATGTTGTATCATCAATCTGTAAAATCTTGTATTCATGAAAAAAATTATGTTGTTAATGATCATTACCTTGACTAGATTGGCTGTCATTGTTTGTATGGTCTGTACAATCTCTGCTGTGCTGCTAAACTCTTCCTTATACTGGAAAGGTAAAATTTTTAACAAAAAAGAAATTTTATTCATTTGTAAGGTTATCATTATTTTGAATGAGAAACCACAACATCACAACATCCTGACTCCAAATCAAAGAAATATTCTTGCCAAAATCACTGAAGTTGAGGCCTACATTTAAATCTTAAGTTTCCAAGCAGCATCCTAACTGATTAGGAATATATGTAGATAAAATACAAGCCCTCCCCATCACACGCAAGTGATGGAAACCATTTCCTGGAGGAACTCTTTAGCAGTGGACAGTTTAAACCCAGAAGTACAAGTTGACCATTGTAGTCTGATAGTAGGTGGGATTACTCCTGAATAGTATTGTTGTCTATGACAGTCACAGAGGTTTTAACAACCAGAATGTAAGTCCTCATGAATCAATATCACTTGAGAACTTGAGTTAAATCACTCCACTGCCATATGTCTTCTTGGTTGATTTAACATAACATCAGTCACTGCCAGCCACAAGTCCTTTTCAGGACTTCTCTCATTGGAAGTATCAACTTGATGATCAAATTAACTATTTTGTAAACACTTTCATTCATTCATTACAGGTTCCAACCATTCACACAAATTTTATCTTTAAATCTTCTTGTTGATCACATGCACATATAGTTTACACTCCAATAAATAAAAAATCAACCTGTTTGTGTCTTTCTTTTTGCTTGTCACCATAATCCTTGAGGTCTTTGATAAGATCTTGAAATCTTGTAACAACTTGTAAATGTGCATTGGCAAGCTTCTCGGTTGCAACCCGTAAGACTCCCCAGAGAGGCTCAAAGGTGCTGAAAAATATAAATAATATCACATTTGCAAATCAGAAAAAAGAGGACATTATTTCCATTGCTTTAATTAATGGGGATTTTGTTGCAGCAAGTTTACACATGCTGCAGCATTTTTCCCTAAATCAGTAAAGAAAATGTGATTGAAACTTTAAATCAACAAAAAACCAAAGTTGCATAGTAATTCAATATGTCTCTTAAAGTAATTTAAAACCTTTCTTCAACACTTTTATAGCAGTTACTAAAATTCTAGATTTACGGAGTAACAATTCAGCATCATTTATCATTCTTATCAAATATATCATAATATCTAACATTCTGACTGGTGATGCCCAGATAAACAGATACTTGGTAATCTTTTACACATTTCATAATTTCATTAGACTGAGAAATATTTTAAAATATGATATTTGATATATTTTTTAAATTTTCACTTCCAGCAAAAGTTTGAAATTATTTTAAACAGACTTTTTTTTTTATTAAGCTCTTTAAAAAGAAATGTCAATTTGGCTTTGTGTTACAGATTCTAGGCTTTTTATCCTAACAGCAGAAATAATTATATTCCAGTTCAGAACTATTTTCAATAAACATTGTATGAAATGTATTTTTTTTAAATGTTTTTTTGTTGAAACAAAAATGAAATGTTTGTTCCATTTTAGAATTTTATTAGGACTAATTAAGGCAGAAAGCAGCTGTATACTAATCCCTGCCAGTTTGCAACCATTATAGCCATTTATTAACTGGATTGCCTTCTGAACAGCAGAAAATACAATTATGTAAATTTCTTAAAATGTATTTTTCAAACATGTGGTCTGCTATTGAATGGAAAAACATTACCCAGACTTTTCATTTCAATTTTGAACATTTTCACACATACATATACAAGACGATTGGAAACTTGTGCTTTTTTGCATGAATATTCTAAACTTAACTGGTGATGACTATATTTCAAACTCTTCTGCAAAATCAGGCAAACCTACATGTAGGTTCAAAAGCTACATCATTGCACATATAGATTGTCCTAGCTTCAATTTCCCCTTCTTAGAGAAAAACCCTTTAAACTTTCTCAGCTTGAGAAAGAGTAGAAATTGGGCCACAGATTCCAATCTTGCTGTGAAAGGCCACCTTCTCTGACCTGACTAAGAGATGGCCATGATACAAAATTGCCTCAAATGGTGAAATTTTCTAAAATATAAACCAGGATTTCCATAAGAGCTGGCAAAAACCAGCAAAATTCCTGTTCTATGTAATGCAAAATTGCCACCTATTTCCTCTGTAATTAACAAAGCTGGAGTAAGGATCAAACTTCCATAAGCCACCTACTGTGTAGTTTTTGCCTTTTAGTTAAAAACCTTATTGAAACCTCAGCACTTAAGGTGAATGAGGTTTGAAACCAAAAATGGAAATTCTCCCTAGTAATATTCACTTTTTGAAATCTCTGATATTTTATTCCTCCACCAGAGGTCACCCAGAAGATGCTTGCTATATTATTGGTACTATACATGTAATAGATACCCCAAGGTCATGTTTTGTCACAACAGAACACAACACTTGTAAAGTTATTATAATATGAAAGCCTCTCTGATAGCATTAGTTGGGACTTTCTGGGTTATATATTCACCAAACAGTTTCTTGCTGATTTACTGTAATCCCTACCATAGAACTACCATGTGAAGATATTTTTAAATACTGTTACACAAATCATATTTTAGGATAGGTTTCAACCAATACATTACTGATGACAGCCTAAGTTTGAATCTGTCTTATTTCAAAATCTACAATTGAAAGTGTTTCTTATCTCACTCACTGTTTGGCAGAATATTTTCTTTGAGCCATACATGCTTCAACAATGGACATCACAAATTAAATTTATCTACATAAAACTTATTAACCACATTTAAATATTTCTAAAGAGCTAAAAGGAAAGAAATCTCTTCCCTGTAATTGAATGTCCACAACAAAAAACAACAATATGTGTACTTATGTCCTCAATGTGTGTTCTCAGACACAGACAAGGGAAAACAGTACTGAGAAATCTTCTAAAAAGGTTTTTTTTCCTACTAGATGTAGATAAAGCGATAAAAAATATATTTTATTACAATCATCATTAGTTCACCCTGTAAGAATCTGAGAATTCACCTGGATTACTGCAACCGAGGTTTTGAAATTGGCCCGTTTCTACCAAAGTTGATGTGCGAGCATACCACAAAGAAATAAACAACATTCAGAAAATAATAAAAAGCTAGTGGATTTGGTGTAAAGGGCGAAAGTCTCAGTTAAACTGGTCAACTACGGTTTCCAAATACGGTATTTTGCTCAAAGTTGTTGATATAAACAGAATAAATTCGCACGGAGTATGACAGCCCATTGTGGTTATTTTAAAACACATTCAAATTTAATTTATAATTTTTGGTTTCTATTATGATACAATTTCTACAGTAAGGGGAGAAACAGCCACTTTTCCCCGCCTAAACTTCGCTAACCCTGTAGGATAACATTACGCACTCATGGACAAGCAAGAGCTTATATCGGTAAAAAATTTCAAGCTCCCGTCCTCCGAAAGCACAACAATTTCAAACCACAAAATTTTTTAATCCATTACGAACAACATTAACATGGACAGCTTCCTCTGACTTACCCTAGCTGTGTCACTTGAGTTGCAGATTTCGCTAATTTCAGGAGTGATTTAGCATAGACTTCCTCTACAGCAGATCTGAAAGTCGAAGGTAGAATTTGAAATTGCTCATAATCATACATTAAACACATCTCGACCACAAAGTTCTCACGAACAAAATTTTAGCCAAACATTGTGCCCACCTTTCGCGTAAAAATTCAACAAGCTTACAACTTGCATTGTTTCCATATTTCATGTTATGATAGAGCACGTCGAATCCAGCATTTCTTTCCCCCTGAAAGCCGTGAAAATAAAGAAAGAAATTATTGTAACATCACGCTCCGGATGTCAAGCAGCTACATCGACGATGCGCTGGAAAACACTAATTTCAAATGATAAACACACCCAAAAATGGTCCTCAAATAGCACCATTTTCTATCTCAAGTCTAGAACCTGGTTGTCAATCCTTAAATATATCATTTAGGTTACGAGAAGGTATCCACCAACAACATGGCAGCTTCGCGAGCGGAAGAAGCCGTCAACAGGCATTTCCAGTTTTTTCGCAGTCACCATGGACGCGATGACCTGGGACGATCTGTGGGAGATTTGTCTCTGATTGTCTCTTACAGTGTAAGAGTTATTGAAAATTAGCAAATTTTACTCCACCACTTCTTTCTCCAAAGTATCAATAAAGCTCTAAAGATGCCATTTAACCCCAAAGTGGCAGTATATATCATTAAGCTAAAAGAACTCGTTCGCGTTGTTTCCTCCTGTTTCAAGGAATTTAAACTGTAATGAGGTGGTCTGAGTAATTATAAATTTTACACCATTGAATTAGGTAAAGAAATTGTGAAAGGTAGATTGATTGTTCATGGCTCTAAAATTGGTTATTTGTAAGATCAGTAAACTTGTGATATCACCGCTGAAAACCTCCTGGCCCTGATATAACAGACAATTCAAAACAAACAAACAAACAAACAAACAAACTACATAGCCCGGTTCCCTCCTGAATGCGCCAAAACAACAACGATGGCGATAATGACAACAAAAACTACAATTAAAAAGTGAGTCAAATTTTTGCTGAGAGAAACTTAAGATAAGAGGTCTTTCTCTTACCTGGACTGCATTAGACGAGAGTTTTCTCCGTTGTTTGATAGCACATTCAGTTTCTGTTGTCGGACTCTTTGGCGGCCTCGCAACCCGGGAAAAAAGATTGCTCAAAGATGATAAGGAATTAATTATTTCTGGGCTTCCTTTCTTTCTGTTGATTTTCTTGGTCAAATTCATAATTTCTAACTCATTTCTTGGGTTTTCATGTGACACAATAGTGCTGCTGATCTTTGAAGGATCGTCAACGAGTGAAGTTTGGTTTGACTCTTCAGATGGTGAGAGTCTTTCTTCAACATCTTCGCTATCAGACAGGAGCTCTTCCTCTTCCCAAGAAAGTATTTTCGCACTGTGGCCAGTGAACAAGGAGGCTAGTGAATCTCTACGTTTCATCCTCTGGCCCCACAATAGCCATTTTAAAATTATCTTTCCAACTCTCCTGTAGACTTTCTCAATTAATGTTTTTGAAAAAGTCACATCGTATACTTGATTTGTTTAACTGTTCAATATCGACACATTCTAGATGAAAAACGTTTTGAAGTTTTCTCTCGAAAATGAAAGCTGAAGTTTTGGAACATTTAGCTGTTCTAAATGCAGTCGTAGCTTGTTGTAGCTTGGATGTTTTGCTGACATTTTCATGCGTAAAATGAGTTTACTTTGAGTGAAACTGTACGAAAATTGTTAGAATCCCGGATGTCAGACCCCTTGACAAGGGACTGCGAGAGGTGTTCAGCCGTATTTCACTTTATGGCCGTCATAGCTACAGCGTGGGTCGACTAGAATTGAGAGAGATAGACTAAAACTTTAATTCGATCATTATGAGATTTCGGCATTTTCTGGGAAATTTTCCTTTTTTTTTTTTCAACACATAAATATTAAAGTCAATGTACTTAATTGTGAAGGAATACGTTCACCGAGACTAAGAGGGTCTAAGGTCCAAAAATTTCCGTCGCATCTTCGTACTTCTTCGGAGAATTCCCGAGACTTAATCGTGCATACCAGTCGGACTCCGAAGGTTTTAAGTGTGTAGTTCCGCATTGGCTCGATTGTCTCACATGTTTCACTGCATAGCTCGACAGTGTTTCGAGCTGAATTCATAACATGGCAAGGACATTCCCCTACAATCTTCATTCAATACTTTTCCTGTGGATAGCTCTGGGTTACAGTGAGGGTGAGTTACCCAACTAACAACTGTGTAGATATTCACGTTGACGAAGGGCAAACGCTCGACTGAAACGTCGGCCTTAGAAAATACTTACGGTGGCCAATATACATCATTAACTCAATTGACAAAACCAAATTATCTTGTTATACCCCAACTAACGCAACACTACACATGAAAAATTTACCCCCACACTTTGGAAATTTACCCCCACTATTCGGCAGCTGTATATGTTTGTGTCTGGAGTAAGTTGAGTTTCGCACGTGTTCACGTGACAATAATAATAATGGAAGATAGATGATCGTCTTTTCACGAGCGTAGGACGAAGAAAAAAATCTGAATCTCCATGAGGAATGGAACCTCAGACCTTTGGATTCCGCGCTCCGATGTTCTACCACAGACTCGCCACAGAGACTCTAGTTTGTATGCCACACAAAGTTACAAACATGACTCTATCGACATTGCTGATCCTGGCTGTATGCAAGACGCTTGTCACATGAAATTCCTAATAGACCTTGCTCACCGTAGAGTCTCTGTGGCTCAGTGGTAAGGCATCGGAGAGCGGAATCTGAAGGTCTGAGATTCGATTCCTCGGAATTCAAAAACACCTTTCTCTATTTCTCTAACGAGCTCAAAACTTGCCATCTCTCTTATTTTATTTACAAATAATAACAGAGTCTGTGAATGAATGAAAATCACTTATGTGAACTGCGGCTTAAGCAATGACCATAAAGCGATCTTCGCAGTAATCAATACTACTTAAGTAGTAGTGAAAATATGGCCTTAAAAAAATTCAGGCCTGTAGTAGCTCAATCTCAATGAAAACCCAGAAGAATCTTAAAAGGATAACTGAATTAATTCGCGTTGTAATCTTTTTACCCGTTCAGTATTCAGTGGTAACTAAATTAGACACTAGCTTTGTTTGTGGTTATTTGACATTTGGGATACATTTCCGGCCGAGGGCTGATATCACTGTCTAACTGAGCGAAAAATTGATTATGGTAAATTATTACTAGAGTTGTTAGGTCCAGAAAACAAAAATCGGCCAGGCGGGAAATTTCTGTTTCTTTGCGCTTTCGATTATGTCTGGAATTCGATGCGAGATTCCATGAAACCTTTGAGACAAGGAGCGACTTGTAGTTATATTGAAACAAAGAAGAACTTCGTCCGACTTCAAGTGATATTGATATTTTATATTAATATCGAGCTGCAAATGATGTTTATTAAGTATTTCAAATTGAAGAAGAACAATGTTTTGAGCGGCGATCATGCGAAAGAGTTATTGTTTGCATCAGGTATCGAAAATTACTAGGCATGTCCTTAAGTTTAAACCCAGATACGGCAAAAAGACATTATCGATCAAAACAAAACCACTGAAGCCATCAAAGCTACCAAAACAAACAACTACAAGGATTGAAACGAGCGATGGGAAAAAGACAATTAACTTGTTACTACTATGCTTGCCTTCGTGCTGAATACAGTTAAACTCCAGAGTTCTATAAGGTAATATCTGTCCAACATACATTCACATTTCCTTCAATTATAAACAGCGGCATTAACATGGCCCACTGGGACATATGGTCTACCTAGAGCAAAAGTTGGCTGTCCTGTGACAGTGAATTCTACGGTATGGGCCACAGGATGGCGATTTGAAGACACTGAGGACTACAAAAATTCAAATAACAACTCTAAATCGCCGAGTTTTCATCTTGATACAGAGATTGGCATAGATGTTAACAGAACGTTCTGTATTAAGACAAAGGACATCATCCCTGAGGAGGCTGGCAAGTGGCCACAAGGTAAGTGATATACAATCAAACTGCAAAAAAGTAAAGACCAGTGAAGATGTAGACTTTGTGAGGCCACATCCTTCCCCCTAGAAAATCGTGACGTATATTTTCAATCTTTAACAAGGAAATAAATGCTCATTGTCAAACCATTTAGCAACAATACTCGCTTTGCCACTCACCTCCTCTTCGTTTTCTCTATTAGTGTGGGGTTGGAGGGGAGGGAGGGTATGGCTTCTCGTAAGTTAGCAAAAATACTGTGTTTTCCAGAGAAGCCTTTGATACTACAGAAATACCAAACTAACAAAAAAATTGCAATTGAGAATAAGGTGTTTCCTTCTAAAGATGTTCTGGGATATCAGGCTGCCCAGGGGTTCGCTAGCACCTGCATGGGTGGGGTCACCATATTGCTGGTTCCCTTCGTTTAACCTCCTCCTCAAGGGATGAATGAAGAAAATTGCTAAGGATACTTCCTTGACAAAATACGAAATGAGGAGCAACAATCCTAGTTGCCTCTCGGCAAACAATCAGTGGCCTACAAAAAAACTATTGAATTTAACGCTCCTGAAGGTTATGGACCATCAGACTCCGTGACCCTGTACCTTCTGTTTTCCAGTCTGCCTTTTAGTTCGTTGAAACATATACGAAAGCAAGCTTAAATTCCTATAAGTTTGCAGAGATTGGAAGATATTTATTATGATTATTTCCTTAAGGCAGATATTGTATTTATAAGAAAGGCGATTGCCCCAGAGGACTGAAAGAAGGTTACATATTTTGGGACGACGAAAACGATAAGAACATCAACGATCAAGGAGGGACACTTCCTGATGGCAAATACGACAAGGACACTTCCATATACTATTGTTGCAGCACCGACGGTGACAAATTTAAGCCCATCCCCCTCCCCCTAATCAGTCCGTTTTACCTTATGGCTTTCAACACGCCAGAGTGCCAGCGCGTGCAAGGCGCCATTGCCACAGAGGAGTACATTGCATTTGACTCTGAAGATGACAACAACCAAAATGCGCGTAATGGAAGCTATCCCTTCGGAGCAGGAGGGAGGAATCACCGAGTCTATTATTGTTATTATGAAGGTAAGGGGTTAATGTCAGTATCTGTGCAACTACCCTCCCTTAACAACTGATGACAAGTTAGGGGTTGAAGTTAGGTTAAAGTTGGGTTAGGGGAGGGTAGGTGCGAACTTGTTCACATCACGAAATTGAACCAAGATAAGTTTTGTAGCAAGAACATTAGCACGTTGTGTAGGCATATCGTAAAAGTAAACACTTTTCAAAATTATCCAATGAGAATTTAGCGTAAGAACGCAAGGTTAGCCTCAATTGCTTTCGTCACCACGATACTAGTTACTGCGGTATAATGTTGTTGACACGATACCGAGGGAGGAAGCGGAAAAGTTTAGGGACGCTGTCCTCGTAGTCTTCGCCAACGAGAATAATTTGATGAGAAAACTACCTTTAATTAAAGTTGGGCAGAGTAGGAGGGTATCTTTATTGGGTGAGGATTAGTCGAGTTTTAAAATCGCAGAAAAAAAAATGCAAACCCTTTAAAAAACTTGATAATAACTCCTGACCTAGCCCACTTTGTAATATGGGTGAGTAGGGATCATCATTTATAGGGAATGGGGATAATCCCAGGGGTTTTGTATCCTCCATACGGGGCACGAGGGTCTGAGACAATAAGGAAGACATGCAAGTGGTAGTCACAGTTCCAATAATTTCGTTTTTGTGTGTGTGTTCTTAGGCTGTCTCTATACATACAGCTTGGATAGCGACGAGCAGATGCTATTCATCTCTCCAAAATTCTTCAACGATGGATTTCCGTCGGAGCAGAAGTGCACGTGGCGATTTGTTGCCCGAGAAAAGGAGAGTAAGGTGCATATTACCTTTCTGGAGACACATATAAGAGAAGGCGACAGTATTTCTATTCGTAATGGCTGGAACAGTGGATCAGTCGTGGGTAAAATAGATCCAAAAAATCCCTTCGATCCCAATGGATATGCGTCACAGAACAATTTTCTTCTCGTGGAGTTTAATTCAAAGTCTTCCTTAACACCTGGGATTCATCATCCCAAAGGTTTCCGCGGAATATTCAAAATTATTTCAAATAAAGGTAAGAATCACTGCGAGAAGGTAACAATATTATTGCCTTATAGGCCAATAAGTCTCTCAAGTGGCCTTTGGTTTGCACTACTACGTCAGTATGAGGCAAAATGACACCAAAGAATTTTAAATTGACACCTGGAAAATATCATTGTTGGCAACCATGTTCAGATGTCAGATAACTATAATTATAATTACTACATAACTGATCAAGTCCTGATAACGAAAGCTTTAGAAAAACATTTCATAATAAAAAAATAGCGAGATTAAAACATGACGTTTCGGCGACAACATGTCACCATCATCAACTGTAAATTATTATAAGTTCAGTGACGTTATCTAAAGAAAGGAAAGTGTAAAAAAGAGAATGCACATAATTAAATAAAAAGTTTTCTCTGGAATTGAGTATTTCTGACTTTTCAGAGTCGGTCTCTTTTTCCTTATTAAAAGCATCTCATAAATAAGGCACTCAAACTTTCCGCGGCATTCCTTAGGATGGCAAATTGCTCGTGAGGATTAATCAAGTCTACGCAGTTATGTAGGTTTTTCATCTGTTCGAATGGTTGCAGTTCCACAGGGTCCTAAGTGGCCAAATGGTACATATGGACTCCCCCGCCCCAGGGCCGGCTGTCCTCCGAGGTCAGACGACATTTTCTGGGAGACTGGGTGGAGGTTTCAGGATACTGAAGACAACAACCCTAGTAATAAAGTATCTGAGAGCTTCCACATGGATGCTACAGTCGATAAAAATGACCTTAATAAAAGCTTTTGCATTGCCACGCAGGATAAGGGAACAGAATGGCCAAAAGGTGAGTATAGTTTATTTAAGCAAGGTTTAGCGGAGACCAGCGGAGTCTACATCCAAATTAGAATTACAGTGATACGCTGACACTAGTCCACACCCAGGGATGCAGTCTCACTGCACTTAATAGCCGTATTAATAAATATATCAAATTGCAAGGTATCGCGGCATTCTTCTGTGTCAAAAATAATGGCAGCACCTCACCATGGATTAGTGACGTGGTATTGTTTTAGATATATTTGATCCCATTGATCCGAGGAAGTTATTTTTTCGCAGGTCAGTATTGCATTTACAAAAAAGGAGCTTGCCCCAAAGGCCTCTCTGAGGGATATATATTGTTTGATGACGAAGACCACAAAAACCAGAATAAGATGGGAGGGACACTTCCAGACGGAATATACAACAAAGATACGAATATATCGTATTGTTGTCGGACGGATGGTGACAAATTGGAGCCCGTCACCCTCCCTGTGAGCAATCCTTTTTACTTGCTGGCCTACAACACATCTGAGTGTCAGCAGGTTAATGGAGCTATCGCTACGAAGGAGTTTATACATTATGACACCGAAGAAGGTGATCATAACAGAGACCAGATGAATGGTGCTTATCCTTATGTGAAAGGAAAGAATTTGACGATTACTTACTGTTATTATCAAGGTCTGTATTTACAAGGAGTGGTATGTAAAAAGCTATGGTATATCAGTAATTAAAGCAAATGAGCAGTCAAAAAGCAAGGCGGTATAAGGCAAATCAATCCCGTTCCCAGGCCCTTTCCTAATTTTGAAAGGAAAAGGTGAATATAATGGATAAAGCAATACCTTACCCAGAGAAGTCTGCCGCAGCCGTTTCAAAGAACCTTCAGCAATCATCGTGCCACCTCATAGCTCATAGCGAGCTCAAAATGCAGTCACGCCAGGATTTAACGAGTGAAATATTAGCGGGGTTCGCTTCATTTTCCTTCTCTCCTTATGGTCATAATTTTGGTTTAATCTTCCCAGCTCTAGAAAGTTTTCCACAGTATCAGTATCAGTAACCCTTTCAATCTACCACGTGGGGGTTAGCCTTTGAAACTTCAACAAAAATCGTCAGGAGCTCCGTTTCATGGTTCCAGTCAGGCCTTCGTGTTTATTGTAGCGGCCATGGGGTTTATGAAAGTCCCTATTGCACTTCACCCTGACTGACCATCCCTTTCTTTGGGATTTTGCCCAGGGGCACGACAGGGACATTGAGCTGGTCTTTGTTCCCCGTGGTTAATGTCCTATGCTCCTTACCAGGAGCGAGGATGGCCTTATCTCTGAAACATTATTTAATCAAGTATGAAACCTGTCTGATACCGAAAAATGTGACAATAAAGGAGATTACAAGTTAAATCTCTTGAACGATAAAAACAAGATTAGGGAACGAGGGAAACATGCTGCGTGCGACTGCACTTTTTTCCTTGTGTAAACGCAAATTTTACGTATGTTTCTCTTCTCAAACAGCCTGTCATTACACCATGAGTGAGACTCCTCAGGAGTTCATGTCACCTTTTTACCGCAGTGGTGATGGCTACCCGAACTCACAGCTCTGCACCTGGCGATTCTTGGTACAGGAGAAAAACCCTAAATCACAGCAGATCCTAATCAAGTTCCCAGAGTTTAATTTAAGAAAAGATGGGGACGGTGACGTGGTGAGGATTTACGGCGGCTGGGACGAGAAGGCAAAGCTTCTTGCAGAATTTAATGGTGATCACCCACCCCCAACCAAGGGCGTGGCAGCTGACTCCTCTGTGGTGTATGTGGTATTCAAATCTGACTCACAAGCCCGCTCCAAGGGTTTCAGAGGAGTTTTCTTAAATCAGAGTAAGTAGCAAAGGCATGTTTGTAGCTAGTATGGTCTTTTGATAATTGGAGAGGTCGTAGATGAATTAAAAACTATCTGTTTTAAGGAAAGATGTTTTATGATATAAGTGAGATCTCTAATCATAACATGCTTTTGTTCTCATAGCATACAATGCTGCTTCTGTACCAACACGACCCATAACGATTCCAACACGGCCCATTCCAGTGAAAACAAATGAAACTTCAGGTAACAAATCCGTAGTCCAGGCCAGCGTAATAACAATAGTCTTAGATTAATACCAATAAACCATAGAGGAATGCAAACTCAGGGTCAGGTGAACCCAGAAAAATGAAAATAGTTTTACTTTAATGCGCTCTATACTGTTTCCTTCACCTCCTAGAACATTTACCCATCTACTTCCGTACAATTGGTGCTTCTCCATCTCCTAACTCTTCCAAATTCATCTTCATACCATGATTGACACTTTGATCACAGACTTGATCAAGAGCTATCTTCTCCAAACGGTACATATGTATCGATAAATCATCCGACAAACTGGTACCGAGAATAGACTAGTACATGATTTCTTGATTCAACACCATATTCTCTTTACTTTTATACAAGGAAGTGTAAAGTAGTTACAGGAGAGAATTAATTTTTCAGATCTTGGACAGTTGGACAGCTGCAGTAGATGCATCTGCCTGTTCACACAGTTGTGTGCAGAGTAAAAGAGAAGCTGCACTTATAGAAATCACAATATATTTTATTGAATAGTGTCTTAACTAAATGTTCAGTTAAAGAAAAGACGAACGAGACAGCTACAGTAACCACAGCAAGTGCCAGTTTAAACCTAACGACGACAAAATCCGAAGGTAACTATCACTTTCGGTTTTGCGTTTAATCTTACTGAAAAACGGATGAGTGACATGCTAAATGTCGCAGAGTATCCTTGGTTAGCCTTATTTTTAGTATAGTTAAATAATTAATTATCGTTGGAGGTGAAATAGACCAGGAGCAGTCCCTCCTTTTCGGCGAAGTCTGGGAGTAAGACGTACTTTACGTGCACCATACATGCAGGGTTAGTTATTCAAAACAAACATTTAAACATAAGTAGTTCAGAGGGATACAAATGAAACCCGTTTTTTTATCTCTGTCATACACTGGAAAGATATCGTCAGTAATAGTGATAGACAGCAACCTTGTCCGGAGAAAAATACCGTTGATTTCTCATGGAATTTTTTTAACGTTCTGCATAGAATTTTAGCTTAGGATACTATTATTCATACATGGATTTTATCTTGCTCGAAAAGGTTCGCAGAGCGCTCGTTCAGGAAAACACGGTGTTCCAACTGCTATTATAGTGCTCGTGGTAATTGCAATATTGATTGGCATGGCGGTCAGTATATACTGCATTAGACGAAAGAGACTGAGGCAAAGAATAAAGAGGATGACAAATTCCGGGCTCCTGGTTCAAGGCAAAGACAGGGAAAGCTACCATTATAGTGATCTGGAGGAATACGAGTTTACGGGGGAAACACCAGACTTATTTCCACCGTCCTAACTACCTCTGAACCAATATTGGTCTGAATTAAATTGTGCTTTTTGAATGGCAATTAACGGGGCTAAAACATAGGTTTAAAAGTAAAAATTTTTAGCTCTAAAGCGAAATCAAACCCCTTTTTTAAGAAAATCAGCTGGGAATTTGTTCAAGCTGGATTTGAACAAAGAAAAAACAGAGAACTATACGAACTAAACGAAATATATGAGGAAAGAACAAAGTACAATACGAAAGAAAAAAAACCTTCATTTTTCTCATAATATGTAAGATGGGTTTCCTCTCTAATTTTGTCGCTGTTTATTTCGTGTTAAAGCAATTGAGAATAAGGTGAAATACAAGTAGTAATATCATGAGGTGATGGGCTCCTGGAAATTCTCAAAATCGTAAGCAATTCCAGTTTTGGTCATTTAATGATTCCTGGGTTTCTGTTTATTTTTCTTCCTATCTAATTAAATACTAGTTATAGTTCTCACTAGAGCTGCCCCCGCCCTACAGTACCATTTTCTTTTTTTTTTTTTTGAGTTTTTGTTGTTTCAGTTTGTAATGATTCCTGGGTTTACCTGTTTCGAGATTTTTTTTGGTTACGATCAACCGAAAACACCTACATTCTCTCTTAAATATTAACAGCCTTTTTCAACACGTTGTGGATCAGTGACTGTATTGGCTGAATGAACGTACAAACAGATGACGTTAAAACGCCTTTCAAGACGTCAGCGACGTCACAACCGCCTTTGTTTCTCACGTGCGTGCCTATATCTGTCTCTATTCAAAACTTTTGACGGCTTAAGTGCCTCAACGTTGCGTAAATAATAGTGTTAATGACCCCGAAATAAATTAAGGTTGCGAGGAAAAAAAGAAATTTTTTTGAGTACTTCTGTAGTTTCTTGAATCGAAAACTTATCACTTGTTCATTGCTCCTAGTCAAGTGAACGTATTCTAACTTTTCACAGAATAAACTAAGTAGGTGAAAACAGAGGAGGTTGTATCCATGTTAATCCTAAATTTACCGTGTAAATAAAATAACCTAATAGGTGTGTAGGAGGGCAGAACTTGGGCTTTCACAAAAGGTTAATTTTTCTCAAAAGGGACCGTTGCGCTTATTTACGGGAAGAGAGGTGGAAAAACAAAAGTACCCCATATTCAACAGTGTTAATGAACATCGTGAGACAAAACAAACCCACAAAAGTGCACATGAATCGAGATCTATTGCCCGAGGTTCCTGAAATTGTCATTAAACGATACAACATTCATGTGGCTGACTGAAAAATCTCGTAACTGACAATGGCTCAAAGCAATTCTAGATTCGAATTGGTTTTAGTAATCACTTCCTCGTATTTTGGCGATATCCTGATATCAAATAAAACCTTTTTGGGATATTGTCGCAAGATATTGGAAATATCCGGGAGATATAAATATATTTTGATACAAATTTGCGTTTGCAAGCTTATTAATTTTTATGCCGATTAGCAAAAGGTCGGGATTTTCCGACCTTGAGTTCCGGTCGGGTACATTACATTTGAGAAGAGAAAAAGTGTGCAAATTTTTTTTCCTTTCGCTAAGTGATGACTGTGTGTTGAGCAACATGCAGGTAAAGAATATATTATATTTCGAAGTTATTTTGGCTTTAAAAGGTTAGCGGTAAGGATAATTTGAAATCAAAGCAAATTTCAGTCCTATGTAGGTACATGTATATTTAGGCTTAAACTAGATTTACATATTTACGACTTCGTTTCAGGAGGTGGATCAAAACAACAAAATGGAACATTCCCCAATTCCAAAAGGAAAAGTCGTATCGCATTAAAATCGGGAAACTTCTACGGCCAATTTTTTTTGTAGCTTTGGCATACAACCTTGTGCGTAGTGCCCCGCGCGCAAATTATTGTTTAGCAAACATCACTTTTCTCGCGAATCACACAACAGCCCGTGATGCGTGTTAACAGCCTAATGCGACTGCAAGAGGCTATCTATATTAACTTCTCTGCAAGTTCTGAAACAAAATGTTAATTTACGATTATTTATATCGTCGAAGAGCAAAATCTGTAGATTACAGCGTGGAAGGTACATTGGCAAAGATCGTGGAAGGTGTGTTGTAAATTTTCGCCCTGATTTCACCTGCAGATTAATCCACCAGGTGCAGGAAGCGAAAAAGGAGCGAAATATTAAAGACTCAGAGAAATTACTGTGATCGATCTCTCTGATATCGAAACGACGAGAAGAAAAAAATCAAAGTCGTTTACGTTATTCAGAGCACGTAAAATAAGCGACACGCCCCCGATGTCTGGGTTGTGAAATATAAACATTCATGACCATTTAGCTTCTGAAGCCATATTTAGCATCTACGGTTTAGATCAATAATTAATCGTCTTTGTTTGACATAAATGACTCTCAGCCATTCAGCGGCCCAGAAAGAAAATGCGCGGCGCCTTGCTAAATTTACAAGGAATAAGAAAAGTGATACAAGATTATCTACACACGTTAGTCTGATCCAATCTGCCCTGGGAGGTTAGACTACAAACGCGCGCTAATCTCATCATTGCAGACGAACTTTTTCGAGTTATTTTGATGAAGAGTTTGCCACTGAGAGCATAATACATTTACAGAATGATATTTACGCACATTTTCCGTTATTTGGATGACAGAGATGCTGAAGAGACGAGGAAAAACAACGGTGAAAATATAAGACCGCCAGCCGCGGAGTACCGGTTTCATGTGTCCTCAACTGAGCATCGTGATGCGAAGTTTGAACAGATTTCTTGGAAAGCAACTCCAGGTCTAACTGTTGTTTCCGGAGCTCGCCAAACAGGCGCAAGTTTAAGTAAAACATCATCCAGCGCTCCTCTGGCTCAAGGATTTTGTTCGTTGCGAGGGGAAACGCTTGACGCAAAAACAACAAAGAAACAAGTTTTACCTCCAATTGGAAAATTACAAATTTCAGGGCTAGGTGGAAAAGAGTTTACACAAGATGAAAATTATTTCGCAAAACTGCCACCAATTGAACCACTGGATGACAAAACGCAAGCATTTCCGAAAAAATCGAGGGCATGTTCGGAAAAAGAGAGAGAGTCAATTTGGAATAATACCTCGATAAATACTCGACTGCCTCATAAAGATCAAATGTGTTTGGGGACGAACAGCGCGGAGCGGTTCAACACGGTAGGGCAGATTAAGGAGGAAAGTAATCCCAGGATAGAAAATGTGACAACGACTAATCTGACTCCAGAATTATCGGCTGATAACTGGAATAAGAAACACGGACTTACAATGCAAACAGTTGATGACATGACGTTGGTCAAAGCAGGCGCTAAAACTTCTTATTATCAAAATGCTAAAATGAAGCTGGACATTGAAACTGTTAAAGTCCGATCCTCGAAAACTGATGCGATTAACGCCGATGAGACGAAGGAGTACAAAATTCGGCGAATTCAGACGCGACTAAAGAGTTTCTCGGACGGCGAAGAGTCACCTGAAAATGAGAGGTGTCAAAACCGGGATGAAAATAGGAAAACGAAGATGACAGAAGATTTATATAAAAACTTGGGTTTAATCGACCGTAACACTGGCTTTCTACGACACTCCACGAAACGAAGAACGGGATCTGCAAAGTCCCGGTGGTACAGTACGCCTTGCGTACAAGCAGGGGAAGTTTCACGTTTGAAAGCTCACGGAGGCTCTATTTCTTCCGCGGTGCGTGGCGAAGGAAAGAGGAAACGTCCGATACAGTTACTTGCGTGCGTCAAAGGAAGACGAAACGCTATCTGCGAGGTAATTGAACAGAGCATAGAGCCTGAATTCGGTTCGAGTTTATACGAAATGAGGAAAAGTTTAATTAGTATAACGTGAAGACAGCTTGCAACCAAGACGAGATCAAACAGCGCCAAGTGACTAAGAGACAGGTGATTTTTTTTTGCCACCCTCGAGTTTCCGCAAGATGTATTTCATAACGGCATCGTGCCGTGTGAATTCATTTCGCACCAAAAAAACACCGCCATTCCCTGGAAATGGCCTCTGCACAAAAGGGAAATTGCTCTTTATGGACGTTATGGCGTTCGTCAAAACATAAAGTTGATTTTATGTTCAATAATACTATAAATATATTTTTCGACGCCGGTTAAAGGACGATGGAACTTTACCAAGGGTTTCGACATAAAAATACTGTAAAGAAAACTAAATAAACACATTTATTTGTATTTGCGGAGCCTAAAAAGGCTTTTGTGAATATTTAGCGATTTAAAAATAGGAATTAGCTAAGATGACAATCTATTGATAAAAGTGAATAACTAATTGGAATTTTAATTTAACTCGCAGAATAAATTGTTGTAACTTTTCGAGGTATCAATTAATTTAACTTATACTACCGTGCTGTTAAGTATTTTCTCGTGGCCGCCAAATCGCAGATGATCTTGGAAATAGTGTAGTCGGAAAAATAGATTTTGATAAAATTAACTTCGAAAAATTAGAAACGTGGCAAACAACATGCTACAAACAATTTCGATAAGTCGTTGGCAAGAGGCCGGAAGCCTTAGTATTAAAGGTGACTAAAATGTTTATCTTTTGCGCGCATCGTTAAAATACCCACGAAAATAACTTCTTTTGTTCAAGATGAGCGAAATTATTCAAGTGTCGATGGAACATTTTTAAGTAAGCATAAAAACTGCAGGTAGGATGAAAAATCTGAATTTCGTGACCGGCCAAGTGGGAGACCAAATAAGTAATTATACTTACATTTATTCCAAAACTAAGGCAGGAGGCGGCCGATATGTTAAGGATACGAAAAAACCATAATAGCGCCTTTCTGAACAAATTTTCGTGAAAATTTTTTTATTATGTCAAACTGGTAATCCATGCGACTCGTATCTTTTCCTGGTACGCATGCGTGGAGTAGACACCCATTTTCAGCTGGTCAAATAATATTAAAATTACAAGTTATCTCGGGAGTTTAACTAACCTTTGGCGTCACAAAAGTAAAGGATGTTTGCTTGGTGGTTCTTTCATCTTTCCCGATTTAATATTTAAGATTTCTAATGAGGATAACAGTCGTAGTATTTTCCAATTAATTTGTAACTTGCCCATTGTATAAAATAATGCGAAACACTGTGTACTTGGGCGGAAGTAAATATCGAGTGTAACGGTTTATATCTGAGACAGTGGGATAGGAATAGCAGGTCATAAGAGTTCACTTTCCCTCTATATGGTAAAATTTAAGACAAATGTAAATATTGCATATTGTGGAGCCTGAAAACAAAAATGAATTATAAATATCAAAACAGTTTGGTAGGGCATCATATTGTGGGTATTGTGAGAAGTTTATGTCAGTGACAACAGCCAAACAATCCTAATAAAGGGTTTTTTTTCGGTTAATAACTGAAGTGGATCTCTTTCACCCTTTGGATTGAACAAGAACTAAATTCTCCTTTGTGTATCAACACCTTGATGACCTGATAGGTAATGAGAACTGCTATTGAGATCTTGAGAATAAAAGGCTCATGAAATCCTTTTCCAGAAGTCCACAACCTTAGAAAACAAGTTGGGTCTGACTGTAAAAAATAGAATCTGGCAAAGTTTGCTTTTATAACAATAAAAAGAGGCAGCTGTGAGATTTGAATGGCGCAACAAGATTTAAAGTCACTCAAGACAGTCAAGTGATAACGAAAACCCGGTTGGATTGGTGGGGGGTGGGGTTGGGGGGTCATTAAACACGTGCATCATACAGGAAAAGACATCGGGGCACTAGGAGTTCCTCACGTTTCGAACATTCCAGTAGATCGTGGGTAAAAATTCAATTATTTTTATTACCATTCATCAATAATTAATTTTGGGCAATGACTCTGCAAACGTTCTTATAATAAACAACGCTAGCCTCCGCTTTACCTATGTTAATTTTAACCTTATGTCAAGAAGAGCAGTGAGGAAATTTGTAGATCTCTGATAGACAGGGACAATACAAGACGTACACGATTCCCCATCGTTAGTTCTAGAAAATAGCTTAACACACAGCCTGTTTGATGCAGTATACAATTATCGTTAAAAGGTTTTATCACCATGCAAAGTGATAGGAATTCGCTTATAAAAATCCTTCCCCCCCCACCCCCCCCCGCCCGCACATGACAAAATTGCACATAAAAGAAGTTCATTACGAAGACTTCACCTAAACTTTTATTTACAACATACTGATGATTTAAAAATAGCTTGTAAGCCTAAATACTACCCAGAAACAGGCTTGAAGACTCTCTGTCACAGCTGTTTGAAAGAACTTGGCCAAGATTTAAAAATAAATCTGCACGATTTCCGGTCGACTTAACGTCATTCAGTGCAAAAGACGCTTTAGACACTTCTGCAATCCTTGAAATTTGTCCAGCGTGTTTTGCACACTTGGGTCACGTGACAGACTGGATTGTAGTTCCACCAGATACGTGGCGCATGCGTCATACAGTGCAATTGCTATTTTTCGTCTGAAAGTAAAAGTCAGAAAATGACACTTCAGGGTAAACTAAAATATGGCGAAGGGCCTGGGAAACATGTATAAACCAGTACATGGAGGCAAATGAAAAGGTTGCCCTTACCTCTCGTGAGGGGGAGAAATGGTGGGCGTGTTTACAAATTTCATAAACAAATGATATATAACTTCAAGGATGTGAAGAGGCTTGTCTTGCGTTCGCCAACACTGATCCTTCAAAACATAGACAAACGAAAACATAACTAAAAGTTAACAATAATTTACCCTTTCAAATTTTTTTCTCCTCATCCAATGCGCACCCTTCCCTCCCCTCCCTCATACCAAACTTCTAAATAACTAACCCTTCATGTTTTATGAACGTGGGACAGGTAAAAAAAAAGTACGAGTTTCCCACGAGCTACAAGAAGCTGGATGGGCCATATTCTGGGATCATAATGTATAGCAGATTCCAAATACAGTCGCTGATAAATTTGTCCCAAGAAATCATCTCTAAGCTACAGTGTTAGTGATATTTTGACTTACCTTGGCTTTGAACAGTTTGTCATAAATGGCGTGTAACACGGGGAATGGAATACCCATCTCTAACATAGTCATAAACACCCAGGTTGGGTCCCAGACCAACTCGGCGCTCTTCTTTTCCAGCATAAGGATTATTGCCCCTGAAAGGCACAGAGCAACATTATTGAGTAAAAATTCGTGCGTGATTCAAGCCATGACGGTCATGCACAGCGGGCATGGCTATGAACAGTCACGAATGGTCATGCACTGGCCGTAACGTAATGACTTACCCAATGGAAAGTACCGCTCAGAATGGACATAAACCTTTCCTAAGTAAGCAATCTTTTTACTGACAATTGCCATGCGATCACTAGGTGGATTCTGAAGTGAGTCACGGAGCTCTGTTGAAGAAAATAAACGTAGAAGTGTTACAAGTCCTGCCAGAGAGCATTTTCTGGGAAAATTCACCACTTTCTCGATAGTCATTTAGGTTTTGAGTACCCTGCTGTTTTCAAACAAGACATTGTGATACGTTTGAGAGCCTTGTCGTGCAACTTAGTAACTTAACACGAAAATCACTAACCGGCTTCTATGATGTCCCTCCAGAGCGTCTCGATCAAGGTTGGGTCGTAATGTCCAGCACAGTGAACGATGGCGAGTTTACACTCAGACAGATCAAACTCATCAGCAAAATCTCCGTACAGCTGAGGATGATTATAGTCAAGTTAGTCTGAACTCATCTGCAAAACTGCCATTCCACGAAAACACCGAAAAAATCACACAAGTAGCACTTCAGACTACCGTATTTACCCGTGTATAAGTCGACCCCTGACTTTCAAGGTCAAAAATCAGATTTTTCATCATTTCTAGTCGAAGTTAATCTCTTATTTCCGAGAATGTATTGAAAACACGGGGAATTAAAAAAAATTAAGAGCAAAATGTAACCGTGTGCTGTAAAGTTTATTGGCACTTGTTGATATCACCTCGATTTAGGCATCTACGAGCACTTCGATTTACTGAAGAAGTATTTTACCATATTTTGTGAATCACAGTGAAAATGAAACCTTCTTGCATTTAAACAGCCTTTATTTTAATGCTGACTTTGAAGGGAGATTAATTAGACCGAAGGAGAACCGAAGAACTTCGAAGGATCGCGCGTAACATACAAGACCACGCGAGCCAGGTCACCAAGCCACTGAAATCGTTCGATGAAAACGAAAGTTCAGCACCGTTAACAGCAGCGAAGCTGGAGGCAAAAATGTCTGCTCCACAGTCCGAAGACACGATAGAAATCAGCTCCAGTAGCTTTTTGTTAAGCCACTTAAAATTTATTATTTCAAACATTTTTGTTGAGGAAGAATGTGCTAAAAAGTGACGAAACTCTTACACAACTAGAACTAGTTTTATAAACTCGGTCTACCTAACGGACTTGAGGCGAATTTTATGCTAATTTCTTGGATTGCTCAAATCGGGTCTTTGTGTACAAGTCGAGGGTGATTTTTTGGGCTGATCGTTTGGTCATAAAAGGTCGACTTATACACGAGTAAATACGGTAACAGCGAAAAGTGATGAATGTCTTTTACAACAGGCTAGGGTATACGCCATTAAACAACAAAACTATTATCTAATGAGGGCAAAACCAAGTCGTAGGAGACCATAAAGGGTGAAGAAATGAAAATCAGAGAGTGCAGAAGAACGAACGATGGGGTCATATTACTTAAAATTACGAAAACATGCTTCATTGTAGAAGGAAAGGAGGGCGTCGGTAAGGCGGGGAATCTGAACGAAAGGGAAATGAGAGGAAAAGAGGAAACAGCACACTTCCCAGTGATATGACAAAAAACAACAACCGCCTCTTTCTGGATAATGTATCGATATAGGAAGGGAAAGATTCATGTAAGTCATTTAGTGAAGGAAATTAAAAGGCCCTTACTTTGGTGACATCAAAGAGCTGAGAATTCAATCCAATCAAAGCTTGGTCTATCCGCCTGGATGGATTAGCAGAGTTAATTCTTACAAGAGCTTGATAGACTTGCATCTGGATGCGGGCAACTTCCAGCTTCTCTTCTAACCCGTGTAAGAATTCCCCGTCGCCACTCCCGGCGGTTCGTAAATTACAGCTCTTGGCGCTCATAATGGCACGAGCCAGGTATTCTAATCTTAACTCTAGTGTTACACCAGGACTGAAATATAACCAAAATAACACTGATGACTTTCAGGACAGTGAGAAGAGGAGGAGTGAGGGGAACTAAGTGTGTAAGGTATGTTATTGTAGAGCGGTGCGGATTTAACCAAAATTTATTGCTGCTCTTGACAGAAGCACTGAAGATGCAAGTCACCAGAACGAGGCCTGAGACCTACAACCTTGATCACAAAGGTTGAAAAGTGTTAATATCCATAACTTCTGCCCATTCCCGCCCACAGCAGTGTGGAACGAACAATTTCTGCATTTTTTCAATAAAACACGCTGAAAGGGGGGATAAAAAGGGAAGGGAAGAATGGGGCGGGGCAGAGGAGGGCGAAATATGTTGGTATTAGCTCAGAATGTCAAAGTTTTAACGGCTGCGAGGTCCATTAGGGAAACCTTAACCCGAGTTCTAAAGGTATTGAAATTGAAATAATAATTACCTTTGTTTTTCAGAGAGTTTAGAAAGGATTCTTGCAGCAGCAGAGTAATTCTTTGTTTTTTCATAATGTTTCCACAACAAGTCCAACATCTTTAATTCATTTGGCTGATCCTGTGACGATGATCGCCTCAGAAACACCTCCAAGTGCGGAGATTTGATCTTCATTTGAAGAATAAAGGAATAAGTCGATCAAAAAACAAAACAAATCAAAAATATGATGGCACAGAAAATATCAACCGAGATCCAACAGAAATACTAGACGGCTTCTGTTCTCCTTCACTGCCCTGTGATTGGTTTATAAACTCGCGCCACCTGTTGACCCAATTAGATACAAAACTAAACCGATTACGACTTGGTGTCCGACTTTTCCCGTGAAACAAATGGAGAATGGTTGAGGAATAAAGAAAATGCAAGGACTCTTGGAATGATGAGAAGGTTCACGAAAATAGAACTTACCTCCAACAGCCTTTCAGTCAGTCCATTGTCAATCAACCATTGATACAAAACAACATGCCATAATTCATCCCCGTAAGACAATGAAGATGATAACACATCTTCCATCTAGGAAAAAGATTAAGTCTGGAAATCAAGCGCTGCCTACAAACCTGACAGAAAGCAGACTTTTTTTTTCATAAGAACTTACATGCTTTTCAGCATCATGCGGTGTCAGAGCACTGGGGTCTGGGGCCGGAGGAGGCCCTGGTCGTGAGGGTAGTCCGGGTGATTGAGAAGGAGTTGTTTTGATGACAAGAAGACGTTGGAGACAGTCCAGAATGCACTTGTAGCACTGTTGTCTAGAAAAAGAAAGACTTGTCCAACATAATAGTTGAAAAACAAAGGGAATATTTATAAACAACAGTTACGTTTATGTCTTCAGTTTTGTTTTTACCAATGACGATCTACGGTCCTGAGCGGAGAAGGAAGGGAAGAGTGGAGACTGTGTTCTACCCTCCGAACTGGTTCCTATTATTAGCTCTGCAAGACGAGCATTTCTCAACACGCGGGAAGATTTGAGACGAGTCGGGAAGAGGTTAGAGGGGTCTGGCACTAATTATCAGTGTCAGACCCCTTGCAGATCTCCCGCCGCCTCGTGTTGCTCAAGGCCTCATACTCAGTTTCTCGCGGGCAAGAAACGTTCGTGCCTATTCGCGGGCTCACTTTTGTTCCCACGAAGTCATCAGACTTTCTCCAAAACTGATAAGGTGACTTCTTGTGAAACAGTTAAACGTTGCAGAGATAGACTAGGATAAAATACCTGGCAATAAACGCTTCCCGTCCTTGCATATCACCATGTGGCTCTCCATTCCTGTAGAAGTGTAAAGCCATTCCCTGGGGATCTCGTTTTAGCGCAGCATACAAAGATAACTCCACAACTCCATCATAGAATCTCACTTTAAAAACAAACAAAAAATAATTAATAAATATTTAAAGTTATCAAAATTGAACAGTGGCACTTCCAAGATGTGGCTTTTCGTCCACTGTTAAAAATCGAAATTGAGAGTGATGGTCTTTGTTAAGGGGTAAAAAGCGGAGAGACTATTGAAAAATTCTCGCAGTGAGAACCAACAACAAACTCTACCCAGGTATCAGTGGTGAGAGACGAGTGCTTACACTACTGTGCCACCCCTACCACCCTAAAAACAAATTGGCTGACGGTAAATCAATTATTATCACTGAACGAGTTTGAAGATATTATATTACCTGATTCAAACAAAGAACAAATCAATTCCAGGTTGATCTGATGGGTCACTTGTCGATAACACTAGCAAAAAAAAAAAAAAAAAGAAGAATGAAAAAAAAAAAACTTTAAAACCTGCCAGATGGTTTCATAACCTGGATGTTTCAAAGATTGCCTGTTACATTCTATTTTGTTGCTTTAGTTAACCCTTTGACTCCTAAGAGTGACTAGCATCTAATTTCTCCTAACAATATAACCCCTGAATCATAAAGTAAGGTTGTGAGGATAAGAAAACTGATCACCAGCTAAAGAAGCTCTCAATTGTTTAAAAAGTCTCCTCGTCAGCACCTTATTACATGTATAGAGAAGAGTATGGAGAATTTGGATATTGATGTTCGGGTTTAAAGGTTAAGGTTACAGCAAAGGTGAGAGCTATATTGTATCTCTACATGAACATGATCACAAGAAGCTTAGTTTTAACAATGTATGGAGAGCAGAAACAAGGAATTCTGCCATTTGTTTTGAACCATATGAAAAGAAATCTAGACAAGGTTAAACTTGAGACAAAGCATGTAAGTGCCATTCTCCTATTAATTAAAGTAAAAGTCTAGTCTCAAGCTTCAATTCTTTTGCCAAATGCAGTAGCCATAAATAAAGGGCAAGCCACTACTTACACGGAGAGCATCTTTAAGAATACTTTCTTGTTCTGCTTTGTCTTTACTTTGTTTAGCCAGCATTAAAAGTTCACCAGCCTAAAAGGGAATTTAAAAAATCAATAAGAGCATTACTTTACAAACTGATCAGTCTAAATCTTTCATCAATAGGCAGAGATTTCATTACCCTTTGATCTCTTAAGAGTAACTCGCACCTAATTTCTCATTACATTGTCATCCCTGAATCACATAACAAGGTCACATGACTAAAGAAAATGATGATCAACTAAAGATGATCATGATAATTAAACAAATTCTCCATGTAAGCGCCTTAGGAAATTTAGGGAGAAAAGGTGGAGAAGATGGATATTGATATTAGGGTGTACAGGGTTAGGAAATGTGATAGCAGAAGAATAGTGCAGAGTAAAAAGAGAATATGCTCCACCTTTGAATAAAAAGTAGCTCAAGGTATAGAAATTTATTTGGAGAATTTTGGGAATTAGCAAGACAACTTTGCAATCTCCACTCTATAATGACCTCTCTACAAATATGTGGTTGCAAAGTGTATTCAAAGACTCCTCAGTTAGGTTCAAAACCTTTGATATTTTCAGAGAAGCTTTACAGTCTGTTTTTATCCTGATAAAGTTGTACCTTTGAAGACACTGCATCATCATTGCTGAATAAATGTGGACAGACCTCCCTCAACTTCTCACTGATAATATCTGTAGAGGTGCCGTCATCCAGATAACAGTTGATCAATGATGCAATGAGGGCACTGCAGATCTACAGGAAACACAGGTGACATTAGTTTTCTGCTGCATCAATTACAAAAAAGCACATTTCTTACCCATGTAGTAACCAAATGTGAACTTGCAGTCAAAATCATGAAGTTCTCTGAAAAGTTTGATGACAAAAACAAATCTAAAATCCATTTGCCAACTGTGCAGACACCCAACAAACAGAATTTTAGCCCCTGATAAGAGTTACATCCATGATCTGTTAAGATGAATTCAGCATCTATACACAGGGCAAAAGGGGGGGGGGGGGGGGGAATGGCGCATAAGAAAGAGCATTGCATTGCATTGTCCAGGAAAATAATTATCATTAATACTTAAATAACTTCCTAATATGTTCCTCCTGAGCAAAGCAAAGTCTACATAAACTTTACTCAATTTGTTTGAACAAACACAATTGCCATGGTTACCTCCTGCCCCTTAGTTGCCAGGTCTCTAAACTTGACATGCTTTAAACGATCCCTTATTGTCTGAAATTAAAACGCAACAATGACTTAACAAACACCAGAGTTGCTCAAATAACTAAGCTTAGAAATTATTTCCTAGAATTATATCTCTCAGTTTGTACATATGCTATGATTGGTCAATATATCAGGCCATACTTCGCTATACTGCCTGCTAAATTCAAAGGTTTGCTTAAATTGTAATGTTCCCCCTCCATTTAAACCCACTAATATAAGAAATTCACTGTTTAATCAGTTTAATAACAAAAATAATTAAAGACAAAATGTCTTACAGTATCAAGATGAAGTATGACATCTTCAATGTTGTGTTCATTAAGAACTTGCCACAGACTGAGAGTCTCCACTGACCGGTCTACAAGTGACTTAAAATTTATCACAAAGTTCTTCTCTGGATTGATTGTTTCATTTGAACCTGTGAAAAGTTGTAAACATAAGTTACATTTTAATTCCAGTTCTAGTAGTGAAACTAAAAACTAAAGTAATCAAATCAATCTGTCACAGCAAAGGAAAATATCACAAGGAGGCAACAAGAACACAGTAAGAAGCCTCAAGTGAGGAAAACCTCTGTGACCCAAACTGCAATAGTTGATCTGTTGTTTGTTTAGATACTTATTGGTAGAGATGCAGAGTGACAAAATGATGTGGACAAATCACAGAGAGCAGAGTAGAGCAAACCTAGAGAAATCCTAGTTAACTCTATATACTTAACCCTTTAACTCCCAAGATCTCATTAGTAATTCTCCTTACTATCTCCTATACAGTTCTTGTGATGTTAGTTTGGAGGATTTAGTATTGGATCATCTTATATTCCCCTAACTGATATTTTTCTTTATTCTCATAACTTGTCTGCTTGATATTGTTTTGATATTGTAAGGAGAATTCTTTCTTGGTCACTTATGGGAATTAAAGGGTTAACCCTTTAACTCCCAACACCTGATTATTAATTCTCCCCTCACGCCGCTACACATTTCCCTGTAAACTTGTTACAGGAATTTGGTGTTGGATAAGAATAAAACTTCTACCTGCTATGTTTGAGTATTCTCATAACCAGTTTGCTGGATAATGTACGGATATGGAAGGGACAAGTTATATGTTAAATACTTCAAGGAGTAGAAGGGTTTAATGAAAATTGCTCTTAGAAAAAAAAGAAAACATTGGTAAGATTTGGATTTTGTGTTTTAGTTTCATCCTGAACATACATCCTATTTTATGGTGTGACTATTTGTGGCAAAGAGTACAAAACAAAGCTGATTAACTAACTACTAACCCGGATGAGTTTGTTGGAGAAATGGCTGCGTACCACTCATTGTTACTCCAGGAAAACTGAAAGATAAGAAAATAAACCTCTTAAAAACGAAAATTTCTTCAATACAAAGAACAATTCACTCTCAAGAGCACACATAACAAGAACTATGTGAATATAAAGGGTACGGACAAAAAGAAATATTCTCACCCCCCTTCCCTGTCTGGAAGCAAGAACCTGAAATTCTGCTCCATCCATGTTTGAAGCTGTCGTAGTTTTCCCAAAATCCATCCAAGTTGGTCAACATTAAGCACACTCCGTAAAACTGGAACATGCTGAAATATCAAACCAAAAGCCAAAAAAAAAAACAAAACAATGAGGAAACTATCAACTTTAACTACCAGATCAAAGTATGGCAATACTGTGAAAAGTCAACCTGGAAGCACTACAACCATTCTTAACCCTTTAACTCCAATGAATGACTAAAACAGAACTTCTCCTTACAATATCAATACAATATCAACCAGATACGTGATGAGAATAAAGGAAAATATATCAATTTGAGGATAATTAGTTGATCTAGTACTACATTCTCTGAACTAACTTTATAAGAATTGTGTGGTTGACAGTAAGGAGAATTACAAATTTGATCTGAGAGTTAAAGGGTTAAATGGGATGCTTATTCCCTGCATGCTATCATCATTAACCAATGGCATTAAATAAAATTTTAACCTTAACTTTTTTTCTCATAAATTCCTTGACTTTTCAACAGAACCTGATTAGCTCTAATCAATTTGTTTGTTTGGCAAGAATGGAGTTTAACTACTTCAATACTTGATCTTGAGTAATTGCAGTTTTCTCACCAAAAAGACAAATACCAAAAGGAATGAGGTTAACAACTTTACTAATAGTAAAAACTTAAGAAAAAAAAATTCCATTTAGAATTCTTCTCACCTGTTGAGGCTCTGAAAGATGAGGAACCAAGAAATCTTCAAACACTAATCTTGCATCCCAAACCATTCTAAAGTAAGACAGTTGGAAGAACCAAAACTCAGGATTGTTATCAATAAAAAGGGAGAGTTAAAAACAAATTTCTCATAAGTATTGTGAAAAAGAGACATCAAGAAAACTATATAGTGACTATTTCATTTTTTTTTTTTTTTTTGGGGGGGGGGAAAAGACCTCACAATAAAACTGGAAAAACATTTAAAGAGGATATTTTCCAAAGAATAACTGAGCAACAACTGACATAAATATACAGGCAATTGTTTCAGATAAGTGATATCAGAATCAAGGAAGACATTTGAGAAAGCAAACCCAACAAAAATTAAATATAAATAAAATACATACTCAAGGATTCGTGCAAAGTACATGCACAGTCCATCATATTTGCTGGATCTTATCACCTCAGCTCTGACCACTGCCTGCCCCACACCACCAGGGTGAGGTGTTGATGTCACAACCCCTGGACTGTTGAATCCTTGTCTGACTCCTGGGGAAGCTACATAGCTACCTCCCTGGGTGATGCTTGGCTCAGCAGGATTACCGGGTGTACCAGCTTGGGAGGGGTGGTGTGACACTGATTCTCCATATTTGAAGAAAGCTCTCGTGGCCCATTCAGCAATCTGATTGTAACAAAATATTTTTCTTTAATTTTTTTCCTCTTTGTACAATAAATGCAAGATTTACATTTAACAATTGTACAGGATAAAAGTAAATTATGGATTATTGTGAGTGGTAAAACATACAGGGTAATGTAAAAGGATGAAAAAAAGATTGAATAAAGGTAAAAATGACATAAGGCAGTCTGAAAATCCTCAAAGTTAATTGCAATGCCAACAGTTTCTGGTCTCTTTTAACAGATCTGCACATTACTTAACGCCCTTCACACAGTCATAAACCTAAAGCTGTCCAACATAAAATGCATATCAAACACAACATTAAAGTTGTGACAATTAGCAATTTATGTTAATTACAATCAAGTATAATTTGTGAAACTGTGAAACAAGACTTACTTGTTGTTGGGAAGTCTGAGTTGAGCAAGCTATAACAAGACATGTTGCACAAGCCTGGTCTTCCTGTATAAATTACAAAATGATCTATCAGGGGGTGAGTCCATTTAACAGACCTTTTTTAAGAAAAAAGCATGGTAACATTTTCCTGATCCTTCCATTCACTATTTATTTGTGTAAACTAACCTTATAACATTTGAAAAAAGCATGTACAGAGTCAGAGTCAAAACCCTGACTCTGTATCAATAACTGTTGCAGCTGTTCCACTGGACGATATGTTGTAAACAGATAACTTCCCTGTTGAATCAAAGTAACATCAAATTTTAATCAGATAAGCAGGGTTGACCTTCAACTTTGGCCCATGTTTGGGTGTGTGGAGTTAACTTTGAACATCAACAACTTAAGACCTGAGTAACTTAATAAACTGGGTATTGCCAGTGTGAATTAACAGCGGAGTGTTTTTTAAAACCTCTAAGTGCTCTGTTATTTCCTGATGAAGACGCATGACATGAAATGATTCCTTGCAGGGAAGATGCAATTAGTGACAATTAACCAAAGAAATTTGAAAGACAGCCAGCAAGAGAAACAGAAGATTTTAATGGAAAATGTCAATGGACATAGAGATTGGCAGACCATGTTCTAACCTGAGAACTTAGAGCAACATATGATCTCCGAGGGGATGCATGCTGCCTGACGACAGCAGGTGGCTCCATCCTCTGGTCTCTGACAATGGGACAATGACTAAGCATGTTTTTTCCAAATTCAGGAACTTCACTTAAAGACCAAGTTCGTCCATCCATAGGCACTGTCACCTTGAAAAATATCATCAATGAAAGTAACTTAGTAATAAACTGTTAACCCTTTACACCCTAACATCAGTAAGCATATTCTCCATACTGTTCTCTATACATTTCATTAGGTACTGACAAGGAGACTTTGTTTAATAATCAGGAACTTCTTCAGTTGATGATCATTTCTCTATTCTTATGACCATAATTTTTGATTCAGGGATGACATTGTGAGAAAAATAAGATGCTTGTTAGTCATAGGGACCTCAGGGTTAACTAATAGAAGCAGTAATGGCAGTCAAAAAATCTAACCTGACATTCGATCATCTTAACTTACAACATTAATCTGTAATCTATTAACTCATACTGATAAAGTCTGTCACTGGTGATTCTCCTTGTAAATAACATTTAATATTTTTTGATTAATTGACAAATTATACCTGTGCCTGATAATAAAATAATTATACCTGATACAGGCCACACATGATTTGTCAGGGTAATATAAGACTTATTACTTGATTGTCAGGGCTATATAAGATTTATTACCTGCATTTCTTTAAGTGGTGTCTGAAAGGGAAATGAATCAGGACTGATTCCCCAAAGAACATCCATATCTTCAGTTTGAGAAGCAGCCATGAGTGAGATTCCTGAGCAAAAGAAATTCAGAAAACAGAAGATAACCACAAAGAAAATAAGAGAATTGAAAATCAGGTGATAAATTTATGTACTTTTTAAGTTTCTAACACAATTAATGAGTCAAGAGTTAGCCTTTGCCAAAATAACTGTGATGGCAAACTTTACTCCTTTGCTTATTGAAAGATTGAAATAATTGGCAAATTTAGACAATTTTTGTCTACTGTATGAGCTATTCATCAGAGCAAAAGGGTAAAATTTCCATCATCAGCTATTTGAAATTTGGTTTTGGGAGACGTAATAATTATTTACAAAAACAACAGAAACATCAGCTTTGGAAAACTGCTTTAACCTCTCAACCCCTTGGAGTGATTGGCATCTAATTTCTCTTAACATTATATCAGTTCAAGAATAAAGGACATGATCACAAACAATAGAAATTCTTGATTTTGAAACAATTCTCCCGGTCAGCATCTTAGGAAATAGAGACCAGCATGGAGAATGTGCATATTAATGATGGTGAGGAATGGGTTAATGGTTAAATTGTCTTTATCATCCTTAATAATTCTAAGTAAGATATGAACATGAATTATCTAGCAAACTGTTCATGTCTAAATTTGTGATATCCAAACAAAAAAACCGTTCAGAATGCAAAGTGTTAGAGCTCTGAATGTTACTTGTTACAAGTTACAAAGTAGTAATTGTACCTTGTCGGTAAAAAGCTGCATGTACTTTTGAAGGCTTCTGTGAAGTTGCAGATGGTGCAAAACCTGGTGGAAGTCTTATGTGAACAAGTTGCAGTTTGGTTGGTCTTTCCAGTGGTGTTCTGATATTTGTTGTGGAAAAGTAAAGTCGCACACCTAATAAACAGGAACATACACTGAAACAATACCCTTATCAACCATGCAAATAATTTGATTGACTAGGTAAGGAAAGTCCTGAAAAGGACAGTTGTCAGTGAAGGTAACTGACATCTCAACAACCTGGGTGGAAGTCATCAGTTCAGTCAAGATGATAATGATGACAAGTTCTGCTCGGGGGTTGTAAAACATCAGTTACCAACACTGAGAATGGTCCTTTTCAGCACTACTCTCACTTGAACAATCACAAAAAAGAATTCTAGGTTACCCTTGAGTCAAAAACATTTACTGAATAAAATTCTTGGGAAACTAAACCATGAAAATGCAATTGCTGTTAAAAGGATATGAAATCAGTAAATCAAGGGGTGCATGTCAAAAGAGGCCAAAGTGACATCTGGTGAACTGCTAGGCTCTCCTTTCAAACTGTCTTGAATTCTCTTGTGAAACACAGGGAGAAGTTGATGCTACATCAAAAGTCACTCTAAGCTTCATTCCAAACAACCCCAATGCACTCCTTTCACCAATCTCAATTTCAATTCACCAATTTCTACTTGCTAGTGTATGGATAATATAAGAAAAATTCCTTTTTTGTCACTCCTGAATGAAAGGGTTAACATGAATATAATGCTTACCAGCATGAGTGATTGCAACCAAATGAACACCTTTTGATTCATGCTTTGCTATAGGTGCAATGTGCACAATTGGTTTAAAAAGATTGCGATCGTTGGTTCTGAAAACAGACAAGATGTAATCAATGAAAACAAACCTGTCATTACTATGCTATCTACCTCTTTAATAACCTCAACTCAACCATGGATCTTCTCATAGGTTTTGACATTTTTTTATAATGTGATACATGTTAAAGACAGAAACAAAAAAAAAGGTGTATATATTTGGGACAGTTTAGTGATAAGGTATCAATTTTAAGCAACTAGTCTGACTTATTTCAACAAGAATATCTGGTAAAACTTGCGACATCTAGATATAGCACTCTTAGGGAATGTTATTTGTAATAAATCTTCCTTTAATTATTATTCAGAGTAATTTTTCCTGCAATAACCCTACAAAGTTGCTAAAACTAAACTGTTCTACCTTGCAGCAGACTCTGCTTTGTGTGTGATTTTGTCCTGAGTTAATGATGCAACATAGTCCATACTTTGGCCATCAGCACCAAGATCAAACACCTGTCAGAAATGAGTTGATTTGGTTATTGCAAGTGTAGCAACTAGATAATACAGTTTTTGCAGTGGAATGCTCTCTCATGATATGTCACAATCATGCAAACAAGAGCCTTTTAAGGGTTGCAGAGAGACAAAACAACCAGCAGAGAGACAGACAGATAGAAAGCTAGACAGATAGAGAGACACAAAGATAGACAGACACAGAGAAAAACAGACAGACACAGCAAACAACCAATCAAGTACAAGGAGAGGTAGACAAACAGATTGAGAGGAAGACTTACAAAATCAATATGATTGACTAAATAAATGTATAAAAACATACCTGAATAGTTCCTTTTTCTGACCGTGCATAAAGTGTGTTTCTTGTATTGTCAACTGCTAATTGTGCAATGGCATCTGAAACAGACCAATTATAGGTAACTTGTTGTGTGCAAACTGTGTACAAAGTTACCAATACTTTGTTATCCTCACCTTCACCACTGAAAGTAGAACTTAAAAATGATGGAACAAGGAAAGATAAGGTTCCTGAAGAATGATTTATTTTCCGGCAATTTCTCCATGGCAACCAACCAGCAGCAGCCTGTAAGGAGTAAAGAAACAATTTACACCTATGACTCATCCTTTCAAAATAAAATATGGGATTAGGAAAAGTATCCTAAAACTTGTCTAAAAATTTACTTTAAGAGAGTGATGAGAAAAATCAATCCACTCTAGTGCTTGATACTTTAAAGCTTTGCTGTTCACCCTTTTTTTCTCAGAAGAGGTCAACACACAGTTCCTCTGTGCAATTCTAATGTTTTCTTGCAATCAGGTAATGAGAACAGACAAGCTTATCTGCTAAAGGTTGCTGTTTGATATCAGACCACATTCTCCTCTCTAAGTTAAGAGGAAATTAATAGCAGTCAGAAGGAAGAATAGCTAATTGAATCTTGTGTAACTTGATAACTAACCTGATAAGCTACTTCATAAACACAGCCATCTTTTCCACCCATAAATATTCTTCCTGACTGAGTTCCAGTGATACAAGTCATGTAAACATTATCAGAAGGAATAGAAAACACTGGATTGGGATGAAGATGCATCTCTGAAAACTCATCATGGCTAAAGCTTCCTGAAAAAGGTTGAAAATACAGTGCATTTGAAGTAGTTCATGCAATCTTAGGGAACAAATACCTGTTCTGCTTCCTGAAAAGGTCTCAAAATTATGTGAAACAAAGTCAGGTATAAACTCACAACTAAGGGCTCAACCAGGTGATATCAATTTAACAGATAGACATCATGTTACCTGGCACCTGTTTTGCAAAAGATAACAGATGAGATCACAATGCGCCAAGAACAAAGGAGAGGTGTAAAAGCATAGTCCACTGTATCACTGATTTTCTGACTGCATTTTGATGTCTTCTGTGATCTATTACTGTACAGACCCAGGGTAACATGAAATTTATCTGTTTCATACAATACACAAGCAAAATTTGGTACATGGTGATCTCATTTAAGCATCTGTCCTTTGATAGATCATAAATAAGAACCAATCAAAATGGACGTATAATTGAGCTTATTTTACAACTCTTGTTACGAAATTGACATACCTAACTTCTTTGATGTAAATGTTACAGCTAGAAGAACAATATAAACTGGAGTTGTAAGGCACAAGATGTATCTCACTTCATCTTTAAAGATCTCTACAAAACATTTTAAAAATAATTATGCAATGGGATGTATAAGATTTCAAGAAGAGAGAAAAAACAGTTAGCTGGCTGGTTGTCAGTGATAGGGAAGCTATGGGAGCCTTAGGGGTCAACGGCTTTTAAATCATTGACCTCTAAGAGTGACTCACAACTAATTTCTCTTTACAATATCAGCCCTGGATCAAACACTATGGTCACAAGACTACAAGAAATGATCACCAACTAAAGGCACTCTTAATTGTTAAATTAATTATTCTTGTCAGCACATTGGAAAATGTAGGGAGAACAATTTGGAGAAAATGCATACTGAGGTTAGGGTGTAGAGGGTTAATATGGCCAGACATACCCTCTGAAAAATAAATGCATTGTTATTGTTGCTTCAATGATTAAACAAACCTGGCTTAGCTTTCACTAATCCTGCACACAAAATAGTTTCATCCAATCCATCAAAATAAGCAGAATCACTCCTATAATGAAACAGAAGAACATAATCATATTTACATGTGATTTATTTTTTTGTAATGAAGTTTCATTCAATAACAAAAAATGCCTCCTCAGTCATTTGGTAAAATGGTTCATTGCTTAATGCCAAAGTGTGCACCAGAAGATCAAAATCACACAAAATTCAAAGCTAATTTTTTTGTTTGCTTTGTTTTAGATGTACCAGTGAGTGATCAGCTATATAGCAATGCAAATTTTGAGCCAAGTAAAAAACGCACATAAATCACATATCTGTTGTAGTCCAAATTTTTTTCTTTGATTTTCCAATTTTTTCAACTATGGTAGTTTAATTTTGGCTGTGTTTTGTCTACCATTAAGGTAACTGATTTGAAACATAGGAAAGTTGATACTATCCTAGTAAGAAAAATGTTTAAAATTAAAAAAATTCAACACATTTCAAAATTCACTTACCCATCTTCATAATTCCAAACATAAATATTACTATCAATGGTGAGCCATGCTCTTCTTATCTCAGGAAAGAGACCCATCATACAATTACACTGCATGTCTATGTAGTTTAAGTCAAGGATTTTGCAGTGAAGCATCTTGTATTCTAACAAATTAAAATAAATACTTCTTAAGAATATCTGTGATAAGTAATCACTAAGAGGTCAGCAGCTACACTTTTGATGAAAAGGTCTTGGTTCAAGCCTAAGCTATATCATTGTGTCGTGTTCTTAGACAAGAGACACGGGTCTCTGATAGTGGCCCTCTCCACATAGGAGTATAAATGGATACCAGAAAACTGTCAAGTTAGCTATGGTAGAAAGACATCTAGGCCAGATGGAGTGGGAAATACTCACAAATGGTGACTTTTAGCACAACAAAAACATTATTGTCACATTCTTTACAATTTTGGCAAGTTGTACATATAAATTCTTGATTCAATATGTTCACCATTGAATGATTTATCAGCTTGACTTACACAACTGGACAATTTGTTCGACTTGAATGACTAGACTCACTCCATTATTTCTCTTTTAAACATCCAAATAAGACAACAACAGACACCAACAAATAAATAGTGAGAGGATACAATTAAACTGTTCCATCAGCTCTGCCGGGAGGGGAACTCTTTTAAGCAGACTGACCAGCTCCAAACCAGCCAGGCCAACAGATGGTGATGATAATGATGGATAATCAAAGTCATTTATTCCACTGAAGGTTGTCTGAACTACCAAGACAGTAAAAATAATTTTTAAATATTCAGTAATTGTTTTTTGCCTTTCAACTCCTGGAAATGACTAACATGTATTTTCTTCTTACAATCAATATACATTACCCAGCAAAGAGTGATGAGAATATACAAGAGAAAGTATTAACTGAAGGATAATGTCTCAAGGAACCACCAAATTCTCCCATACTTATCTAGACCAAAATATAAAGAGGTCGCTAGGGAGAATTTCAATTGATACCTTGGGAGTTGAAGAGTATAGCAATTATTTAAAAACCTGGTCATAACAGCACAGTAGGTAAATTCCTGAAACAGTACTGAACGCAGGTTTTACTTCCCAAGGGGTACTTCCTAGTTACAGGCTTATAGGCATGTGCAGCTGGATAGGTGGCAAAAATTGCATTGGTTCAAAAGCAACTAAGATTGGGTCCAAAATTAGTCACAGCATAGACTACAATGAGGTAGGGGGTTCTGAAAGGCTAGCAACACCTAACCACCAAATATTGACCTAAGTTTTTCCTCCCTTTCCCTCTCTTGGGTTCTACTGCACATGTTGACTACCAGTGTTTCCACAGTCACATTCATAATTCCATGAGCTCAGTAAGTTAGCTTTCTTTCAGTCGCTTTAGTTGAATATGTATATGCATTATAGGGACAGTCATTATTCTGCAGCAAAGCATTTCATTGATGATCATAAGCTTAATTAAGTTAGATCAAAGTACAAATTAAATGTTCCAATTAATTTTGATACAATCAAAGTTCTGTATGAGCTTTGACCCGACTTCAGTCTGGCTAGGTTTCATATTACAGGAGCAAACTCAGAAAACTGACCGGAAGAACCCACTTAAGGAAAAACTTACTTTGCTGGGAAGCGTTGATCAGCTCCGACAGCTCAGGAAACTGTCGATCTGCAGCTAGTTGCCGATCAACTTCTTTGGCGGCGTTTTCCAGCGCTTCCGGAGTTACCATAGAACCAAGAGAGCTAGTTCCCACAGCTATAGACATGCTCGAGGAAGGATTGTTACTCAGGTTTAAACTTAACTCCAAATATCTGTCATTTCAAGGAATTACACATGGCAGCACATTTTTCGAAGTAAGCGCTCCACGATACTACGCACACTCAGAAGTACTTCCACGAAAGCCTGGACACTAATACCCAGTCTCTCACGAATTTCCTCCGCAACAAACAGTAGGGCAAATGAAGATTCAGGGTAATATATTCAACCATCTTATTTCTTCCTTTTCTGTAAGTTTATAATGCAAAATTTCGTATCTTAACCATTGCGAATGAGTTCCTGTATGCTATGGTCATGACCTTGTACGTGTTCTTTTAACAGAAGCGGAAAAAGGCCGAGAACACCCGATTGTATTCCGATCACGGAACACTCAAAAATGACGTCACGTTACGACAGCATGACATTTGTTGTTTTGAGAATAATTTTTCACTAGACAAAGTAGCTGGCCGGTAGTGAGTTAAGTAAGTGCCTCAGTTTAGTCAGTCATCTGCCTCAAATTTGTAGAGCTTCAGTTTATCCCATTATGGGAAACTGTCTAAAAAGCTCCGGGCAAGACGATATATCTCTTTTACACGATGAAGAAAGCGCAGACTCCCCAACAACAGGCGAACCACCACCGCCATATCAGGTCGAGAAACGTTTTCACATATTGCCGCGGTTGATTACTTTGGCGAGTATTCCTCGTCACTCATGGCGTTTTTTTTCATTTTAGGAGGAAGCGCCAATCTTTATACAAAGTCAACATGCTCCTCATCTCCTATCTGAAGAACAGCAGATTCGTTTGGCTCAGCGTCTAGGGCTGATTCAACATCTTCCTGTCGGAAAATACGATGGATCGAAAGGAAAAAAGAGAGAGTATGTTAAATCACTTTTGTTTTCAAATAATTCACACGAAGAAAGGATACATCCTTGGGTTTGTAAATACTAAATAAAAAGGATGTAGATTATTGGAAAAAATATTATTCAAGTAAGTAATTAGCTATGAAATGCGATGAATATTTTATTCAGAACGCTCGCTCTGATTGTTTATCGAGCCACAACATGCTAGGAATATTTTCCTTGAACAAGCGTCGCTACATTGGAATGTTTCTTTGCTAACGCGATGTTGGAGCACTTTAAACACCAGCAACAGAATTCTGCTTTGTTTATACTTCCACTTTATTTCATGAATACATGTGATAGAGGAAGCGGTCTGATGATTTCTTTGAACGGAACATGTTTCTTCAATCTTGTGAAGACAAGCCAATATATTGTTTATTTCATAGCCTACGCGAGAATTTTAATTAATGCCAACTACTACACTTTCAGTTTCGTTTCCATTTCGGACTTTTTTTTCCAAAAAGGACCACGATAAATACACGCGATCTTCCTGAAAGAACTTTGCGCTATTGTTCACTCAGCCCATATCACTTCCGGTAACGAGAGGGTCTTCATTTCCTTATCTTCTTAAAACTGGCAACTTTTGGTCACTTTCTTACAGAGAGACATATCGCATTCCCTGGAAATGTCTGCACTTGTAAATGTATTTCGTGAATCAAGAATTCTCATTGATTCATCTTTTGTTGACTATTTATTCTCGCTGTGAATTAATGATGTTGTCCTAACTACTTGGAATGCGTTGAAACCACAGCCGAATTATATTTGAATGTTGAGGGTTTTTTAAGTGCTGGCCTGTTCTTGTGTTTGTTCACCACACGATTCTGATCATTTGCATAACATGTAGAAAGTTTCGAATTCATGTTAGGTATAAAAATTTCAAGCAATGCGTTTTTTCTTTTACTTATTTCGATGTTCATATGATTGTTTGGGCAGCCACAATACACGATTGAACGTTTAAAGTTCGATGCAATGGAAGTACAAGTGGCACAGATTAATTACTTTTTACCAGAGAACAATGATTTTTTCCTTTACTGGCACTTGCACAATTCCAGATCAAGTCAAGTGTTTCATGTCTTGTGTTTTCCACATGACAGTATGCATTGTATGTCACGTTCTCACACGTAAACGGGATTTGTCGATGATCAATATAGTTTATAAACGATATTTCATTTATCTTTTAACTATTCACAAGTAGATGAAAAAGCACATCGAAATGAGCCCTTAGCGACCTCTTTATTCCAAGTTTTTAATTGATGATATAGAATTATAAACCATAAATAGGAACATTGCCTTGTATGTCGTTGATTGCTGGTGTTACCAATCTGTGGGAAACTATCTTAGTGGGGTACAAGAAATTGTCATTACACGGTAAAACTGAACCATGGGACACTAATTTTTGTAAGTAATTCTAACCTCATATTTTCCCAATCGTTGGGATGAGAATACAAGCAAAGACAATGATTAAATGCATGAGTTTGAAGGATTAGTAATACTGCACTTTATTCTTACACTGTACAATTTGAAATCCACAGTGTTGTTTATTTCAAACACTTAAGCATGAAAAGGCAAATTTATGCTATCTGTGATGAAGGCAATTATGCTAAAAGTGTGACTTTATTTTCTTCAAACAGGTGTGTTATTTGCATGACAGACTTTGCTATGGGGGATCCAATACGGTTTCTTCCTTGTATGCACATATATCACAAAGACTGTATAGAGGATTGGCTGGTGAGATCATTCACCTGTCCTTCATGTATGGAACCTGTAGAAGCAGCTTTATTGTCAACATACTATGAAGCATCAACAGAATAACAACAATGTAATTATGTCTTTGAAGAGACAAAATGATAGACATTTTTTCTAATGCCTCTTTTTACAAAAACATTGGGCTGATGGAACAAATGGAACCATGTTCCTGTAAATCAATCTGGTGTTTTCCAGAGGATTCAAGAAAGTAATTCCTTTTCAGATAGTAACTTACTAAGGTGTTATTTAGTATTATTTTGAAGGTTTAAAAGGTAACACTATTTCATGTTCAAAGAGACATGGCCCCATACAATATTTCTGCTGTTTCTTTTTGTTTGTATGTTTTTAATTTGGAGTTATTAGAATTTCCTTCCCATACTTGCTGTTTTAAAAAATTCATGCTCTTTTTTCTTTACACATGGGTAACAATCTCTTCATCTAATAGGAGCTGTACATTTTTCATTTAGGTAATTTTCTTTGTCTTTAGACACTCCAAAAACTGTACAGATGAGATCTTTTCATTCTCTTTCAAATCTTATGCTATTTTTGACCTGAAAGAACTCAGCCAAATTATGCATCAATGTAGAAGAATAAGTTGATCCTTTGTAAGTTTTAACCTTCTGCCATTACCAGATTATGTTTCAGTCAAGATGTAGTTAGGAAGCTGGATTGAGAGTCTAGTCAAAGTGAGGTCTTTTGCCTGTCATCTTTAATTTTGAGTGTGTGAATCCAGCTTATTTTGTTGTTAGCACAATTGGATTATTGGGTATTAATGATAATAATAATAATATTCATTGAGAGAACCCAGCTTGCCAAGGTGGTTTCCTTCAGGGTCCTCAAACATGTTAACTTGTACTCTGGGAAACTTCTCTTTTGCAACTGCATGCTTAGAGCTATGGTATCACAAGCAGAAGTTACCACAGATCTTTCATAGTACTATCCGTGTGTAAGTTTTCTATATTAAGTAAAACTTGAAGCTTCACTATCACCTACTTGGTCAGGAATGCATAGTACAGACAAAATCACGCCTCTCAGTCAGTATTTTACTATGGCCACTTTGTTGTGAAGACCTGTCTTTTCTCCCCTAAACAAATGGAAAGCCCTGTAATTTTCATATCAGAAGTCTTAATTTTTTCCAGACATATTCTTCAAAACTGCAGTGGGCATCTAATGCACAGGTGTTGGTATAACTTCTGATGCCCTACTTAATTCCATAACCCTATTTCTAAGAGTAGTCATTGTTAATTTTCCTTTTCTGATTTTTAACAAGAAAAATTGACTGCTTTCCTTTCCCTGTAAAGTTTATAATTGACCAAAGCTTGCATGTGGAAAATTTGCAATGCTTAAACAACAATCTTTTCTTTCAAAGATGCCACTGTTATTTTGTACATAAAAATAAATGTTGTTCATGTTTTTATTATTTTTATTATTGTTACTATTACTATTATTATTTAATGGCAACTGCACTAAACTTGTGGTTACCATAATTTCAAGGTTGAGTCTTTTGAACAGTCTAAATAGCTTAAAATTAATTGTCTAATTTTTATTATAGATATAGATAACAAACCATGTACATGATTCCTCTTTTGAGTAAAGCTGTTTTGTATATAGCCAACTTCTATGAATAAGTTAATATTTTAAAATGTAAAATACTTATTGAAACTTGTAAATAAATTTGACAATTTAGAGGTGGAGGTTGTTCCAAAGTTTTAGGCCCTTGTAAGATCCCCCCCCCCCACCCTTTTCAACGTACATGCTCCCTTTCAAGGACTCTTTAGTGTTAACTGAGGGGGTGCACAGGTTTAAGCCTTATGAAGTTACTTTTAAGAAGAAAGATCCACTTCTCCATGTAGTTTTACAAGGGCACACTTGGCAACTAAGAAGGTGCCACAGTCTATCTGCAGTCTCTTAAACTTTTAACCTCATCTGTGACCAAGACAGAAAATTACCTTGTAATATCAGTACTATATCAAGCAGACAAGTGAGAGAGAGAGAGAAAACTGAAATTAGTCAATTAGGGGATTAGTAGTTTATCCAATACCAAATCCCCCAATCTAATATCAAGAATTGTGTTCAAATAAACAAGGAGAATTACTTATGAGATCTCAGAATGAAAGGGTTGACCATCATGCACACTTTCACCCAGCCCTTGTTCCCCCAATTAAATCAAATTACTGAACATATTTCAGCTAAAATTTTCTAAACCTTTTCACTTCATTAGTGACCAAATAAAATATCTTCAGGCAAAGAGAGTTTACTTTCAGCTCATATGATTTTTAGGGTAGAAAAAAAAATTAAAGATGGAAGGGGCATAACCCCTTTTAAGAATTCTGCTAGAAACAGTAGACAAAGTCAACTTTTGAGAGCCAAATTTACATATAGGGCTTAAAAGCATGCAAAGTTTGAATAATTGAAAGGAGATCACAAAACAGACTGAAAACAATAGACTAGATGAACTTGACCATAACATATTTTATTTCTCATCATGTTTCAATAATGCAAGAAAATGAAAAATTCCCCAAAACGGCGCACATTTAGTGGTAACCCAGGAACCGCGAGTATAATTCTTTGCTTATGTAATTTGTGAACATCTTGTTGGTGTCACAGTAAAGTGTTCAGTCATTCTCCCTTACTATGGCTGGCTTTAAGTTTTGTGGTTGGACAACCAGAGCTCCATAACTAGGAAGGTTATGCCATAACTAAATGATATTGAATTAGTTTTAATTTGGTTTACAGAGTTAACTGATGGTATCAAATAACAATCCATGATTTAAATCCTGAGAGAAAACCAACAAATAATAGCAAGAAAAGCTGGGGTCAATGAAATATGTGATCAGACAGTAAGGGATGTTTTAAGTGTACATCATTATCATATTATACACGTTTTCAAAGCCCCTGTTATACTTTTTATAATGAAGGTGAAATAAAATGACCCACATGTTTTCTTCCCAATTTTTATAACACCCTAACAACAGCAGCAGCAGTCGGGGTTTATTTTATTATTCATCAAAGTAAGAGATTAAAAGAGATCTGCACTCATACATGAACCTACAAATTGTACAGAAAAAAAATCACTGAATTTAAATCCTTAGCATAACCATCACAAAATAGAAAGAGTGGCAATTCAATAAATTATGAAAACAACAGAAAATAAAACTAAGATACTCCAGATAAGATATTCAAATAACCTAAAAGTAGTATATTTGCGCTATCAGGTGTCCAGTTTTACTCTAGTTTAAACAATTTTTTCCATTCCAAATACATGAAGACCTTCACCAGTTAAAGGTATCAACACTATTTAGCAAGAAAACTGGAGCATAAGTTAATGCATGGAATAAGATGAAGGGATAGAATTATTTCTTTTTCTTTCAACACACATCACATTATCTCTTTTGTGACATTTTAAATTAGGAAGTCTGAAGTAACCTGCTAAGATGGAGACATTGTCCAATATTACTGAGCAGTATAATGAGCTGTATCCTTAGACTTGTCAGGTGCTTCTTCTAACGGCACTTCATTATTTAATAAGATTGTCTTTTTTCAAGACCTCTGTTGATAGAGAGGTAACTACTTATAAAGTCTGAGAAACTGTCTTCTCTTTAGTCAAGTACATCAAGCATATTAATTTCCTTGTTCCTTTTTAGTGTGCAGCATTCAAGTCTTTAAGGAACAAGTGGGTATCCACAGAAAGCTTGTTACCCAAGAGTAGGAAATTCTTCATTATTCAATGCAAAGTTTGTACCACTTTCATTGGAATCTCCACGACTACCAAACCCACCACGTCCTCCACCTCCTCTTCCTCTTCCTCCGCGGCCACCACGACCCCCTCTATCACCTCTCCCTCCACGATTGCCACCCCGGCCTCCTCTTCTTGGTTCATTATTCATTTTAAAATCAAAAGGTATGTCAACTGTTTGCTTGACACGACCAGATGTCTTTTCTTTGACTTCAATGACCTTAAAAAAGAATAGGAAATGTTGCTACAACAATATTTTAAAAGAAAGTGGCAATCTTCCATAACACACTTACGCATTTCTCACTGAACTAGGCATAAAGTGGACAAAATGTCCAACAAACATATGTTAAATCCTTCAACCATTCTTTCCCTCAATTTCTCCACACTCTGACCAAGTGATGTTCACTTACTCTTCTGGCCCCATATTCTCCCTCTTCCTCAACAGGTTTTTTAAGAACTTTAGTATCTTTCCACATTCCTTTTTTCTCTCCTTCACCAGCTTTGCGCAGTTCAAAAGTTGCCTTTGCTCTTTCCTTTTCTTGCAACTCCTTCCACTCCTCTAAGCTCATTTCCTTTGGAGCCTCTTCTGCCTTACTTTCTTCATTTTCCTTATCTTCTCCTTGAGCCCTGAACATAGCAAACATATAATAAGCTGTAGTATAAAAATGTTATCCTTAACAGTTTTTTTTGGGTTGATCTAGTATGGAAAACAAACACCTTAACCCTTTGCACCCTGAGAGTGAACAGCATCTAATTTCACCTGACAATATCACCCCTGAATCACACTTTAAGGTCATGAGGATGAAGGAAATTATCACCAATAAAAGAAACTCTTGATTGTTAAACAAATTCTCTTTGTCAGCACGTTAGGAATTATATAAAGATCAGTTTGGATAATATACATACTGAGGTTAGGGTGTAAAGGGCTAATACTCTTATCAACCCTATCACTCCCTGATCTCATGAGTAATTCTCCTTACTGTTGCCATACAATTCTTATAACATTAGTTTGGAGAATTTGGTATTCGGTTGATATTGTTTAAATATTCTTATAATTTTTCTTCTCGATTTTGTATTAACATTGTAAGGAAAAAATTGTCTTGGTTTCTCCTGGGAGTTTAAGAGTTAAAGGAAGCACATGTATCGATCTCAAAATGAGGAAACATTTATTTCTCTTCGGAACCAGTACAAAGGATTACAAACCTTTACACTATAGTACTATGGCTATGATTTTATAAATAGTTGTAACTCTCTTTGATCAGGAAGTACAACATTAATTAAGCATTGTAGCATTGTCAACAATGTAGTCACTTGTAGTGCAGACTGTGACATTTCAACTGCATAAAACTATCCAATTTATGGCCCCAGACAAATAATAAGAGTTGAAAACATCATGAAACAAATAAGACATCATCATTATCTCAGCCAAATTAACAAAACATTGTTGAAAAATCACAAGTCAGATCAAGACAGAGAAAGGTAAATTTACAAGTGGCCAAATCAAAGGACTTCACTGTATTTTCATAAATGCAACTCACTCTTCAGTAGTCTCTTTCACAGCATCTGGGTCAGGAGAAGCCTCAGCCCAATCTGCTACTTCAGTCTGAGGAAAAACATCAGTTTCTTCGCTGCAAGGAAAAAATTCATTTATTTGTTGAGAGGAAGTGCTAGGGGTAGAAAATTTAGCAGTCAGCAAACACAAATGGAGCACAACAAGATCCAGATGTCATGACTAAGAGTTAACCATTTACTCAATTGCCCTGACTCAACCAAGCCAAAAAGGCAATAATTTTCACTATTTCTCTTTCTCCTTTCTTCTTTCAGCTTACATCTTACAGAGCCATGCACAAAGTGATACACCCTTTTCCAGTCCTGCTTGCTCCACTGTATACCACTCTCCCATGGGGATTTTCACATATAAAAGTGCCTACAGGGTCATACAAGCTATATGATAAAAACGGTTAATGTCCAAGAACAGCCACGATCACTATCATCTTGCATAATAGATAATTAGCTGCCATGGGTGTCTGGGACTATGGGACAAACAGAGTGGATGTAGTCCATATAACTATGAAATAAGATACATTTCTTGTCTTAAATTGTGATTCAAGAAAAATCCTTCCTTGTATAACTTACCTTGCACCTTCTGTTGGACTTCCCCAATTGAACTGGCCACCTCCATCGCGTTTTTCTTGAGGCTTCACAGAACTATAAACAGTAAAGAGAAACGTCTCATGAATAGAGGACTACAACCAAAAACCAGTGCAGTAACTACAGCTTATCATCAGGGAACAAGTGTAGGGCCAACAAAGGGCTGCCATAACTACAACAGAAACAATACACAAGAGAAAGCTGTTGACAACATGAATTTATCTTTAGAAGGTAGCCTTGGTAATACAGAAATAGATCAAGTAACACAACTATATTGTAATAAATTACGAAAATAATGAATGCTTTCTTTAATTGCATTATCATAAATGTAAATGTTAAGCTGATGTGAGAACAGGGTAGTAACCTCAAATTCTAGATACAATGAGTAAAACAAAATTATAAATATGATAAATACTTCACAAAGGTAAACACTGCCAATACACTTAGAAAAATTATTCAAAATTTAACCGTGTTTCATCATTTCATATAATGAGGTTTACAAGAAGCAAAATTAGTAAACTACCCATGAAGACAACCCTTAGAATTGTTCACTCAACACTATCACCTACTCAATGGGTTGAAAAAATTGAGTACAATTTCAATGGAATAAACTTAAATCTTCATTGTGCAATGGCAGATGAACATTTATAAAATAACTGAGGTGCTGAGAACTCCTAATTGGATAAAAACATATGGTTTATTGTACTTGTAAGCACACAGAAATTTAAGTTTATGATGTTTAAGTGATAGATTGCACTTTGCTTTAGTTTAGCAGCATAACCCATATGGGATGTTGGGATAACACTAAAGAGTTTTTAATATTCACAAGCAAGATGCAAGTGTTAAACAAACTTTTCTCATTTTCTCCCAACATCCCATGTGGGGTTATTAAGCAGCTCAACCGATAGAAAGGTTGGTCTCAGAAGCTACACAAATTAGCACTAACACATGTAACACGAAAACAACCAAACTCGAATTTACCTAGCAATATCTAAATTAGCCAGAATCTCTTCCATTTCTTAATTGTGGGTTTTAATGTGTGCCAGCTTTAACAAACATAAAATACAACATTACTAAATGCCTTTTAAAAGGAAAGATTAGATTGTCTGTGATCTAGAAATAATCTTAAGGTTAACATATGGGGCCTGAAGTGGCAAAGGATAATCAAATCAACATATTTTGCCTCTAAAGCCAATTTGTCCACCTACATGTTTACTGCTTTTTGTTATGTTTTGACAACTCTAGGCTCAAATATTTAGTTTCCACAACATAAACCAAGAAGAACAGATTTACATTTATTATCTAGGAGCAATTGAAAGTAGAATGTTTGTCCAACCTTCTGTCCCCGCGACTTGATTTGTCCAGTCGGGGGCCCCTAGACCACAAGAAGAGGACATATTTTCTTTTACACATATAATTATTTCTCCAAAGAAACAGAAAGGCACCCCACAAAATAAAAATTAGGATTAGCTGGTTAAGGTTAGGAGTGAAAGGAAATGGTGCAGCCCTATTTTTTTACTTTATTCACAAATAAATGTTATTTTTGTGTCACAATTGTGAAATCTATATCAGGTTTCAATAAGAAAGCAATAAATTGACATTTTCAAAATAAACTGTGCAACCCTCTCTGGGTTGATAAACATCACAATTCCTTGAAATAAAAACTTTTAAACCTGAAGGATTCTGTATCCTTAATTAAGCTACAGTACAGAAGGAGGCCGCATAATATTAAATGATTAGGTAATTTAAAGTACTACAAAAAGTACAATGCGAGGCAGCAAGAACATATCTCGAGAATGTAAGTTTTCGTTTTCAAACAAGTTTTACTTCTGCAAGAAAAGTATGATTAAAAAGGGCAAAAAAAACCACGAACTTACGAGCGGTCGCTTCCACTTCTTCTTTCGAACTCTCGCTTCCTGCCAAAACCGCCGCCACCACGAGGACCGAATCCACCACGACCTCTTCCACCTCCACCCCGCGATCCACGGCCACCTCTTCCTCTTTCGAAGACTCCTCTTTCCCTTTCAGCTCCCTCTTTATCAGGAGAGTCGGTATCACCCTGAGGACCATCTCTTCTACGGAATCCGCCGCCGAATCCACCGCCTCGCCTCTCTCTTGGAGTGTTGTCATCACGGTCTCTTCTCTCGCTTGGACCGTTTGTCATACGAGTGTTTTTCTCGTTTTCTCTCCTCACATCGCTTTTACCGCGACCACCTCGCCTGCTATCTGTTCTTTCTGCACAAAATTTCAAATATAGGCAACGAATAAACCTTCTCTGATTTGAAATAACACATCTTCGCCGAGTCGAAGCAATCGAATCTCTGCCTCAAAATTATGTATTAACTCATAAATAAAGCCTACACAAGCCTAACATAACAACACGTGCCTAAAAACCATTCATATTCTCAGCTTACAGATACTATTTAGTCTGATAAAACGTAAAATACGGATTCTAGAGGCATTTACATATCACTTGGGGATTTCAAGTCATCTTCGTTTCAGTGCAACAAATTTCGCAACGCACCGCACTAGCCCTAAATGAAAATTTTGGCGTACCTTTGGTTGCTTTGGAACGAAACTCATGTGACCATCACTACAAAATAGGGCTGTATGCAGTGAGTAATTTCTTTAAAATGGAAATTAATTGTAAAATATCCCTGGAAAACAAAAAATGACTAGGAAAACTACAGAGCGATGTCAGCTGAAAACATCTGAGGGTTCCACATGCCATCTGACAAGACGATAGCGTCACGGTACAACTTGTACATTAAACATTTCGACGTGAACATGCTGATACTAACCTTCCTTCTTGGGCTCTTCGTTTACATTGTCCTTTCTCCCTGCGGCAGGCTTCGTTTCTTTGACTGGCTGTTTTGCAGCTTTCTTGTCTTGTTTTTTCGCCTTCTCCTTCTTGGACGGCTCCTCCTTTTTCTCCTGCTTTAGCAAGGTCTCCTCAGGATCTTCATCATCCAGTCCTAACGCTAAGAAGCGATTATTCACTCCTATGCTGTATTCCACCTCCATTGTGGAAGGATGCAAAGGAACAAGCACAGATGATGGTGGATTGTGCTGCAAACAACAATTCAGCTGAGAAATCGCAGAAATCTCGCTCCTCGATGGTTATCTTCACGCGCGATGCATGCTTGGGGCGAACTTCGCGGGTTAAGATCGCAAAGAATCATGGTCGATTACAACCAGTTAGCTTCGACTGGCAGTTGACGATTTTTTTTTTTGGATAGTTATTATCACCAAGGTAGATTATTATTATTGTCAGTACAGAAGGAAACATCACCACCTCAGAGAAAATACGTTACAGCACAGTAATTCACAGCTTTCTTCTTCATGAAAGATTGAGACGGAAGTTGACAAAAAAAAAATTAATACGATATGTAGCGGCAGCAATTGAACTACGCCGTGAGCTCTTCTCCAAGTCCATTGCAAAAGGCAGCGCAGACGACCATAACAACACGCTGGTACAATGCTGTGGTCGCGCGTACTGTCTTTTCAATGGACTTACGGTAGAGAGAGTGCAGCTTACTTACTACAGCCGCACAGTTGATAGAAATCTTCAGTGTTCTTTTCCTCGGTGAAAAAGGTCTAGATTTTCACTATGCATGAAAAGAACTAATGGACACAAGACGCTGAATCTCAGGATAGTCATTGCAAGCACTGCACATGAGTTAAAATTTAAAATCCCAAAGAGGTCATCAAGGAAATCTTCTACTGACCGATTTATAGCCCGAGTAGGGGGCTTTTTGAGGGGAGTGGGAACTGGGAGAGAGAAAAAAAGGAAAGCCTTCCTCCTGCTCTCGCTCGGCCCCACTCCCCTTTCCTTGGGAAGGCCTGATACTCGAGCCAACTGATGTTCGCTAGAAACTGGATCATTGGATTATGCAATTTAAGAGCTTTCATTGCCCTAGCAATCGCGGGTTAAGAGCCATTATACCATGCGCGCATGAAGAAGAGGTATAAAATAAAGTCGGGTATATATATAGAGCAGGAAATTTAGTGTTAACAACTGAGTTAAAAACGTAAATTGGCCACCGTAAAAGGTGAAAAAAGCTAAAGTTTCGAGCGTGGGAGATAGTATCTCCTAATAATTCCGTTGTTGGCTTCGTTCTGTCACCATTGTTAGATTGCAGTGACATTCAGGTATTAACTAAGCTACTAGCAAAAAGCACGAACATCAACCGAGTTAAATTGAGTAACAAAAACATTATCAGAGTTAAATCCGAGTTGCACGAACACTACCCAAATTAAAGGGGGTAAGTTTCTAAAGAAACTGTGGTGCTGCATCGGTGGGAGAGTAAAGCAGGTATTTAAGTGTTAACAACAGAGTTGAAAACGTAAATTGGCCACCGTAAAGAAATCCGAGTTGCAGGAACATTACCCGAGTTAAAGGGGGTAAGTTTCTAAAGAAACTGTGGTGCTGCATCGGTGGGAGAGTATAGCAGGTGATTAAGTGTTAACAACTGAGTTGAAAACGTAAATTGGCCACCGTAAAGAAATCCGAGTTGCACGAAAATTACCCGAGTTAAATCCGAGTTGCACAAACATTACCCGAGTTAAATCCGAGTTGCACAAACATTACCCGAGTTAAATCCGAGTTGCACAAATATTACTCGAGTCATAATAACCTAGCTCCGGCAAATTTTTAGAATGATAAAGAATCGTATCAAACAGCACAAACTTTCCATTGACAAGACACAAGTCGTACTTCTCTCTTTCTGATGAGCTGATCACACATGCACACTTGTGTATCTTGATGGCATCAGACACATGGTCTAATGCCACTGGCTCGGCACAGAGCCTTCCAATTCTTCGTGGTCTTCATCTATCTTGTGAGCTCTCGTGTTCCTGTAGCTCTTCATCATCATCATCATCGATCACCGGAAGTTCAATTTTCTGACTCATACTTTTCCGTCTATTCTTCTTCAACACAGCAGGTGAGTCATTGATACTAACAGAAAGAAACTTAATTCATTCGGTAATATATTATATAATTCATATATTTTAATAACCAGCGTGATAGACGTACTTCCCATCAACGCTTCTGCCAGCCCGCGAAAAAACGTCTGCGATCCCAAACTAACTTTACTTGGTAAAGCTAACAAGCGGGGGGCAAAATGGCGCCCTCTGAAAATACGGCTGTAACACTGAAGGACTGATATTCCAAAATGACCAAGCAGTCAATACCTGCACCTTTTGGATTTATTCTTACCTCTATGGTAATTATCTAAAATATAGAACTATTATAGTATTTTAAAGTCTCCCTCGGTTACAGGTCAGCTTTCTTCGTGAAAGAAACGAGGTCCACGTAGAGCGACTTAGTCCCGTTAAGTTTATCCTCCAAAACCATTTTAGTCTCACAATTACGCCCAAACAAACTATTGAAATATTACGGTTGACTATTAACCCAATGAATACAAACGAAACAGTTGTGTAAAATTCCCCCAGCATACATTTCAGGAAGCGGAGAACTCTCCTTAAGAGCTGTAGGAGAACACAGATCAACGAGGACTGGTAATGAATCCTGTGGTGATCTTGGAGCCTGGTAGAGAAAAAAGAGGAATTCAGTTGTTCAGTTTACATTGTAACTTTGAAAGACAAAATAACAAAATCCTCTCTTACAATCCTCTCTTCAAGGGTAAACCGTGAACTGAAGGGACAGAGCAAAATGCCTTTTTTAGAGAGGCGTCCCTAAGGAGAGGTTCGACAGCATAAAGACAAAAAGTAAATCAAAAGGAATCGAATAAAACTGGTCAAAAAGAAAAATATTTAACAATCATCCCAGAAGTAATGTGTGCGGTTCACCACAAATTTTTTTTCCGCCGTTATTCGATCATTCGACAAATATCATTCAAAATGAGAATATTTCACATCTTCTAATTGCCTTTTGAAAACAAAGACTAAGGCCTAAGGCTTAAAAACTTAAATAGTTTGATGTTGTTGCAACAACCAGCTGCAAACCACTTCGAGTATAGAGGATAAGGTTGTAAAGATGCTGTATCAGTGGGAGTGTTATATGGAGATTTGGTTTTATCACCGGAGTTGATGATGTAAACTGGTCACTGTAAAGAGTTTCTAAGGTCGACGTTTCGAGACTTAGTCGAAATGTTAGCTTAAGAAAATAATTACGGTGGCCAATTTAAATCAACAACTCGGTTAATAAAGCCAAATCACTTTGAGTATAAGTCAAAAACCTGACTTGGCTGAAATCTCTTCGTGTCGTCGCCTTAGGGTATAATGAACACCTCACTGTCAATTTTCGCCTGTTTTTTTTGCCGGGCAGTCATGGTATTCTCAGCCGAAGGAAGACAATGCCGTAGTCCCTGGGGTCTTTCGGGGCCAGGTACTGGGGACCCCCGATGGGGGATATAGGGTGCCGGGTGAAATTTGTCTTGAAAATCCTGATTCAGCAGCAACTAAATTGTGGGCTCGGAGAACCCCCCAAAAAAGTGCAAAAATAGAACAGTTCGAGTGGTAAAATCCGCTCAAAAGTATTAAGGGAGGGACACATGAGGAGCCCTTTGGGACTTTCAGGCTGAGAAAAATAACACTATGTGTTCTTTAAAATACTTTTCTAAAGGAAAGAATAATCCAACACCAAATATACTTTCGTAGTCTCCTTCGCACCATGTGTTTGGTTTATCGTTAAGTAATATACTTTCCCCATCCCACCCACCCACCCCCCTCCCCCAAAAGCCTTGCGTGCCACCCAAAACCACGGCTGCTAAAGAGATTAACAGCCTCAACGTATAAGAAAAAGAGATTTGTAGAAGTCTTTAAATTGAAGAAACTAAGCGGGTAGTTGATGTGACGAGATTAAATAGCGGGACAACTTACTGTGGCCTGGATGGCCTCCCTGTCAGGTAATGAATTTTCATCAGCTGTTTCCACATCTTCACGAGAATACATCACATCCTGGTCAGAAATACCGAATATGTCTGTAGAAAGGCAACACTTTATTAAATTCAATGAAGATAATGGCTGAAAGTAAACTGTTACTCCTCTTAAATGGGGCACTATTTGTTCCCTAATCCACAGGCTAAATGATTTCTCAATTGTTTCAAAGAAAGAGATCAAGAACATTGAAAACAATAAACGGCAAATGATATTCACAATTCAGAAGAGAAAAATTAAAGGAACGTAGCTGACCCGACAATTCACATAAAACGAACTCCATCCCACACTCCAGAGTAGATGTACAGATTTGACATGCCCCAATCCATGCCCGTTAAAATTGCCACCGTGCGTGTATTGTTATTGAATGAGAGATCTTTATAAAAGGGTTGGTAAACAGTCCAAATTTCATGAAACTTTTTTCAGGTGGTATAGTTAACAAACATCTATAAGAAATCGTTTCCTTTCAGTTACTCACTCAAGGTGTGTAAAAACTTCATGTGTTTTTCCAGTTCATTGTCATCAATGAAAATGAACTCAATGATCAAGCTGTAGTTGCGTTTTTGAATGATGAGGATCTTCCAGTGTGAACAAGTTACGTAACTCTTGGTGACTGAAATACCTGTAAGATAAAGTCATTTTTAGATTTAAGGTACTTTTTGCCTCTTTCAAGACAGTGCAAGCTCTTAAAATAAATGACAAAACCTCCTTGAATGGAGAAGTTATAATAACAAACGGAATTGAGAAAGTCATGTTAAAGCCGGCACTGAAAGCCGGGACCCTGAGGGCTCAGTAAGAGCGAAACAAGTGAAAAACCAATTCAAGCTATAGATTAAAGTTTAGTTCTTGCTCTGCTTTGTCATCCAGCACAGTCAATGTAATGGTTCTGATGCAAAATAACACAGTCAACTCCCATTATTACAGAAACCCGCGGGGGAGGGGGAAGATTTAGTGTCCGTAATAGCGAGAGTCCGTAATAGCGGGGGTACGAGAGAAAAATTAATTGATTTGTCTCTAAACATATGAAATAATATGAAACTAAAAAAAGATAAAGTTTCTAAGGTAGCCTTACTAACCATAAAAAGATCCGGCCGCACCCAATTCAAGAATGGTTCCTTTACTTTCTTTTATCGTAATGTCTATTTTTGTTATGTGAGTCAGGATCGTGGACGAAGTATTTGAGTGTCCACTATAGCGAGAAAAAAAAATCAAATGTCGCACTGCGGGAGGGGCATGAAATTGTCCACATTAACAATCAAACAAAACAGAACGAAACCAGTGCACGAGTCCCTAACGTGACAAACAATCAAACCGAACACGTACAACACAGTGCGCGAGACACTAACGTGACAAACAATCCAACAGAACACAGAGAAAACGGTGCACGAGACACTAACGTAACAAAGAATCACACAGAACACATACAAAACGGTCCGTGAGACACTAATGTAACAAACAGTCAACAGAACACATAAAAAAAGTGCGCGAAACATTAACGCAGCAAACAGTCGAACAAAACGCATACAAAACAGTGCGCGAGAAACATAACAAACAGTCAACTAAACACATACAAAACACTACGCCAGACACCAGCGTAACAAACTGTCAAACAGAACACAGACAAAACAGTGCAAGAGGCACTAACGTAAGAGTCAACAGAACACATACAAAACAGTGCACGAGACTCTAACGTAACAAACAATCCAACAGAACAAATAAAAAACAGTGCTCAAGACACTAACATCACAAACAGACAAACAGAACACATACAAAACAGTGCACGAGACTCTAACGTAACAAACAATCATACAGAACAGATAAAAACAGTGCACAAGACACGAACATAAGAAACACTGAATACAACACATGCAAAACAGTGTGCAAGACACTAACGTAACAAACAGTCAACAAAACTCATGCAAAACAGTGCGCGAGACACCAACATAGCAAACACTGAACAGAACACGAACAAAATAGTTCACGAGGCACTAACGTAACAAACAATCAAACAAAACACATACAAAATAGTGCGCGGGACACTAACGTGAAAAACAGTCAACAGAACACATACAAAACTGTGCGTAAGACACTAACGTAACAAACAGTCAACAGAACTCATACAAGACAGTGGGCGAGGCACTGACGTGACAAACAGTCAACAGAACACAGAAAACAGTGTGCGAGACACTGACACAACAAATAGTCTGACAAAACACATTCAAAACAATGTGCGAGACACAAATGTAACAAACATTCAAACAGAGCACATACAAAACACTGCGCGAGACACTAACGTAACAAACGCTCAACAGAACATATACAAAACAGGGTGCGAGCCACTAACGTAACAAACAAGCAAACAGAACACATACAAAACAGTACGAGAGGCAGTAACGTAACAAACAGTCAAACACAACACGTGCAAAACAGTGCACGAGACACTAACGTAACAAACAACGAAACAAAACACATACAAAATAGTGCGCGAGACACTAACATTAGAAAAAGTCAACAAAACAAATACGAAACAGTGCACGAGACACTTACGTGACAAACAACCAAACAAAACACATACAAACAGTGCACGAGACACTAACACAAGAAAAAGTATAAAAAAACATACAAAACAGTGCGCGAGACACCAACGTAACAAATGGTCAAACAGAAAACAAACAAAACAGTGCGCGAGACACTAATGTAACTAACCCTTGCAAAACAGTACGCCAGACACTAACGTAACGAATCGTCTACACAACCCATACAAAACAGCGCCCGAAACAGTAACGTGAAAAACAATGAAACAGAACACATTCAAAACAGTGCACAAAACCCTAACGTAATCAAGAATCAAGCAGAACACATACAAAACAGTCTGCAAGACACAAAGGTAACAAACAGTCAACTACACATATACAAAATAGTACACGAGACACCAACGTAACAAACAGTCAAACACGAGGCACTAACGAAACCAACTGTCAAACAGAACACATACAAAACAGTCCAAAAGGCACTAATGTGACAAACAACCAAACAGAACACATAAAAAACTGTGCACGAGACACTAACGTAACAAACACTCAACTAAACACATAAAAAAAGAGTGCAGGACGCCAAACGTAACAAACAGTTAAACAGAACGCAAACAAAACAATGTGCGAGACACTAACGTAACAAAGAGTCAACAGGACATTACGAAACAGTGCACGAGACACTAACGTAACAAAAAATCATACCAAACACATTAAAAACAGTGCGCAAGACAATAACATAAAAAACAGCCAACAGAACACATAAAAAATAGTGCACGAGGCACCAACGTGACCATTAGTCAGCAGAACACATACAACACAGTGCTCGAGACACTCACATAACAAACTGTCAAGAAAACTCATACAAAACAATGCGCGAGACACTAACGTAACAAAAAGTCAACAGAACACATAAAAAAAACAGTGCGCGACACCCGAACGTAAAAAACACTCAACAGAACACACACAGAACTTTGTGCGAGGATCTAACGTGACAAACAATCCAATAGAACACATTCAAAACACTGCGCAAAACATGAACGTCACAAAACATCAAACAGAATACATACAAAACCGTGCGCAACGCACTAACGTGACAAACAGTCGACAAAACACATACCAAACAGTGCGCAAGACAATAGCGTAACAGACTGTCAAGAAAACTCATACCAAACAGTGCGCGAGACACTAACGTGAAAAAAAATCAACAGATTACAAAAAAAACAGTGCGCGACATCAGAACATAAAAAACAGTCAACAAAAGACATACAAATCATTGTGCAAGGCACTAACGTGAGCAACAATCCAACACCTTCAAAACAGTGCCCAAAACACCAACGTAACAAAAAATTTGACCAAACACATTCAAAACAGTGCGCGAGGCACCAACGTACCAAACAATCAAACATAACACATACAAAACACAAACGTGACAAACAATTACAAATAACACATACCAAAAAGTGACCGAGACACTAACGTAACAAAAACTCAACAGATCACATAAAAAACAGTGCGCGACACCGGAACGTCAAAAAAAACCAACAGAACACATAAAAAACATTGTGCCAGGCACTAACGTGACAAATAATCCAATAGAACACCTTCAAAACAATGCCCAAGAACTAACTTGAAAAAAATTACAGAACACATAAAAACATCAAAGAGAACTCATACAAAAGATTGCGCAAGACACTGACGTCACATGCAATCAAACAGAACACATACAAAACACCGTGCAAGGCACTAAAGTGACAAACAATCCAACAGAATACAATATAAACAGTTCAAAAACACATTCAAAACAGTGCCTAAAAAAAAAAAAACAAAACACAATCAAAAAACAGTGCAAAACACTGTCGACAGAACACATAACAAAACAGTGCCCGAGGCACTAACATGACAAACAATCCAACACAACACATTCAAAACGGTGCGCAAAACACTACCCTAAGTAAAAATCTTACAAAACACATTCAAAGCAGTGCCTAAGGCACTAACGTACCAAACAATCAAAGAGAAAACATACAAAAAACTGTCGACAGAACACATACAAAACATACAAAACAGTGCCCGAGGCACTAACGTGACAAACAATCCAACACAAAACGGTGCGCGATGCACTAACTTACCAAACAGTCATACAGAACACATTCAAAACGGTGTGCAAAACACTCACGTGACAAAAATCTTAAAGAACACATTCAAAACAGTGCGCAAGGAACTAACGTACCAAACAGTAAAACAGAACACATAAAAAACACTGCGCAAGGCACTAACGTCATAGAGTCAACAAAACACATACAAAACAGTGCGCGAGACATTAACGTAACAAACTCTCAAGAAAACTCATACCAAACAGTACGTAAGACACTAGAGTCACAAAAAGGCAACAGAACACATAAAAAACAGTGCACCAAACTCGAACGTAACAAACAGTCGATAAAACACGTAGAAAACAGTGCGCGAGTCACTAACGTAGCAAACAATCATAAAAAACACATACAAAACAGTATGCAATCAAAACAGAACACATTCAAAATAGTGCGCAAGACACTAACGTAAAAAAACTCTTACAGAACACATTCAAAACAGTGCGCGAGAAACTACCGTACCAAACAATCATAAGAACACATTTAAAACGGTCCGCAAAACACTAACGTAAGTAGAAGCCTTCCAGAACACATTCAAAACAGTGCGCGAGGCACTAACGTACCAAACAATCAAAGAAAAGATATAGAAAACAGTGCGCAAGCCCCTAATGTAACAAACTGTCAAGAAAACTTATACCAAACAGTGCGCGAGACACTAGTGACAAAAAGGCAACACAACACATAAAAAACATTGAGTGACACTCGAACGTACCAAAAAGTTGACAGAACACATACAAAACAGTGCCCCAGGTACTACCGTGACAAACAATCCAACGCGATACATTCAAAACAGTGCGCAAAACACTAACGTAACAAAAAATCTTACCAAACCACCATAAAGGACACATACAAAAAAGTGCGCAAGGCACTGACGAGACATACAATCAAACAGACTACACCCAAAACAGTATACGAGGAACTAACGTGAGAAACAATGCAACAGAACACATTCAAAACAGTGCGCAAAACACTAACATAACAAAAAATCTTACAGAACACATTCCAAACAATGCTCGAGGCACTAACGTACCAAATAATCATACAAAACACATTTAAAACGATGCGCAAAACACTAGCGCGAGGCATTAACGTACCAAACAATCAAACAGAATAGATACAAAACACTGCCCTGGGCACTAACGTCACAAACACTCAACAAAACACATAAAAAACAGTGCGCAAAACACTAACGTAACAAAAAATCGTACAGCACACATTCCAAACAGTGTGCGAGTCACTAACGTACCAAACAATGATACAAAACACATACAAAGCAGTATGCAAGGAACTGACGTGACATACAATCAAACAGAATCCATGCAAAACAGTGTGCCAACACCTAGCGTGACAGAGAATCGAACACAACACATTTAAAACAGTGCGCAAAACACTAACGCAACAAAAAATAAAAAAGAACACAAACAAAATAATACATAGAATCCAAAAGAACACATGAAAAACAGTGTGCAGGGAACTAACGTGAGAAACAATCCAACAGAACACATTTAAAACAGTGCCCAAAACACTAACGTAACAAAAATTCGTACAGAACACATTCCAAACAGTGCAAGACGCACTAACGTATCATACAACCATAAAGAACACATTCCAAACGGTGCGCAAAACACTCACGTAAGTATAAATCTTACAGAACACATTTAAAACAGTGCGCAAAGCATTAACGTACAAAACAATCAAACAAAACACATACAAAACACTGCGCAAGAAACTAACGTCACAAACAGTCAACATAACACATACAAAACACTGCGCGAGACACCGACTGTTATGAAAAATCATACCAAACAGTACGCGAGACACTAGAGTGACAAAAAAGCAACAGAACACATGAAAAATAGTGCACGAAACACTTACAAAAGTAAAAATCTTAAGGAACACATTCAAAACAGTGCCCAAGACACTAATGTACGAAACAATCAAACAGTACAAATGCAAAACACTGCGCATGGCACTAACGTCACAAGGAGTCAACAAAAAAATACAAAACAGTGCGCGACACACTAACGTAACAAACTGTCCGGAAAACTCATACCAAACAGAGCGAGAGACACAAGAGTGACAAAAAGGCAACACAACACATAAAAAACAGTGCACAAAACTCGAACGTAACAAACAGTCGACAGAACACATCAATAACAATGCACAAGGCATTAACGTGACGAAGCATCCAGCGCAACACATTCAAAACAGTGCGCAAAACGTTAACGTAACAAAATATTGTACAGAACACATTCAAAAGAGTGCTCGAAGAGCTGACGTACAAAACAATAAACAGAACACATTTAAAACAGTGCGCAAAACCCTAACATCAAAAAAAAATCTTTCACAACACATTCAAAATAGTGCGCGAGGCACTAACGCATCAAAGTATCAAACAGAACACAAACAAAACAGCTCGCAAGCAACTGACGTGACATACAATAAAACAGAACACATGCAAAAAAGTTTGCAAGGAGCTTACGTAACAAACAATCCAACAAAACATATTCAAAACAGTGCGTAAAACACTAACTTCACAATATATCGTACAGAACACATTCAAAACAGTACACGAGGAACTGCCGTACTAAACAATCATACAGAACACATTCAAAACGGTGCGCAAAACACTAACGTAAGTAAAAGTCTTCTAGAACATATTCAAAGGAGTGCGTAAGGCACTAACGTACCAAAGAATAATATAGAACACATACAAAAAAGTGCGTAAGCAACTGACGTAACATACAATCAAACAGAACACATACAAAACAGTGTGAGAGGAACTAACGTGAAAAAAAAACCAAACACAACATACTCAAAACGGAGTGCAAAACACTAACCTAAATAAAAAAAATCGTACAGAACACATTCAAAACAGTGCGCGGGGCACTAACGTACCAAACCATTATGCAGAACACATTAAAAACGGTGCCCAATACACTAACGTGACTAAAAATCTTACAGAACACAATAAAAAAAGTGTACAAAAAACTAACGTACCAAACGATCAAACAGGACACATGCGCAAAACACTACGCAAAATACTGCGCAAAACACTGCGCAAATCACTGCGCAAAACACTGCGCAAAACACTAACCTAACCACAAATTGTACAAAACACATTTAAAACAGTGCGCGATGCACTAAAGTACCAAACAATTATACAGAACACATTCAAAACGGTGCGGAAAGCACTAACGTAACAACAAATCTTAAAAAACACAATAAAAACAGTGCGCAAGGAACTAACGTACCAAACACTCAAACACAACACATATTAAGCATTGCACAAGGAACTAACGTGACAAAGCATCAAATAGAAGACATTCAAAACAGCACAGAAAACACTAACATAAAAAAAGATCGTACAGAACCCATTCAAAACAGTGCGCGAGGAACTACTCTACCAAAAAACTCATACAGAACACATTCAAAACGGTGGGCAAAACCCTAACGTCAGTAAAACTCTTCCAGAACACATTCAAAAGAGTGCGCAAGGCATTAAAGTACCAAAGAATAATACAGATCACATACAAAACAGTGCGCAAGCAACTTACGTGACATACAATCAAACAGAACACATGCAAAACAGTGTGCAAAGAACTAACGTGAAAAAACCTAACACAACATATTCAAAACAGTGCGCAAAAAACTAACCTAATAAAAAGTCGTAGAGAACACTTTCAAGGCATTGCGCGAGGCATTAACGTACCAAACAATTATACAGAACACATTCAAAACGGTGCACAATACACTAACATGACTACAAATCTTACAGAACAATTTCAAAACGTGCGCAAGGACCTAACCTACCAAAGAATGAAACAGAACACATACAAAAAAGTGTGCAAAACACTAACCTTACCACAAATGACATTCAAAACAGTGTGCGATGCACTAAACACTAAAAAATCATGCAGAACACATTCAAAACGGTGCGCAAAGCACTAACATAACTACAAATCTTAAAAAACACAATAAAAACGATGGGAAAAAGAACTAACGTACCAAATACTCAAACACAACCCATAAAAAAAACACTGCGCGAGGAACTAACGTGACAAACCATCAAACAAAGCACATTGAAAACAGTGCATAAAACACTAACGTAAAAAAACATCGTACAGAACCCATTCAAAACAGTGCGCGAGGAACTACCGTACAAAACAACCATACACAACACATTCAAAACGGTGCGCAAAACACTAACGTAAGTAAATGTCTTCCAGAACATATTCAAAGGAGTGCCTAAGGCATTAACGTACCAAACAATAATACAGAACACATACAAAACAGTGTGCAAGCAACTAACGTGACATACAATCAAACAGAACACATGCAAAAAAGTGTGTGAGGAGCTAACGTGAAAGAAAACGAAACACAACATATTCAAAACAGTGCGCAAAACACTAACCTAACAAAAAAATCGTACAGAACACATTCAAAACAGTGCGCGCGGCACTAACGTACGAAACAATTATACAGAACACATTCAAAACGGTGCGCAATACACTATCGTGACTAAAAATCTTACAGAACACATTCAAAACAGAGCGCAAGAAGCTAACCTACCAAACAATCAAACAGAACACATACAAAACAGTGCGCGAGGCACTAAACTACAGCCAAATCGTACAAAACAAAACAAAAAAACAAAACAACATATTCAAAACAGTGCACAAAATACTAACGTCACGACAAATCGTACAAAACACAATCAAAACTATGCACTAGGCACCAAACTACAAAAGAATCATACAGAACACATTCAAAACTGTGCGCAAAGCACTGATATAACTACAAATCTTAAAAAACACAATAAAAACAGTGCGCAAGAAACAAACGTACCAAACACTCAAACACAACACATAAAAAACACTGCGCAAGAAACTAACGCGACAAACCATGAAACAGAACACATTCAAAACCGTACATAAAACACTAACGTAAAAAAATCATACAGAACCCATTCAAAACAGCGCGCGAGGAACTACCGTACAAAACAATCATACAGAACATATTCAAAACGGTGGGCAAAACCCTAACGTCAGTAAAACTCTTCCAGAACACATTCAAAAGAGTGCGCAAGGCACTAAAGTACCAAAGAATAGTACAAATCACATACAAAACAGTGCGCAAGCAACTTACATGACATACAATCAAACAGAACAAATGCCAAACAGAGTGCAAGAAGCTGACGTGAAAAAAAACCAAACACAACATATTCAAAACAGTGCGCAAAACACTAACGTAACAAAAACTCGTACAAATTACTTTCAAAACAGTGCACGAGGCACTAACGTACCAAAATTCATACAGAACACATTCAAAACGGTGCGCAATACACTAAAGTGACTACAAATCTTACAGAACGCATTCAGAAAGGTGCGCAAGGAGCTGACGTACGAAACAATCAAACAGAACACATACAAAACGGTGCGCAAAACACTAACCTAACCACAAATCGTACAAAACACATTCAAAACAGTGCACGATGCACTAAACTACCAAATAATCATACAGAACACATTCGAAACGGTGCGCAAAGCACTAACGTAACTACAAATCTTAAAAAACACTACGCAAGGAACTAACCTACCAAACACTCAAACACAACACATAAAAAGCACTGCGCAAGGAAAACTAACGTGACAAACAATCAAACAGAACCCATTCAAAACAGTGCGCAAACTAGGAACTACCGTACCAAACAATAATACGGAACACATTCAAAACGGTGCGCAAAATACTAACGTAAATAAAAGTCTTCCGGAAGACATTCAAAAGAGCGCGCAAGGCACTAATATACAAAAGAATAATACAAAACACATACAAAACAGTGCGCAATCAACTGACGTGACATACAATCAAACAGTACACATGCATAACAGTGTACAAGAAGCTAACGTAAAAAACACAATATATTCAAAACAGTGCGCAAAACACTAACGTAAAGACAACTCGTACAGAAAACTTAAAAAACAGTGCACGGAGCACTAAC